TCCTTTTTTGAGTAGGAAAGACTCGTAATCTTGGGTGACTTTTTTGCAATTATCTCCTTCCACTACGCCCTCGTTCCCTACCCAAATCACATAACCTTTAAACATTTTACTATAATTTTTACTTTTTTCTATACAAAGTACTTTATATACCTATATTTTTACCATTCCTTTTTAATAATTTATTTCTATCAATTCTTGATTGCTGTTCTTTTTTTTTCTCATCAAAACCACTCATTAGTGTTCAATATACCTTCAATCACCATTTCTGTGAACTTCTTTTTATTTTTATTTGGTGCGCAAATAAATATATTAATTAAAGTCAAAAGCATTCCACCGCTTTTTTCTTTCTTTTTACGGCGCCAAACTACTACCTACCTACCTAAATCTCTCATTTTATTTTTACTAAATAAACTCTTGTTTGTTTTTAAATATTTAGTAACTGTCCGTTGATTACCTACAAACAACCCCAACCACCTTTTTTCCTTCGAAATGCCAATCAGTTCCGCATTTGTTCTTTTACTAGAAGACACAAACATTCTTGTAATCCCTTTTTATTATTTATATTACCACACATAAAATATAATTTTGATTTTATATATTTGTGTCAGTTATTATTATAATCAAGTAATATTTGATTAATATTGAAAAATCTTCACTTAATTTTTTAATTTAAAATTTTATAAAAAATTAAAGACATTTAAAAGAATATTATTTTTAATTTAATTTAAATTTTCTTTAATTTTCTCTCATTAAAATAGCCAATTTTGCACAAATTTTTAACAAAAATTTCCCTTATTTTTCCTCCAAAAACAATTAAATTAATGGCTAAATTAAAGATTGCTTTAATGCTTTAATGAATCACACAGGGAAATTTATTTTTTAATTGACTTGAAAAGAATTTTTTAAGAAGGAAAAGGTCGTTTGTAGGAATTAGCTAAACAATTGGTTATTTAATATAAATATTACACAATTCACTCTCATCGTTAAAAATTAACAATTTATTTTTATTCTAAAAATTCTTTAATTATTTTTTAAAATATTTATTTTAATTTTATTTAACATTAATTTATTTATTAAAATTTTCTTTTAATCTTTCCGTCATTTTTTATTAAAATTTTCAAGCCACAAAAACAAGTATTTCTCAGCTATTTTATTCTCATTTTCACACACCCATTACTCATTTTTATATCCCCCCTCTCTCCGCCTCAATTTTTTCCGTTCTCCTGAAGAATAATTAACAACAATTGGTTACTCATTTTTAAATAAATTTTAATCACCTTTTTTTCATTTCTCGATAATTAGAAAAAATAAATTTATTTTAAATTTGTGGTGTTTATTTTTATGTTTCTAAGTTATAAATTAATTATATATATTAAAAATGATTTTTTTAAGTTTTAAATTTTTTGGGGTTTTAAGGATTTAGTTGGGATTTAGTTTGAAATCTGTTATCCTATTGACCTAAAAATTCCTTAATTATTTTAATGTTTATTAGATTTAACATTAATTTTCTAAATTAGAAACCTATTGTGGAACCTAGAAATTTCTAGATAGCAAGAACCTAGAAACTAACAAAGAAAATCTGGAAATTTTAATTTAAATCATTCAAATTCAAATTTATTTTTTTCAGATATTAGAAACGGGCATTTAGGTGCCATTTTACAGTTTCTCCACCAACTTTCGGAATACAAAAGGCAAAAGAGAAAAATTGTAGAAGATAAAAACATTCATCAAAGACGTGTCCATTTCAATAATCAACAGCAACAAGTAAAAAATAAAAAAAAATTTTTTATTCTGCAAAAAAACAGTTGTTTAATAAATAATATAACTACATACATGTTTTTCCTTAATTTTTAACAAAAACATTTAATTTATTAATTCTTTATTTTATTTTATTTAGTCACCAAAACATTTGTCAAATCCCTCTTATTGTTCTTCTAATTCTTCCCCGAAAACATCATCCTCACACATTTACGAGCAGTGCAGTTCATCATCCGGTTACGGAAGTGTTTGTCACACAAATATTAGTGGAAACTCTTCTACAGTTAATGGAAGTGTTGAGGAGGAGGGCCTATTAAAGGTTATTTGGGACGATTAGTTAAGTCGGAGTTGATTAGTTAATCGGACTAGAATTAGGGACCCGACCTTACAAATTAGTGATCGAAGAGAAAATTTTATTCATACGACAATCTCAGCGATACCCGGGATCTTTAGTTCTCTGCTAAGCATGGCCAAATTTTGAGTTTCAATGAAACCCATTTTCAATTATACGATCAGATTGCCGGTTTTAAACCAGCTTTGTGAGGCAGTTCAAATACCAGTTACCTAATTGTATCTCTTTTAAAATGGCAATGTTTTAATTTCGACTATTCATTGGAATATTCGAAAAATATTTTTAGTTTGCAAAGTATTTTTAACGAAAACGAAAATTAATAAAATTATTATTTAGTTGTCAATTTACATAAAAGTCCGACTTAATTATTTAAAAAGTTAATAATTCTTTTATTTATAATTTTAGAACAAAAATAATCTAAAAGAAACAACAACTGATAAACTAAACAAAAAACGAATATTATTATCCAACAATAATATATTAGAGGAGGAGGAAACAAAAAAACGTTCAAAACAAAAGCACAGAGTCTTTAAAATGCCTCCAAATTTGCTCAATTTTCGCTCAAATAATGAAGAAACAAATAGTGACAGTAAAAATAATGAAGAGAAACGTTTTGGGAGGTAAAGGATTTTTTTATTAAAAAAATTTAATTAAAATTTTAATTAAATTTTCTTAAAAAATTATTTTAAAATTTTTGTTAATTTTAATCGATTAATTTTTTTTTAATTTTTTAAATTAAATTTTAATGATTTATTTTCAATTTTTAATTTTCCTCTCTTTTCCTCATTTCATACACAGGAATTTTTATTCTAATTAAAAAGTCTCTGTAATAAAAACCATTATTTAATTGGTTACTGACCATTACAAAACGGACGTAGAAAAAAAGAAAATTTTTTATGGCCTTTTCCTTCTTTCCCCCTTTCATCTCTCCAACAAAAATCCTCCCAAAAATGTCAGTATATATTGCCAACCGACTAAATAAACGTCCAAGCTTTTATTTTTTGTGCCGTTGTCCATCTAAAAACAAAAATAGTTGGGTGGCGCGAAAAGGAAAAAAATTGTGTTTAATTCCCTGAAGTGGGAATAGCTGTTTCTGAAGCTTGTTTTGCTTCTTTTTTCTAAATATATTCGATCATTGCTTTTTAATACAAAAAATTTTGATGTGTTTGATGGGAGCATCTTCCAAGCGTAAAACTGTTGTCCGTAAGATTTTTTTAAACAAAAAAAAAGAAAAAAATCTTTTGAGATATTTTTGAAGATAATTTTTTATTTTATTCTAGCCTTTCCTTTTTTGAATTTTTAATATTGAGAAATGATCGGGAATTTATTTTTATTTAAATAAATATTTTAAATTATTTTTTAAATATTTTTTAAAGAATTTTTTTAAATATTTATTTTCTCTTTAAAAATTTTTTTATTTTTTAAGCTTTTCACTTTTTAATAGTTTCTTTTTCTTCTTCCTTTTTCTTTTCTCGTTTTTCTCCTTTTTTCCTCTTTTTGACCAATGTTTTAGGTCAAAAATTATATTTTAAAATAATAATTTTGTGTTGTCATGGGTGGTGACAAGTGACATCTCTATATTTAAATTTATATTCTTATATTATACATAATACTCTTCTTTTTTTCCTCCTTCAGTGCCAGCCGGCATTGGTTTGGAGATTAAATAAATAAAAGTATATATTGAAGATTATTTTTAAAATTAAACTTGAATATATTTTTTTTCAACGCAAATTTAATTTAATTTTATTTAAAATAAATTTTAAAAAATAGAGAGAAGTATAGAAAAAATTAATTTAAATAATTTTTAATTATTTCCAGCACTCCCCAATCATCATCTCTCCGTATTCCTCAAAAAATTCCAATTACTAATCGTCTCCAAAATCAACAAATTAAAACTGATAAAATAATTATTAACTCACCAAATACTACAATTTCTGAAAGAGAACAACAATTTTTACAAAATTCAAAAAATGTTAATAATCAAAGAATTTATCAAAAATTTAATCAAAATAATAATTTAATAAATAAAGAATCTAAAATTGCCTCAAATATTGCAATTAAATATAAAAATTATTCACCAAGCACTCAACAAAATTGTAAGAATTTAAAATTTAAATTGATAAGAATAATTATTAAATTTTTTATTTCCAGCACTATTTATTTTAAAATTATTTATTTAGGAAGGAAAGTAACAAAAATTTTTACTAAATTCAAATTAATTATTATTAATCTAATTAATATTTTTTAAGTCCTTTTATATTGAGATCTTTTTAGAACTAATATTATTTACCAAATTTATTCATTTCATGTTACATTATTACTAGATTTATCTAGAATAGGCTTTCCCAGTCCTCGGTTTTTATTAGAAGTTATTATTATAAGCTTGCCTGTTCTCCAAATATTCAAGGCTTCAATTTTTTATTTTTTAGAATTATTTTTAATATCTCTTCTAATTTATTTAATATATTTAATTAAATTCACACATAAAATCTATTTAAAAATATTAATCGTTCTCAATTACTAATCAATTTTTATATATTTACAATTTAATGTGAAAATGGATTTTAAGTGATATACAGAAAAATATAAAAAAATATTTATTTTTACTAAATATTTTTGTTAATTTAATATTTTATTTTTAATTTTACAAATATTTTCCTAAAAAAACTTCTAGTATTGACTTGATTTAAAATTAATTTTAACAATAAAATTTACTTTTTTCAATTCATTCCAGGTCCTCAACCTCCATCATTTCCACCTCCTTCTATTCAATATTCTTCTCCAAAAAATTCTTGTCAAACACCAAATTTAAATAAATTAGACCAAAACAATACCTCTATTAACAAATCAACACAATTAAAAATACCTAATAATTTAAAAAGTGATAAAAATGTTAAAGAAGTTATTGTTGTAAATAATGGGAATGGACCGAAAAAGTTTTTATTTTTTAATTTAAAACTAAATAAATTTATAAAAATATTTTTTTATTTTTTATTAGATTTTTTATTAAATGTTTTTTCTAAAAAATAATAAAATAAATACTTATTTTGATACATACATGTGTACAAATAAAAAGATAGGTACTTTAACAAAAGAAATTTTTATTTTTTCCCCAAATGTCTGTAAAAATTGCATGATTTAATAGTAAAATAACATATTTTTATTTTTAATTTACTTTTATTTTTACCTCAAAATTAATTTTTTTAATAAAAATAAATTTAGAAATTTTATTTTTTAGCCAACAAAATGTTAATTCTTCATTTTTCAACTCAAACCAATTAAATCCAAAAGAAGAATTACCCTCAACAATTAATATAAACAATTCTTCTATTCAAAATCCTTCTCCTTCAAAAATTCAATTTAAATGTCAACAAGAATCTCAACAACAACAACACCCCCAAAAACCCCCTCCTCCTCCTCCATTACCTCAGAAACCTTTATTAAACTTTCCTCCTTCCCCGTCTACATCTAGTCAACCAGCTTCTATATTATGTACAAAATCAGCACTTCGAATGCCTTCAAAACATTTAATTGGGAGAAATATTAAAAATAATATTGTAAATAATGTTAAACAAGAGGAAATTGAAGTAAAAGTAATTTTTAAAAAATTAATATACCTATGTAATTACTAAATTAAAAATTTAATTAATTGACCAATAAAATCGTTTTTTGGATTAGAATCTGGGTAATTTAAAATTATCATTACATGTTAAATTAAATATACTTTATATGTAGTATATTCAAAAATCCCCTAAAAAACTTCCTCAAAATAGTTTTTTAATGTAATATCTAATAATCAACTTTAATTTAGGATGTCTTAACTACAGAAAAATTTAATGAACAATTACAAAATGATAAAATAAATAATATCAATATTCAATCTAGTCCTCTACTAAATAACCAAGAATTCGAACAAAACAATAAAATAAAAAATCAAGAGAATACAGAAAATAATGAAGAAGGAAAATTAAATACAAAAAATTTGGAGAGAAAACTTGCTGAAGAAAATGAAGAAGACATTCAACTAAGTATCGCTAAAAGTAATGAAAGTTCGGAAAAAATTCAAGAATTTGAAAAGGTAAAAAATTTTTTTAATTAATTAATTGTATATTTTTAAATTTCCATCAAAACAATAAATTAATTCTCTCAATAAAAAAAATAATTTTTCACTCCATTTGAATCAAAAAAAGAGGGAAAGTGTTTATTTCATTTTTTTCCTCATTTTGTACAGCTGCAATTGTAATAATATTTCAAATATTAACTCTTTCTGCTTTTTTTCTTCCCCTCAAGGCCATTCCTTTAATTCTTTTTAGTAACTTAATCGTCCATTTGTTTTTCCCCTTCCAAAAACTTTCACTCATCATTCAGTTCCTTATTTTTATTTAAAATAAGCAACAGTTGTACATATTTAATATGTTATTATTGTCAATTCGGTTGGTAATTCAAAAGTGGGCATTTGGAGGAGAGTTTTAGATATTTATTTACTTTTTTTGTTGTGTAGTAGTTAACTATAAAGTAAATAAATAAATATACCTATCTCTTTCAATTTTTATTATTTTCATATCCTCAAAGAGATTTACCGCTTTTTGATGATTTTGACTTTTTAACGTTTAAATTACATAGTTGAGAGAAGTAAAATTAAATCGAATTACTAATTAGGTATGTAGATAAAATAGAGATTAGAAGCTTGTTAATAATGCATGAATTAGAGGCTAGGCCAGAAAATGATCCTTGATATTTTCAATTTTTACTAGCCAAGTTCGGAAAATATTTATCTGAAAAATGTTTTTAACTACATATTAAATTATTTTAAAATGACCAGAACTTTTTATCTTAGAAAATCCCAAGGATGTGTGTTTTGACATTTTTAGCTAAAATATGATTGATTATAAAGATAGTGATTATTATTTTCTTTTCTTTTAATTCTTTTTATAAATGAGAGAAAGGAGATCATCGTCTGTCAATTACTTGGACAAACTTTCTTTTAAAATGAATTTATATAATTATAAATGACAAAAAAGTTGATAGAATTTTACTTAAAATCGATTGAGAAATTTTGCTTATATTTTAATTGTTATAAAATTAAATTAATTCTCTTAATTAAAAATTTTTTAGTTAAAATCAACACAACAACAACAAGAGGAAATTACCAAAAAAGAAAATTCTGAAATAATGCCACCACAAACAAATAAACAATCTTTATCAAAACAGGGGCCTTCAAATAATAAAAGAATTACTAACAATACTTCCTCATTAATAACCCCTTCTTCGTCCACAAGAAAATATTCTTCTTCTTTACAACAAAAATCACCTTCAAATAAATTAAATAATTCAACAATTCCTTGCCCCACACAAATGTCTTCTAGCAATACTTCCACAATTTTATCCCCACCAGATTCTGCAGAATTGAATATTAGCCAATGCTCTAATATTTCCACAGAAAATAATAAAACAAAACAAAGGAAACAGGTAATTTAGATTACCGTATTTTCTCGATTAATTCCCCTTTTCAACCCTTCCTTGGCATGGGGAATTAATCGAGGGAGGGGAATTATTCGAGTTTTGGCATTTGAACGTGCAGTAGGGTATTTGGCGGTGGGGAATTATTGTTTCAAGCCCAACTTTAGTATGGGGAATTAATCGAGAGGGGGAATTATTCGAGGGAGGGTAAATCGAGAAAATAGGTATTTGTCTCGGGGAACAATTAGATAAAGAATGGTTAGAACTGTCGGAACCAGAAAAATTGAACTGCCTCAACTGTAGAAAATATTTTTTAATTATTCTGTTTATTTTTCAAGTGTTTTTCAATGCCAACAAGCGCAACACAATCTATGGTAGCCAGTACATCAACCGCCTCTGCCTCTTTGCGCACTTCTCTTCTTTCTGGAAATGACAGGCCTAAATCCTTACTTCCATTACAATCTTCTAAATTAATCCGCCCTTCGAATATTGGAAGGACAACAAATAAAAATACAAAACAAAATGAAAAACAACAAGCTAATATTTTGACAAATCCCGGAGGGAAACCTTTAATGTCGAGAATATCAACAAAATCGGGCTTTTCAGCAACAAATTCTCCTCAAAATAATAACACGGTGAATTATTATTCTTGCAGTAAAATTTAACCTTAAAGTTCTAAAAATGTACAGTCAAAAATTTCCTAACGCCAAATAATTCTGCGCCGAATTGTCCATTTCAACTCCCCCTATAAAGCCTAAACCTTTTGGATTGAAGTTTTTGCTTAAAACTTGAAGCCAAAAGGTTTAGGTTTTGTGGGGAAGACGGTCGAAGACAACTCGGCGCCGACTATCTGGCGCCGATATTTTTGTCCTTATAATTTTTCTTTGCTAAAATTTGGTATTCTTTAAGAAAAATCCATTATGTTGTTAGCTTACGAATGATATAAAATTTATTAATAAATTTGTCAATTTTAAAAGTTTTGGTTAAAGAAATAATTTTGCGCCAAAGTTATTAGCGCCGAATAGTCTTTTTAATCCAAAAGGTTTAGGCTTCAATAGGTTTAGGCTTATTTTGAACATTTCGGCGCAGCCAATTTTCGCCGCCTATTTTTGGTAGATAAATTTAATTCATGTTATGTTTCATGAATACTAGTTGAAATTATTTTTATTAGGGAATAATGGTCTTGGTTAAAAAAATTTCTTAATCAAGATTTTTAAGTTAAACATTTGAGTTGTTTTACCAAAAAAGTGAATTTTCCTTCTCTTTTCTATAAAACACTAAAATTTTTGCTTGTGTTCTAATTAAAATTCAAATTGTTTATTTAAAGGAGAAGAAACCGGTGCTAGCAGTTAAGGGCGTATCTGTTTTGTCAACAACACCAGCTACCCAACGACGTCGACCCTCAAATTCTAATTGTTCAACAAATATAGTGTCACCATCTACAGATCAAAATATATCTGCAGATTCTTCTTTAGTTGAACAACAAAAAAGAAATAGAGAAAATGTGGCAGTTGGTGTTGTTAGTCCAATGTTACAAAAACATGAAAATAATTTTATATTAAATAATGATCAGAACAGAACGTTGGACAATGTTGATACAATAATTGATAATACAATGGGTATTTCTTTGATGGAAGAAAAGGAAGAGCCCCTCAAATTTAAAGAAAAAAGTATTTAAATATTTAGGAATATTTAATTAAAAATTAATATTTTTTAGTAAATAATAATGAAGAAAAAAATAATAAACAAAAATCTTCTTCTACCTCAACCTCTACTAATAATCAGGAAAATTTATCAAAAAAAGATGAAAAGAAAATTTTAACAAAAAAACCTTCAAATTTAAATAGAATATTATTACCGAGTACATCGACTACAAAAATTGGGAAAATTAAAACAAAAGAAAATAATTTAATGACAAAAACGACTAAAATTTTACCTAAAGGAAATGAAAAAATAATTAGAGAGGAAGAAGAATGCCCACAATCTCCTTTAATGCCTCCACCTCTAGCACCAACAAAATTATGTAATAATGTGCAATTGAGGGGTGAATTACAAGGCAAGTTTAATGAAAATTTTAATTTTTTAATTTACTATTGTTTTTTTTATTTGGGTCTTTTATAAATCCAACAAATTCTCTTTTTCAAGAAAGATCCCAATTTTCACAACCTAGCTTTATAAAATTAAAAATTTTATCTATTTACTTTTAGGTATCCGAATAATTTTTTAAAACCGATAACCATACCTATTTCTATTCAAAATTTATTTTTATTTTCTATTCTGTGCTCGTTAATTTTGCCAATTTTCTTTTTATTTTAATATAAAATAATTATTGAGGGAGAAATAGCTATACATAATTATTATGTGAATTATTAAAAATTAGTTTATATTTATTTTATAAAACAGGTTCCGTTTGTTTTTCTCTCTCTCATTTTTCTATTATTTTCCTCATTATGTAGACAAATTTCACCTATTTATTTATTAAACTTGACCTTTACAAGAAAACTTTTTTATAAATAAAATTCTATTATTATTTAAATAAAAACTTTTTTGTTTGTTTTTGTCCACTCACCCTCCCCCATCCCCTTTCTTAAATAAAATATTCATTTACAATGTACATATATTTATTTCATTTCCCCCTCTTGAGTTCTTATTATCTTCTATTTAGTTCAAAATTTTGTTAATCTCTTCAAATCCCCTTTTTTTTATTTTTTTCTGGCGCAGCTCTTAATCATTTCTTCTTCATTTTTGTGTTCTTTCCGTTAATTCTATCAATTTATTTTCTCCAACTAGACATTTTTAAGATTTACTAATTAACTAAAAAAATAAATAGAACAATACATTGTGTCCATTCATTTATTTTATGCCTCAATATATACTTACAATGCCTCCTCTTGGGCCGAATTTTGCTGAGGTCAGAAAGAAATTAAGACATAAGATCGGGAGTCAAATCAGACTAAAAAACATATCTTTCGGGCTATATCTGGATCACTTTACAATTTTAATTCTCAAAAATATTGCGCATTTTTATATTTTTTTGCATCAATAGAAAATGAAAATTCATGCTGTTTCAGTTATAAATAGGCTAAAAAATTATTTAATAGTCTGACCCTAATCTAAATATTTTTTCTTAATTTTCTGAGCAAGAGACAAAAAATATCTATATAACAAAAAATATTTTTTAAAAAGAAAAATGGCTGTATTTATTTTTTGTTATTTTCTAGTTAAATAATAAAATAAATTTATTGTAAAAATGTTGTAAAACTTTGTATAAATAAACAAAACACAAAAATATATAAAAAAATTTTGTATTTAGCAATTGATTTTGTTTATTTTTATTTATAATGTTTTGGATATTTGAAGAAAATATTTTTCTTTAATTTTTGAATTTTTAGTTTTAATTAATTTATTTTAACTTATTTAAATCTTGGCTAAATCTCCTTATACATATTAATTTAAATAAAATATTTTTTTAATAATTACAAAAAATATTTTAATTATTTATTCTTAAAATTTCCTCTTAATTTTTCAAAAATATTTTCTTCATTTTCAGTAAATTTATCATTTATATATCCTCAATTCATTCATTAATATTAACATTTTCCTTTAAATGCAATTTTTCATTCTCTTGCCTTTTTTTATTAATTTAATATATCCGCGCAATTCTTTGCATGAACAGAATAATTTATTTATTTTTGGAGAAGATAAAAATATTTTTTAAATAAATAAATTTTGAAAAAAATATTTAATCCTATAATTATAGTTAATTATAGGATTATAGTTAATTATAGGATTAATTAGGTAGTTTAAATTAATTTTTAATTTTAATCCTTTTTCAATTAGTATAAACATAGTCAAGATGTTTCTTATCCGTTGTTGTAGGTTTTATTGTTGTGATTTTTGATTTGTTAGTTTTGTTTCCAGTATTTTTGTCCTTCTAAGAAATTTTTAAATAAAATTAACTCTAATTATTTAAAAAAATCACATATAGAAACCAAAATATTAATATCCTCATACTTTCTAAGATAAAATTATTTTTTAAATTTTTAATACGGGATGACTTTTTACACTGTCTATAGAGGATTTTCCTTATTTTTGACCTTTTATCTCTATTTTTGAGAGGCTGATCCTATTTTAGTGTTTTGGAAAAGGCCACCCTGATTTTATATGGAAAAAAGGCCATTCTACTAAATCTATTCTTTAAAAAAAGAAATTAATATTTTTTAATTAAATCCCATTAAAATATACCTCTTTTTTATTTATTGGTGAAGAAGAAACAATATTCATTTGATCAATCACAATTAATCCAACAAAAATTAGAAGAATAAAATAAGAATTAAATATTTTAGTCATTTTTTTTAATTTATTTAAATTTTTTAAATTTTAATTTAATGAAGTGAAGGTACATTGGGTAAATTTAGCTCAGTTTTTATTTTAAAATAAATTATTTATTAGAATTTAAATTTTATTTAATTAGCTTTGTAAAATTTAAATTTTTATCAGATCTAAAGAGTATCAATAAATTAAAAATTTATTTTTGTTAAAATATAGTTTGTGATTATTGAAGAGAATAAAGATTAATATTCTAAAAAAAATATAATGAATATTAAAAAAATATTTCTAAAAAATTTCCTTAAAATTTGACTTAATTAAAATATTTAAAATTGTAATATCCTCAAAAGTATTAAAATTTAATTAATCAACTAATTTTTCTTTTTTTCTCAATAGAAAATTTTATATTAGATTGTCACTTGTTAGACTGCTTAATTCTTTTTATTATTTTAAGGCTGATTAAATAAATAAATTATCTAGTATCTAATTAAAATTATAAATTTATTAAGTAAAAAAAATTATTTAATTTTTAAATATAATAATGAGGAAACCAAAAAATCTATACAATTAAATATTCTAAGAATATTGGGATTTTAATATGAGAAGTATCCTAGGATCATTCTTATCATATCTTCTCTATCACCAATGGCATGGTCGGGTTTGGTGTCCTTTTAAGCTTTGAAGGGTTTATGACATGGTTCTTATATGTGCGGATATTGCCTCATTTTGTGGTTTTTTGATAGGTTTATCAGGATTATTTTTAAGAATCCGAATTTGCGGATTTTTATGGTCTTTTGGAGATTATGAGGATTTTTTTATATTTTCTTGTAGTTTTTAGGATGAAATGTCGTTTTTTCTCTTACGGCCTACCAAAATCCACAAAATGTTCGCCTGCAGCGCTGAATAAAATAGAGTTCTAATTGGTTAAATAAATTCAAATATATGTACATATGTACATAAAATAGTAAATAATTAAGAAAAAATTAAAATTTCATAAAGAGTCTGAAAAATTTTAGCGAATTTTTGTCTAAAAAACTAGTCAATTTTATCGGTACTTTTCCGTTATACGACCGCAAACTGAGTATCAGCGACTTTGAAGAGCTATAACTTTTTGTTACTTGATCCAATACAAAAGTTTTATATCATTCAAGTGATCAGACTTGATCTTACAGGAAGATCATGTCTGATAAGGCGCGCCTAACTTTGCGGAGCAGAAATTTACTGACACAACATTGAGAACACGAAACTTGCAGAGCAAACCAGCATTTGCGAACTGGCAGTTTAGTCTATTGGACTTCGGAAATTAAAAAATTTAAGCCTACGACGTTGAATTGGATAAATTCTACCTTGTTAGCCGTGTTAAATGGACATCTAAATGATTTCTTTAAAGAATTTTTTCGCTTATTGAAATTGTTAAGTAATTTCAACAGAAAAATTGATAAAAAAATTTTTTGAATAATCCGGAAAAAGAATAAACGCTGCCGGAGTCATCGAAATAAAAATTTTAAGTTTTTCTTTTTCAACAAGTTTTATTTTTACCAAATAAAATTTATGAAAATAAAATATCCTAAAAATACATATTTCTAAAAATAAAATAAAATTTTTATTTTATAAAAAATCCAATCACTAATGGTGGGATTCAAAAAAAGGTTTAAAAAACGTGGGAAATGTATTAGAGTATTTCTCAAGCATATAGCTATGCATTTCACCAAATGCTTGATTTATTTGTATTGATGTATTTATTAAAAGTATGCATTCATCTAATCGTTTTGCACCATCAATCACTCCAAATTTATTTTGAGTATATTCAAGTAACATTTTAGTGTATCGAAAATATTCTTCATACAACAAATCTTTTCCTTGGTATGATAGACCTTTTACAACTTTATAAATAAAAATATTTTAAATTTATTTTGCTTTATACTTGGGTTTGAAAATAAAATAGCCATTAATAGTGCATATTCTTCTTTAGATAATGCAGCTTTTTTAAAAGGAGCAACAGATTTGGTAAATACTCGATCAACCAAGATAAACAATCTATTTAAAAGAAAAATTTAAATCGAATTTGATAAAATAAAATATTAAAATACAGGCGGACCTCACTAGAAGTATAAACCCAATACTATGCCGGACACTAGTCCAGGCACCGTCAAAGCATCGAATTTGAGTTGTGGGATATGGTTAGGGTGTTGCAGAGGAATTAATAGAATAAACAAACAACAATGAAATTATGGGCAGGATGAAGGGATAATTATCTAGTTTCGTGTCAGGATAACAATAATGTGTATTTTTCATTAAGGTCCAACAGTGTAGTAATGAGGAAAAAGCTTACTTTTTATCCCGAATAAAATAATCATTTTTAATAACACCAAGAGCAGGCATAACACAATCCTTACGTGCCCAGGTATCTACGCCAAGCTCACATGCTATAAATGAACTTGAGAAGCTTTGAAATATATGTGATACGTGCCGGCAAAATGCGACCTGCAAAAAAATCATTAAAATTACTCCGTCTTAACCAAAGAACTTTGTCAGTTATAGATAATTTTTCGAATACAGGCATTGATTTTGCAATAGCAATACTTATCAGTTGATCAACAAGAATACATTTATAAGTCCTTTTATTATAAAATCCTTCCCTTTCATTGTCCATTTCCCAGCTACGCATTTCTTCTTGAGAAATAGGGTAAGGATTTTGCTTGAAGATTGAGGGAATATTTTAAGTAAATTTTAATATAAATTTACCGAAAACATCTCAATATGATCGAAAATATTAAAGCCTGAAAGTATAATATCCTCGCAATAAATTGAACCATTGAGCAAAGTATCGTTGAAATCGTTAAAAGCATGCATAATTCTTTTCTGATCCTCGGCTATTTTTAATAGTAAATTAATCTCTTTACATTCCTTAGCAGGTTTATCAACAATCACAACAACCTTCTACAAAATTATAATTAGTATTGTAGGGTATTCCCTATTTTAGAACTTTTGCCCTAATTTGCAAATCTTTTCTCGATATTTTCTTCAAATAGTTACTGTGGACAGTTTTTTCTGTTTTTAAGAATACGAACAAGGAAAAGAGAAACTGAATAAAGGCACTAAATCACTTGTCTCTATTAAACTCGATAATGTTTTTCCTTCTATACAGGCTTAAGTTTCTTTATTACTGATCCCGTTTTGCTCATCTGAATTGGAACTAGTAATAAATATACTATTAAATCTTTTATTAGGGATTTTAATTAAAAAGAATTAAAATATTCCCCAATCCTTTGCCACATTTTAATTAATTTTTCCTTATTTTTGCCACATTTTTGAGTGTTACAAAAAAATATCAAAGGTTGTAACCTTTTGTTCTTCGCAACTTTTATTTATCTTTTTTTGTTGTCTAGTTGGATATTTTTTAGGGCAACCTGGTTCTTTCATTCCCACAGAAAGACATTTATTAAGATAACATCGCTCACAGTCTAACAACCTTAGTTTTATTTTCCCAAAAGTTGTTAAACATTTACATTCAAATTTTTGTTTTTTATTTTTTAAATATATCCTTTTTAAATTAAAATATTTTTTTAATTTAAAAATAAATTTATAAAACTTAAAAAATGCAGCACAAACACTACAACAATTAACGTTATATTGATGTGAAATTTTCAAAGAAGAATCGCAAACTTGACATCTATTAACCAATTTTCTATCCATTTTACTTAAATAATTATTAAAAAAGTTAAAGCTCTATCAAAAATTAATTAATAATTTAATAAGTAATTTAGTAGGTATTTGATAATTTTATATTATTATGAGTTAGTAACCATGGGAATATATTTTTAATTAAAAAGCAGAAAAAGAATGGCTTTAAAACTGAAATGGAGGGGTAATTTGTCCAGTCACGAGATAAAATCTAAGTTTCTAAACTAGAATTTAGAAATAAATTGCTAAAAAGTTAGAAAGATTGAATGAAAAATCCACGTATGTTTGTACAGCTTTGTATATTAAAAGATAAACTAAAATTTATGTACACCTTATCTTTTCTCCTAAAATATACAGATGGGACAAAGTGAATGTAGTGCTTCCGGTAAAACTTTATTATACAACCTTTCATTACAACCCTTCAACTATTCCATTTTGTGTGGTTAAATTATGAAAAGAAAGGCATTTATTGAATATATTACACTGTGGTACAATTCTCGACTGGATTTGTTTTTAAATTAACGCGATTATTACAACATCAACAAGCTAAAATCCTTTTATATGTATTAGCGGCTCAGGCGAAGATTTTTGGATCTTTGATCTAAAGCGAGCCCATTATTAATCGGCACAAGCCTTGTCGAGCTGTATTTTTTGACACACGAGTCATGTGTCATGTTCTAGCTCGATCTTTCGAGGAAGTAAAATTAATATATTAATTAAAGACGATATTAATATTATATATAGTACATAAAATTAAGGGAAGATTTTATTTATTTTCACTTAAATTTTAATTTTTAGATTACTAGAAATAAAATGCTAAAATCTACATATATGTAAATGGTGAATGAAAAACCCCTCGACTATTTGTTTAGCTCTAAATATTGAGAGATAATAGAATTTATTTAAACACTAATTTTGCGTTGAGGCTGTCACACAGCTACTTTGCGCGTCACAGCGTGTCACACTAATTAGCTTTTTAAATTTAAAATTAAATTTTTAGAAAAACTAAAGGGTATTAATAAATTTAAAAAATTAATTTTGGTAAAATAAGGTTTGTGATTATAGAAAGAATAAGGTTGAATATTCCCCGACATGGAATATTCAGAATAACAATAAAGTAGGAATTAAATTGAGGTTGTCATAAGTGGCGGAAATTTACTTAAGACCGATTCAATTTTAGGCTTTAATTGAGTAAATTTTTGCATAGCTACATATTAGGTATGCTTAAAATATTTTACTATTATAGATGGGTAAAAAATACTACTTTGCGTAATGTATATATATGGGAAATAGGCTCTACTCTAGCTTAGTAGTCCAATGAAAGTTTACTAGTCCAAGGAAAGTCGTCTGTTACTCAGTTTGCGGTCGTCTAAAGGAAAAGTACCATTTTATCCACAAGAAAAGTAAAAAATTCATTTAAATTAAAATAAAATTAGTAAAAAAATTTAAAGTTTTTCTTTTGAATTAGAAGAAGAAAAAATAATATTTTTTAATTTTTCATTATTTTCCATCATTTCTGCTTTTGAGATCATTCTTTTATAAAATACCAACCAACAAAAAAGACAAAGAATCAATTGAGAGCCAATAAATTCCCAAATATGTCTAGGTCCATAATTTTCAAAAACCCAACTAAAAAATAAATTGGTAATTATTTAAATTAATATTATTTTAATTAAATAAATAAATTTTGAATTAAAAAAATAATTTTTTCTAGAAAATTTTTTCATTAAAACTTTAAACTTTCTTTGATAATTAACCATTCTTACTCATTTTAAATTATTTTTAAAATATTTTTATTCTAAATTTACCTAACAGCTATAGGTCCACCCAAAAGTTCCAAAACTGTTTGGCAAACAAAAAATATTCCTTGCATTACACCCTAAAATATTTAAATTTATTTTTAATTAATTAAAATATACCTGTTTAATATTTCCAAGTATTTTTGAATATAAAATATCTAAATTCATTCTAACTACTGGCATAGCCATTCCTGTACTTAATATTAGAGATGACATATAGAGCGGCATATTTGGTCTTAAAAATATTTTTTAAAAATAAACTTTAAAAGAATTTATTGCAGATAACTTTTGTATAAGTAGTTAAATATGGGTTTTGAATTGAGGATTATTTTAACTCTATTGTGGTTACAGCCCTAGAGCAAATCCTATAGCAACACACAGACTGTAAAACTAAACCCAGAAAGAATATTTATTTAAAGATATACAAGTCCATATATCCTTTCCCCATATCTTACAGTCCTCAAAAACTCCTCAAAATTCCTCATAAATTCACAAATAATTTTTCTAAAAATATATATTTTTTTACTTTGTAGTAGTTCCACACCATTCATAATGTGAAGGACAACCGGGATGACTTTCAGATCCACAATTAGATATATTCTCTATTATTTCTGTTTTATTATTTAAAAAAGTGGAGAGTAGTGAAGGTGAAGAATTTAAAGCATATGGAAATGTTTCTGACAAAAATGGCCAAGAATATGTAAATAAATAACCTCCCATAAGTACAATTAACCCTAACATAACTGATTGACGTTCTGATATTCTTTAAAAATTGAAATTTATTTTTCTTTTTTTATTTTAATTTCAAAAAAGATTTTATTTAATCCAAACATCATATAAGCAGCTGGCCAAAGAATTAGTTGAATTGCCACTGCTACCCCGCATAAACCACCATAAAATTGAAGTTGGGAGGCATCCCATTGAAAAGCTAATTGTTGATATGGTGAACTGATACTTTAATTGAAAAAAGATAATTTTTTAAATTTATTTTTGTAATAAATAATTTTAGTGAGGAGTTATTTAGTCTAAAATTATTTAAATTATTTAAATTATTTTATATAGCTTTCTTCAAAGTAAGGGTCCGATACTTTCAGTAGTACCCTGGTACAACTGAACTGTTCTCAACATTAATTTTAATTTGTTTGCCATTGAGCCTAGATAAATTTATTTTATTAAACCGACGTCATTAAATTAAGCATAGCCATACTAATCACTAACTGAGTATAACAACAAATTAAAACGGCAACCCAATCAAAAGAATAACTACTTTCTGCGTGTATATCTTTTAAATTTTTTTAGAAATAAATTTCCAAAAAAATATATTTTTTAATTAGTACCTTTTTTATTTTCTTTTAATTTTTCCAAATTATTTGGAATCCAACATTGAATATTTTTGTTTTCATTTTTAATCATTTCTAAATTATTTTTACTATTTATTTTTTGCATTTTTTCATAAATATGCCATTTTCCATCAAAATGATAAATTAACAAATAAAGTGCCAATAAAAATATAAACATTGAAAATATTATTGGTGCAGTAAATAAATTTAAATGAATTTTAATTAAAGGAATTTCAATTCCTGGGTATTTCATATAACTCGTTCCAGCATTTATTGCTACAAAAAAAGGGAAATTTTAATTTCCAAAAGAAGTTTTCTTTACCAAATCCGACAAGTAACCCAACGGCTGGTAAAAGTGCCGTTAAAGCAATTGCTTTATTTCTATCTTTTTCTGTGCTAGCCATAGCTACATGAGTTCTTGACATACTTCCCCCACCTTTAAGATGAATTTTAATATTTATTTAAAATTATTTTCACTCAACCACTAGCAATTCCCATCAAAATTTTGTAGCAAAGAAAGAAAGCATAAAATGCAAATCCTTTAACTAATTCAGCTCCCAAAAAGAATAATGTAGAAATTAATATTAGCAATTTGGATATTATAAGTATTTGTCTAGAATTAAATTAATTATATTTCTAAATAAATATTATTTAAAATTCAACTATATAATATTTTGAAAAATTAAAAGAAAATAAAAATTGTAAAAAAATTAAATTTCTTTTTATTTTGAGAAATTGGAAACCCGATGATCCTTGGCACTGGGCTTGGAATTGTAAAAAAATTTTCGATTATTTTTTTTGAGAAATTTGGAAATCCGATGATCTTAAAAACACTAGACTTGGAATAAGTTCGGGGAAATTTTTCGCAGTATATACCAGGGAACGAGCCGACATAAAAAAATTTCCCAAAGAAATTTAAATTCCCGATTTCGGGAATTCTCGACCCAAAAAAACGTCGAAAATTCCCCATTTTCGGGAATCGGGTCGACTCGTTCACTGGTTTATACCAGAGATGTCATGCCACATTTTATAAAACCGTAAGAAGAGATCCTATCCCTAATATATGAATGGGACTTTAATAAAGTTTGGGAATCACGTCACCCAAAAGAAAAAATGTTCTTTACAATAATATTTTAGTCTTTCTATTCAATATTTACGAGATTTTATATTAAATAAAGCATTAATATAAAATATTTTTAAATAAATTTAAGCACCTCGTGTCTTTCAATCGATTACATAACCAACCAGCCAATATCGTCGAAATCCCCCCACTCAGCCCCCCAACTGTACGTAAAATACCATAAAATGTAATTGTAGCAGAAGGGTCCAACTAAATTTTTATCAAAAATAATTTTTCTTAAAAAATAAAAAAATACTTGACAAAAATAATTCCAATCATTACTCGCTGCAAATTCTAATGCAGCAATAAATGCAACAATGGCAACAATATAAATAGATTTCCAGTTAGTTTTTAATATTGGGGGATTAATTGAAGGGATAATTGTGTGGCTTTCCATCTTTAAAAAAGAAAAAAGTTTTATTTTATTTAACAAAATCTATATTTTTCAAAAATGTTAAAAATTTACTAATATTTTTATTATACTTCAAACTTTATATAAAATAAAAGTAATAAAAATGTGTAAATACAAACTATATATACCGTATTTCTTCTAATAGTGCGACCGGTCGGTCTATTTTTCAACCCCCCTCTAGAGGGTCGGTTTATTAGAAGGGGTCGGTCTAATAGAGGGAGTCGGTTTATTTTTCAATACTGGAAATTAGATATCGAACAAACGGCTAGATCAAATATTTAATCAAATAATTTGAAAATTATCGATATTTGAAAAAATCTACTTTTACCGAAAGTCATCAAACAAATTTTTGATCAAATTATTTGATACTATTTGAAAAAATTTGATCAAAAAGTCAAATATTTGATTGAATAAAAAAATTTTGATTGAAAAAAAAATTTTGATCAAATATTTGATTGAAAAGTCAAATATTTGATTGATAATGGGGGTCGGTCTAATAGAAGGGGTCGGTCTAATAGAGGGAGTCGGTTTATTTTTCAACCTTCCTCTAGGGGGTCGGTTTATTAGAAGGGGTCGGTCTAATAGAAGGAGTCGCACTATTAGAAGAAATACGGTATATAAAAAAATAAAATATTTATTATAAAAATTTTTATTTTGAAAAATATTTATTTTTATATTTTATTTAAAATAATTTTTAAAAAAATTTAAAAATTAATTTCCCAATATTTATTCAAAAATTCAAACTTTTCATTGAATTAGTATTTTAAAATTTGTATTTAATTTTTTAAAAAGGAAAAAAAGAGAAAATGATTTTTTTTCTAGCAGGTGTTTAATTCTAATTATTTAAATAAATATATATAATTATTTAATATTAAATTTAAATAAATTTTTTTCTTTTAAATAATTGATGAAATACAAATTAAATAATTAGAAATTAAATTCAAATAATTTTATATTTTATTTAATTTTAAAAATTTAATTAATATTTAATTTTGTGTTAAAGAATAATTTTCAAAGAAATAAAATATTAAATTAAAATAAAAATGTTTTAAAATTGTATTAAAATGCATGATATTTATTAAGTTAATAATGAAAAAAATATTTTAAAAAATAAATTATAGACAAAAAAATTTGAAAAAAATTTTTTTGTTTATATTTGTTAAAAAAATTTAAAGAATTTTGGTTATTTTTTACTTAAATCTGAATCTGTTCTGAATTTGTGACCACCTTAATTAAAATGATGTTTTTTATAATAAAAGATAAGCTTAAAAATTAATTTTAGACAAAAAACTGATAAAAAATTTAATTTAATTTGAGAATTTATAGTTTGTTATTTTAAATTATTTTTTTCGAATATTTAAAATAAAATTTAACTAAAAAATTCCAAACTATAATAAATAAAAATAAATAAAGAGAAAAATAAAAAAGATAAAATTTTAATCCAAAATTCAAAAAAATGAACAAGAATTAAACATTTATTTATTGATTATTGACAAAAATATAGAAAAATAATTTTAAAAAATAAAAATGTACTATTTTAATAAGGCTTAAAATATATTTTAATAATTTTTTAAATTGTGTATTTATGTATTTTATATTTTAATGAATATACGGTCATCGACATAAAGATAGGGGCAAGAGTAGCTGAAATGAAAATTAACATTTTCTCAGTTAAAAATTCATTTTAGGAAAAATTTTTATTTTATTAGATACTCCATTTAATCCTCTATTTAATGAGTATATAAAAATTATTATTTTAAATATTTTTTAAAAATATTTTTAATTAAATTTTGAGGTGTTGAATAAATGTTTGTTTTTATTTAATTAAAGTTCTAAGAAGAAAATCAAACAAAAAATGCTGCTATGATTTATAAGAGTGGTTTCTTTTTTACTAAATTCTCTCAAGCCATTCAAATCCCTCATATTTACCTATAATTTTTTGATCAAAAAATTTTAATCCAGTTTTAGTTATTCAATTAAATATACCTAACTAAAAACAAATATTAATCTTTTATTTTATTAATCTTCCCATTTAAAATTAAATATCCAATTTTAAATAATTGGAATAATAAAATATTAAAAATATTATTTTTAAAATTGGGGAAGTGTAAAATAAATTTATCACTTTTTCTACTTTTTCGTATTTCCATATTTTTGAAGCATTTCTTTTTCTCTTTATACTTTGACACGTGATCGACGGGCAAAGACACTTGTGCGTGGTGGACAAGGACAATATGCTCCTGTTTGATAAAAATATTAATTAATAATTATTCAATATTAATTTACCATCGTGTCCTGGTACTCCAGCTGGTCCTGCTTGTCCAGGTCCTCCAGGCTGGCCAGGGGTCCCATTTCCTCCAGGGGGACCAGGAGGTCCGGGTGGACCTTGTCCTCCAGGCTGGCCAGGTCCTCCAGGTGCTCCAGGCGTGCCAGGGCCTCCAGGATTGCCAGGCGGTCCTTTTGGTCCAGGAACAGAAGTGCTGAAAAATTATTTTAGTTAAAACATTCAAAATAAGTTTACCTTTTGACTCCAGGATTTCCAGCTGGTCCGGGTTGTCCAGGTCCTCCAGGCTGGCCAGGTCCTCCAGGGGGACCGGGTGGACCAGGCGGGCCGGGTGGTCCTGAGCCACCTCCTCCACCAGGTGGACCAGGAGGTCCGTTTCCTCCAGGCGGTCCAGGTGGGCCTTGGCCTCCAGGATTGCCAGGTGGTCCAGCAGGACACTTTTGGCATGTGGTTGATGGTGGAGGGCAGGCTGTAAAAGTATTTTTAAGATTACTTTATCATTAAGGAATTAATATTTATTAGCAAAATTTTAATCGGATTCATATCTAAATTTATTAAATCTAATAAATACATATTTTATGTTTAGATTTAATAAAAAGTCATTAGATATATCTAAATTTATTAAATCTAATAAATACATATTTTATGTTTAGATTTAATAAAAAGTCATTAGATATTTTATTTTAGATATTTTTAGTAATAAAATTAAAAAATTACGTGGTCCTTGCGTTCCAGGTTGGCCAGGGCCTCCAGGTTGGCCAGGGCCTCCTGGATTTCCAGCAGGTCCAGGAGGACCTAAAATTAAGAGAAATTAAAGAGGAACGGAATTATTTTCTGACCAGGTGGTCCTGGTGTACCAGGTGGGCATTGGGGTTGGATTGGTGGACCACAGTTGCAATGTCCAGGAAGGCCACGCTTTTGACGTAAGAAGATTGAATTGAATGGATTTTCGCGTGGCTTGGATGGTGGAGTAACGCTGACTTGGACCTCCATTAAAGATGTCCATGCAGAGTCAGTATTAACTCTGAAAGCCTGAACACCATCGAATACTCGAGAATTCACATCGCTCATTTGGTTGTAAAGTTGGGGAACAACCACCAACACAGCCAAAATCGAAGCGATTGAACATGCGGAAGCAATCCCAATGACCAACTTTGCCTCGTTCATTATTTACTTTAAAATTAAAAGAAAATTACCAAAAATATTTTTAAAAATATAAAATCAAATTATTATGGAAGGAATAATTTTCATTTGGTAATACACAATTCTTTTATAGGCAAATCACAATCACATAAAGAACTTTCGCTGTGAAGAAAACAAACCAGCTTTTTCGGCCATCAATTCCTCCCAAAAAATTCTTCTTTTTTTACTTCCATTTGCATTCGGTAATTTTCCTTCTTCTCAAAACATTTTTTCAACAAAGGCAAGCATCCTCGCATTTTTGCGCGACCGCTGCTTTACTCAAACAAAACATCTCCAATATATTTACGCATTTTTCTTACAAAAAGATGCTTGCTTTGCTTCTCCTCCGCCTGAGGGCACTGCGCAGTAAAGCAAATTACAATTTATTCAAGGACAGGTTGAGTAAGAGAACATTTTTAGTTTATTTTTTTTATTATTCTCACAATCAACTGTAAATAAATATAAATTGCACGATAAATAAAAAAAATATTTAAAGGGTGGGCAGTAAAGCAATAAAACCTTTAAATTAAATTATTCCTTTTTTTAGTTTCACAGTTATTTTTAAATTATTTTACTTGGAACCTTTTTTATATATTAGTAATTTATAACCTAAACAAAATATATACCTATAATTAACAGAAAAAACTTTTAGGTGGAACCCCGAGGAAGTTAAAGTAAAACAGAAAAAAATATTGTCTAATTATTAATTAATTTAATCTTAAGAGTTTTTTCACAAACTTTAGGGTTTAAAATTTTAATATTTTATATAGACTTTTACATAAAAGAAAGAATTTTTAAGAGCTTTTTTTAATTTTTTTAAAAATTTTTTTAATTAAAAAAGCTATAATTACATATGTATTATAATTACTGAAGAATCCTTATTTTTTATTAAATAGTATTAAAACTTTAAATAAAATTCTGATGCTTAAATAAATTTTATTTTTCAAATAAAATCATTAAATTAAACAATATTTAAAAATTTTTCTAATTTTTCTTATAACTAAACGGAAAATCAACAATCGGCATTGGTGGCAACTTTTCACTATCATCATATTCTCTAAGTATCTGCGCAACTGTTTTTCGAATCCACGGCACAGCATTAATTTTAATAAGATATTGGGCATTAAATATTCCATTTTCTGTTTTCTTTTTTTGAACTAATTTTACGCAAAGTTGGTGTTTTTGATCACGAATTAAATAAAGAGAGATATCATAAAAGTCAGAAATAATCTCTCCAAAAGCTAATTCCTCATTTGGATCTAAAAGTTTTAAAAATTTGTATAATATCCCCAATATCGAATAAAAATAAATTTCAATTTATCAGAAAAATGAATATTCTGCACAAAAAAATCTTAAATTTAAACTCACTTAAATGATCAATAAATTTTTTGCTGTCACAAGCAACAATAATTTCATCAAGAATTCTAACAAATTTGTAAGCCTCTTCTGGCACAGGCAATTTAGGTAAATTTGCAAATTTCCACCTCCATTCAGTTTTTGCCGTTCTAAATATTTTCGTTATTTTAATTGTTCTTCTGCCAGAAATTCCTTGCTGTAAGCTAATATTCATAGAAAAATTCGCTCCAAACTGTAATTTTTCTAGAACAAAATTAGCTTTAATTGCTTCTAGAAAAATTTAAATTTTTATTTTAAACAATTATTAAAAAAAACCTTTTTGAATACCAGAATTTGTTTCATTCATCATAGACATACTCGAACTATATTTCTATAATTGAAAAATATATTTTAAAAAATAATTGTATTTTTATTAGGGTTGCCAGCTCGCTCGACCCGAAACTCGAAAGATCGAGCGAGCCAAGAATCGAAAAAACCAAGCTCGAAAAAATGAACCGAGGTCATATTCGAACTAAGCACAGTCGACTACCTACAGGCAGACCTCAAAAATATCGAAAAAGCACTTCTTCCACATTTTTTCTAGGGACCAGTAAAAATAAGGATTACCGTTAATTGTATATTTCAAAAAAGGGCCGTTTCTTCCCTAACTTATAATTTTTAAATATTAAACTAACCACATATTTAGATGAACTGAAATTTTCATTGTAACGACATAATTTAACCAAAGAAGTAGTAAAACCTCTCGATTGTTGACCAAAATATTTAAATAAATTAGAAGATCCAACAAATTTTAACATTTTAAAATCTACAAAATATTTTTAAAAAACTGTTTAAAATAGAAATGAATAAAAAAGAGTAGTTCAACTAAACTTTTATAATTAAACATTCCAATGCTTGAAGAAAATTTTATTTTTCCAAAAAACCATTAAATTAAACAATAAATTTTTTATCAAAATTTATTTTTCTTTTCTAATTTCTCTTATAACTAAACGGAAAATCAACAATCGGCATTGGTGGCAACTTCTCACTATCATCATATTCTCTAAGTATTTGTGCAACTGTTTTTCGAATCCACGGCAAAGCATCAATTTTGATATAAAATTGTCGATACATTCCGCTTTGTTCCATTTTTTGAATAACTTCTAAAAAAAGTCGGCCTTCCTGATCTCGCATTAAATTGAGAAAAATATCATAGAATTTTGTGAAAAGTTTTAGAGAAGTTAATTCTTCATTTGGATCTAAAAATTTTTAAAATTGTTTAGAATATTAAAAGAGAATTTTGAACAATTTAATATAGAAATATGGATTAAAATATTTTGAGAAAAGTTAAAGAAAATGTAGGGAAAATGAGAAAATATGGAAGAAATGTGCATAAAAACCTTCAAAAAAACTAACATAGGTAAGCCTTATGAATTTCACAATTTAAAAAATTTTAAACGACTAAAAATTTACTTTAATGCATAGAATTTGAACTAATATACTATGTTTTTGTTTAATTATTAATTTATGTTATCAATAAAAGAAAAAATTTCTAAAAACTAACTTAAATACTCGCAGAACTTTTTGCCATCACAAGCAATAATAATTTCATCAAGAGCTCTAACAAAATTATAAGCCTCTTCTGGCACATCCAAAGTAGGTAAATCCATATATTTCCAACCAGTATTTTGTCCTCTAAATGATTTAGTCACTTCAATCAATTTTTTCCCAGTAATTCCTTGTTTTAATTTAATAATCACACTATCATTAGCTCCAAGGTGTAAGTTTTGACGTACGAGATTGTCTTTAATCGACTCTAAAAAAATTTAATTTTTAAAAATAATTTTAATATTATTTTTATTTATTTAAAATTAACAAGGGAGGGGAATTATATATTTAATTATGTCGACAATTTTCTTCATATATTTAGTCATAACATAGATAACAGACTACATATTTTTGTTAATACTTAGGTTGTAACATAAGTTTTGATACCCGAGCATGTTTTTTCGATGAATACTTTATGGATATGGATGTTCTATATACCATTCGAAAGCTTAATTCGTATCTCGTTTGACATGTTTCAGCGTTTATTAAAAAAATTTAAAACTTCCTAGATATACACTGATAAATGGGATATAGTCGGATATGCCAAATCCGGATCTGGCTATATAAATTTTTTACAAAAGATCTAACATAAAATGATTATTCATAATAATTTTAGAAGCCAGAATCAAAAAAAATCAGGGACAAATCTTTTTCCTAGCCCAAGATATGAATTTTTAAAAAACGGGAATTTTTCACTTTTTTGTAAAATTATTTGGTCGCTAAGAGAAATTTTTCTCATTTTGTCACACTTTTGTCAAAAATGTTAAAAAATATGTGATTTTCAAAAAATCATATCTCTGCTCAGACACAAAATTTTTAAATTTTGTTTTTTTATCCTAACTCAGAAAAATCCACGGAATAGTAATAAATTAATTCATCTTTTGTAAAAAATTTATATAGCCAGATCCGGATTTGGCATATCCGACTATATCCCATTTATCAGTGTATATCTAGGAAGTTTTAAATTTTTTTAATAAACGCTGAAACATGTCAAACGAGATACGAATTAAGCTTTCGAATGGTATATAGAACATCCATATCCATAAAGTATTCATCGAAAAAACATGCTCGGGTATCAAAACTTATGTTACAACCTAAGTAAAAAAATATTTAAATACTTGTTACAGTTGGAAATTTTGTTTCATTCGTAAACATATTCGAGCTAAATCTCTATAAAAATAAAAATAAGTAATTTATTTTAATTATTTTCCTCGTCCAATAATAGACCCGGAAAGTTTCAAGTACTTTTTAAAGTTTTTTAAATTAAATCTTCATAAATAATGACATTTAAAAACCCTACCGCTTAAAAATAACCCCACAAATAATCATAATTTCATTAAAAACAATATTTAAATAATTCCTTTATGGGAAAGCTTAAGCCCACAAAATTTATTTTATGTAAAAAAATATTTATAATTTTTAAATATCAAACTAACCTCATATCTAGATGAACTAAAACTTTCATTGTAACTACATAATTTAACTAACGAAGTAGTAAAACCTCGCGATTGTTGACCAAAATATTTAAATAAATTAGCTGATCCAATAAATTTTAACATTTTTAAATCTAAATAAAAATAAAACTAAAAAATATAAAATAATAAGCCAGCAAAATCGCATTCCCGTAATTCCGTAACGAGATTGCTCCCTCTTATCGCTTAAAACCCCGGAATTTCAGGACTCGATCCGTAAAATCCCATAATGAATCCCTTCCATGCCGATCTTCAATTAAAATCAAAATTTTTTAGAAAATTTTTAATCTGTTGACATTTTTAGTTGACATTTCGAAATTACTTCAGCAAAAAAATTTCAAAATATCAAAATTACAAAATGGCAAATTTTAATTCATCGTTAAACTTTTTAATTATTTCTAATTTTGCTATGCTTTTAAATAAAAATAAATTAATATTTTTCTTTTTATTTTTAATTAAAATAATTTTTCTATTTTCCATTGAATGTTCCTCAATAAATAATTTTTTTGCAAAATCAACACACACAAATAATTGGTTTTATTTTAAATATTTTTAATAAAAATTAATTTTTAAATTAGGGCTGTATTAGTTTGTTCTTCTCGTTTTTGGTTTAATTATCGTCATGTGTCAAATGTTCTTTCTTTATATAAATCCTTAAAAAGATTGGGAATGCCTGACAGGTTTGTAAAAATTTTTTTAAATTTAAAAAAAATATTTTTTAGTAATATTATTTTGATGTTGGCTGATAATATTCCCTGTAACGCCAGAAATCCATCTCCTGGTTTATTTAAAATTATCAGATTTATTTTTCAATATTTTTAGCTGCTATTTATAATAACGCCCATTCTCATCAAAATTTATTTTTGGAAGATACAGAAGTTGATTATCGTGGTTATGAAGTAACTGCCGAAAATTTAGTTAGATTACTTACAAGTAGACAAATTAATTCTACTCCAAGAAATAAGTAAATATTTAATTAATTTTTATTTTTTAAAATTATTTCAAAGGCGTTTACTGAGTAATTCACAAAGTAATGTTCTTATTTATTTGACGGGACATGGAGGGGAAGGTTTTCTTAAATTTCAAGATGCTGAAGAATTAACTAGTCAAGACTTGGCTGATGCGATTGAAACTATGTGGCAACAGAAAAAGTATACATATTAATAGATTTTAATATTCTAAATGTTCGGCACTTTAATTGGGTTCTTGGACATTTTTTAAGAAAATATTTACAAGGTTATATAAAAAAAGTAAGTCCCTCAAGTATTGACGGCAAGAGAGTATTACCCCCTCGCTATTTACTAGAATTTCATTAAAATTCAAATTAATGTATTATTTTTCAGATATAATGAACTTATGTTAATTGCCGACACTTGTCAAAGTGAATCAATGTATCAACTTATTTACTCCCCCAATGTATTAGCTACATCTTCTAGTTTGGTAAATTAAGAAAAAAATTCTTTGTAAAAAATATTTTTGAGGTTGGAGAAGATTCATTGTCACATCATAATGACCGTTCCATAGGTGTTTATATAATTGATAGGTAATATATTAAATATTTTCTTGAATTTTTATTTTAAATTTTAGATACGCTTATTATATGCAACAATTTTTGGATGAAAAAGTACTTGCTTTAGAATCAAATTCTTCTTTAGAAAATTTTGTCAAAGTATTTTTAAATTAATTTTTGATTTTAAAAATATATTCTTTATTTCAGTATTGTGATAAATCAAAATGTATTTCGACTGTTGGAGTAAGAAGGGATCTTTACGATAAATGTTTAAAAGAAGTTCGTGTAACAGACTTTTTTGGTGCTCGCCGTTATGCTCATCCGTTCAATTCTAATGATCTTAATTTTGATTGGTCAACGCTTTAATTAAAATTCAAAGTAAATTATTATTATTTTTTACAAAATTTTTAAAACAAATTTATCAAATTATAAAATTTTAAAACAATTTTTCGAAAAAAATAATTTAAATATCAACCTGGTCTTTCAATTTCCTTCGTTCTAATTTTCTTTCCCATTTTACTCGCTTTTTCAAACAACGCATCCATATCGGCAGCAAAGTTGAGTTTTTTCTCAAATCGCCTTCTTTTAACCGGTTTTCCATCTTTTGTTTCATCCCTATTTTTCCCATTTATGGCATTTATTGAAGCAATAACACTAAAAATAAAGTAATTTTAATTATATGTAATAGGAAAATTAAATGATTTTTTTGGAAAGGCAGAAGAAAATTTGAAATTTCCCGTTCTAGAAAAGTCAAAAAAGATAGAATTTTCTTAAAATTGAAACCTAAACCCCAACAAAATTTTTTGGAAAGCTTTAAAATAGTAAAAACAAACTGTTGTCGCTTCTTTTTATGACGGCGTTCCCTCTTTTTGTCGGTCTCAGTTCGTTCTATTTTAGATTTTGGCACCGCTTTAGTCCTCCGAATAATTTCTTCCGGTGCCAATAAGTTAACATCCGGTTCTGTAGTTGCTGTTGGACCAACTTCCTTAATTAAAAACGTTTTAATTCACAATTTTAAACCTAAAAAAACAAACTTCTACTCGAAGACTTGGCATATTATTAACAATTTTTGCCTCATCAGTTCGTAATATCTGTGGCCGAAATTGGAAATGACTCAAAGCATCCAAACTTAGAAAAAGTGAATTCATATCTTTTTGAATCTCAGCTGTTTGTGGATCCAATTCAGCAGTAATCTGATTTAAAAAATAATAATCTACCAAATATAAAAACCAAAAAAACCTTTTCTTGTTGCTTATCTTCCTTTTGAGCATTAGACAATTTATCTTCATAAACTTCAGCCAATGATTTTCTAACATTTTGTTCAATTTCTGTTTGATTTCGGTAAACTGTTGGTATCAGAGCTGCTTCATTCTCACGAAATTTTCGAACAACATCATTAAAAAACTTTAAATAATTAAAAAACAAAAAAGAAAAGAAAACCTTTTCTTTGCAACGCTTTCGAATTATTGCCTCCAATCTTTGAGTAGTTTCTTCATTAATTGTAGGTGGTGCACTAACTTGATAATCAACGTCTACTAAATGTTCTAATAATTCATCAGTTTTGCGTTCTTCACCCACGACTTCTCCTTGTAAAACCCAATTCCTTGGCTTCAAATTTTCTTCTTCATAAGATTGAATTATTGAATCCATCTAAATAGATTTTTATTTAAATAATTACATATTTGAATACCTCTTTTGCAATGTCAAAATCGCCCAAATTACGTTCAGGATTCTTACGTTGTTCTTCTTCAACTTTATCTTGAGCATCCAAAAATGCTTCCATTTCTGTCAGATTGAAAAATTGGTCATCTACAACCGATTTTGGAAGTTTTTTACGACGAGCCTCAACTGCTTCTACACTTTCAATATCTTCTTCATAACTTTAAAATTAAAAATACGAGATGCAAAATGTGGAAACCACTAAAACATAAAGCAAAAATGAAAATCCCAAATCTGTTTTGTATCAACTCAGCAAATTAAAAATCCTTAGCCCCAACCGAAAATAATTTAAAATTCGTTACAAACCAATTGGAAGAGCTATCGCTTTCTTCAGCTTCTTCCATCTCTTCGTCTGAGGCAGAAGAATTTAATGAAGTTTCTGCTTTTGTAATTTCAGTTTCTGATGCTTCATCCTCGAATTCATCACTTTCTTCATTAACGCTCGAGCCAGATTCGACGTCATCATTTGGCCGCAAATATATTTTTTTATTTTGTGACATTTATCTAACGAAAAAAGAACAATTTTGAGAATAAATTTAAAAGTTATTAAATTATAAAATAAAATTTAAAAAAATAAAAAATATTTAAAACTGTTTTATTCAAAGAATAATATTTAAAAAATAATTTAAACGATTCAAAAAATTGATAAAGATTCTCATAACATGTATAATTTTCAAAAATAAGTATAATGCTCAAAATCAATTGGGTATGATATAAATGAATTTAGATATAGGAAAATACCTGAATTAAATTTTGCCAATAAAGGCAAGTAACAAATTTAATAAAATATTTTTTAAGCAGATTTGACAAAAGCCCGTAATTCGGATTAATAAGTAAGACATGTATGGCTGGCTATATTTGAGATAATAGATTTTGAAAATAAATATAATGTAAATAAAACAGTCAAAATAAAATATGATAACTTTGAATAAATTTTTTAAATAAATTTTAACTGAAAAAATCTGGAATATATAGATTAAAAAATTAAAAAAAAACAAAAAAGCACTTGTAAACAAACCAAAAAGGCAAAATCTACCCAAAAATTTTCGAATAAAAATGCAATTAATACACTTTGAAGTCTCCTTTTGCTGAATCATCTTTTTGCCTCCAATCCATGCTTTCTATTCCTGTTCTTTTCCATCGAGCAACATCCTCTCGTCGAGGTTCTCTCGTAGCCTCAGCTAACCTCAATACATGTGGAGTTATTCGTTCAGGAAGGCGCACATTAAAAGTCACAACTAATTGTCCACGTTTACAATCATCTTTTCGATCAGGCAATCCACCACCCAAAATACTAAAATTGTAAATATATTTACAAAGAAAAATATGGTTGAATTTTAAGGATGGGTGAAACATTTTGAGAAAAAAATAATTTTATAATATGAATAGAAAACCAGACCTATGAATTGTCCCAGGCTGTATTGGCTTTTCAAAATTAATGTCAAAATCAGGTCCACCCAAATTTGGGACTAGCACTTTCCCAGCCAAAGCATCACAAAGAGGAATGTCCATATTGCATCTATTTTAAATAAAAAAATATTTTTGAAAAATTAAAAAAACCTAAGAGTAGATCCATCCCGTTGAAACAACGAATGTTTTTCTTCTTTAATTAAAAAGACAATATCTGCGGGTATACGTCCAGGATAAACATCTCCCTTTTTTGGATATGTTATTTTGGTACCCTCTTTCCATCCTGGTTTAATTTCTACAGACAAATGTTCTTCTTCTTTTACTAAAATTCCATCAGCAACAAGCACTTCTCTTAAAAAGTTGAAAATTTTATGACAAAAAAAATAAAATTTGTGGTACTTGGCGATGTAAGGAAATTTATCTTTGTGATTAGAAGTGGGGGCCGGATCCGAAAAATCCCCCCAACCATGTTTGTGATAATTTATTAATTTTATAAATAGAATACCTTTCAATACGAATTTTTCTTGTCGATCCATTACAAATTTCTTCTAAACTAACTTTAACATCATATAATATTGGTTCGTCTTGTTTGGGAGGTGGTGGTGGTGGCGGGGGTGGTGGAGGCGGCGGTGGAGGAGCACGCTGCATTGATGGCGGTGTTGAAAAGCAAGGAGGCGGTTGATAAGCTGGTCTTGAAAATGTTGGAGATTGTCGAAAGTTTCCAGTTCTACCGCGACCTCTGACATCTCTAGTAGCTGTATGAGCACCTCTACTATTTGTAAAAGTGTGACCATTAAACTAAATTAAAAAAGTAGAAAGGATTAAAATTAAAAAACAAACGTGACGATTAGTTGTTCTTGGACTACTTGCAAACGAGAAGGAATTAAAAATATCTGACAAATGTGTAGTATTTCCAAGTTTTGCATCATAAGTTCTTCTTTTTGCAGGATCAGATAAAACTTCATATGCTTCTTGCAGAGCCTAAAATTAATATACAAAACTAGAACAAAAAATTTTTTAAGAATAAAATGAATTTCTATTAGAAAATTCTCTCCCCAACAATTTGAAATTAAAAAATAAATTTAAAACCTTGAATTTGTCCCCAGAACAGTCATCTTGATTTTTATCTGGGTGTAATTTTAAAGCCTGTTTTCTATATGCTTTTTTAATTTCATCACTACATGCTGTCATAGAAACATTTATAATTTCATAGTAATCTTTTACACAAGATTTTGTCATTAGTGAAGTGCCAATTTGAAAGAAAAAAAACTAATCTAATACTACGCTAATACATCTAAAATAAATTTAAAAAGTAAAGGTAATCTGTATTCCCATAATTAAACATATAAGAATTACTTCTAGAAGACGAAACTCACAGAGATACAAACCCGCAAAAACCTCCGTTGAAAAATTTAAAATTCTATAGGGAGACCATTCGGAGTTTTTTGTTTTTAATTGCCTGTCTCACACGCTTGCCCTTGTCAAAAGTAAATGGCTAAATAAATCGATGTTTATTTTTTATTTTTAAAGACGATTACAAATAAAAAGTGAAATTATTGAAGGAATGAATTAGGCTACAGGGAAATTTTTTAAATTATGCAAGAAATGACTGAAAAACTCAAGTAAAAAGCTGGGAATAAGTACCAATAATAAAATTTAAAAAAATTTTTTAAATAAAAAATTAAACTATTTACTTACAAAAAGAAATTAGAAATACAGAAATCTATAAATGAAGAGGGCGGAAAGTAAAGAAAGGTTAAATATGTACAAGTTTGATTTATGCGTTTAGAAAAAGGTTGATAAGAAAATATAGAGGAATAAATTAAATATTTGGGAAAATACAAAATAAAGAACAAAGAAACGTTTAAAATATATTTTGAGGGAATGATTTGAATAGGGAAGACATCTTTATTAAAAATAACGTTTTAAAAATAAATCTGAAAACATTTACTGGAATTATTTCCAACGTTCTTCCTGTAAAATTTCACTGCGCTTAAGTGTCTGCAGCCCAGATAAACGTGAAACAAAATGCCATTTGACAAAAGATGCATAGACAAAAGACCGTCTTGGATAAAATGAAAAAAAGACCGTCATGACCGGAAGCGATCGTAGTCGTTTTTATGCTTGATTATTTTTATCGTTTTATTGCCTCTATCCAGCCATATTAATTGATAATAATAGAATAGGTCGATATCGAGAATCCTGCCAATGTAAAAAATAGATTACCGATGCGTTAATTTTTTTAGTTTTTGGGGATCGGGATTCCCGACCCAAAAAACGTTGGAGAGATCTACTAACGAGCTTCCCAATCTAAATTTCATATATTACAAATATGCACATACCCAAATTAAAAATTTCGTGCCTATCTAAAGCCAATATTTTTATACCTTTGTATTTGCCACTACCATGTTGAGCAGGAAAAAATCGATATAAATAAATGCCAGCTGCTACACTAAATCCACCCGGCAAAAGGACAATCGGGCATTTTATTCAACCCTTCCCCTTTTGTTATGCTTTATATTATTTTTTATAAAATTTATTTTTATTTGTTTAGTATTGTTTTTTAGAGAGGATATATTTGTTCTCTTTTCTTTATTTTTTTTTTCAATTTATGTTTGTATATATTGAAAATTTTATTATAATATTCTCTTGGGATAAAACATTGTTTTTATGCTGTTTACATCTAAATATATTTGTAAAAAAATATTTTTGGAATATTTTTAATGAAAAAATTTAGTAAAGTAAGAGCGAGGTATAAGTTTAATCCCGGGCAGGCTTCAATCCTGCGACCTCGTTTTAAAGCTAGCCAGCTGGATCTTTCTCTTCCTTACAGTAATTAAAGTTTATTATTCAAAAATTTAATTAATTAATTTAAAAATAATTTTAATTTATTTTTTCTTCAAAACTAAATAAATAGTAAATAAATAATAATTAAGTGGTCTGCTAATAAAAATAAATCCACAATTAAGAAGATACTAAGAGACAATAGAATAATTAAGAATTTTGTTTTCACATTAAATGTTTCTTGCAAAAAATATTTTTTTACTAAATTAGTTAATTTATTTTCCAAAATTTACCATCAACATTTTCTTTTTACATTTTTTTGTCTCTTTATTTTTATGTCAAACTTTCTTTTCTAAAATTAATTTAACTTGAAGAAAATTGCTAATACTAAGTGCCTTCTTCCAAAATAAAAAATTTCTTTTTATTGTTTTTCATTGTTTTTACTACCTCCATCCAAACATGTACACACAAAGAGAGCAACAATATCAAAGACTTCTCGATCGTTTACATTCTTTAAATAATCTAAAATCTTTACCCGACCAATTATTTGGTTATTTACTTGCCAAATCTGACCCTGTGCCTATTTCTGTGCCAAAAGGAGTTATTTGTGAGTTTTTAGTGTTTTTAAATTAATTTTTGATCGACCTAAATATTGGTGGCTGAAACTATTTAGGTCAATCGGCCAAAAGTTAAATAACTGTTCGAAACGCCTGAGTAGCTCATATCCAAGAAATCACGGTTTAAAATTCATTTTTTTTGAGATTGCTGGAGCCTGATTTATTTTTATAGAGCTTGAAGCAAGATGCCAAATACCTAGCACCAAAACTAAATAATTTATTTAAACATAATTTTAAAATAAAGTTATTCAATAGTATTTAATTTAATATATTTTCTCAATTTTTTAGTATTTCGGCAAGGCGAATGTGTACAAGGGTGGTATTTACTTCTTTCTGGAGAAGTCCAACTATACATTGAACAAACAATATCACAAAGCGAAAATAAATTCATTGAACAACAAATTAAAATTATAGGGCCGGGTAATTTATTTGGAGCATTACAAACTAGTCACAAACACTCCTGTTCAGCAAAAATCTTAAAAAATGCAGAATTTGTCAGAATTCCCCAAAATAATTTTCTTCTAATTTATAATGTTTGGAATTTTTTAAAATAAAAAAAACTTTTAATTTAAAGAAATGGGCAGATAGATTACAATCTTGTATTGTTTTAATGGAAGATTTAAATAATAATAATATACAAAACCCCCCAAAAAGTAGCAGACAACTTCCAAAATTACCAAATGAAAAGAAAAGAAAAACAAAAGAAGAAAAAGAAAATAACAACAATAAATTACAACAAAATGAACAATTAAAAAATAAAAAAATAAATAATTTAAATGAAGAAAAAATTGAAAATAAAAATATTGAAAATGGGTTTTTATTGGAAATTAAAGATTTATTTGGATATGATGATAAACAATTATTTTTTGCTGCTGAAATTCTTGCAAATGAAATGTCTAATTGTAGTCAACAGGCAAAGAAAAATTTTTTTAGTTAAAAATTTCTAGAGATTTATAAAATTTTTCTCGTTAAAAAATCAAATCAGCGATTCGGTCGATTCCTTAAATATTCCTCTAGGATTGTATTTATCGAAAAAATAATTTACTTTTTTTAAATAACAAATACCTATTTTCTCGATTAACTATCCTCCCTTTAATAATTAATTAATTTAACGATTAGTTACCCCCCCCATAGCGAGAAGGGGTAATAAGGGTAATAATAATAATAATAATCATAAAGTAATAATAATCACAATTAAAAAATAAAAAAAATATTATTACATTCAAGAAAATACGGTAGTTTGAAAGTTACAGACCGAAATGAGCATTTAGTAAAACAACCCCCGAATTGTTCAAATATACTCATCTTCCCAATTCAATTCAATTTATTACGTCATGTTTGACGCGCGATCAAAAAAAATACAGAATATGTGGTCAATAATATATAAATTATAATACAAATGATCTGATATAAATAAATAGTTCAACTATTCTTTAATTAAGTTTTAAGGGAGGTTATGTGTGAAAACAAATCAAAATTATCCAATAGTTTTTTAAAATTAATGGGAGTATTTTTGCGTATTTCTATCGGTAATGTAGAGTAAAGTCTAGCGGTTCTGATAAAAAAGGAGTTATATCTAATTGTGGTTGCGCAAGCTTGTGTTTTTAATTTAAATTCTTCCCCACGTGTTTTAGTGTTGATGAAATAGAAAGATGAATTATGTTCTACTTTTATATTTCCCCAAATAATTTTATGAAAGAGAATTAGATCAATTTTATATCTCCTAATTTCTAAGGTTTCGACTTTAAAAATTTTCAGTAGGTTAGAGTATTTTGGAATATTAGAGAAATTAAATCCTTTTGACTGCCCATGCTTCCTTGCATAAATAGACCTGAGGAAGTATTTTTGTATTTTTTCTATGTTAATTATATCTTTTTTTAAGTGTGGGTTCCAGATTGGTGAGGCAAATTCTAAACCGGTTCTTATATAGGTATTAAACATGTGTATAAGTATATTGTGATCTTTAGATTTGATAGAGTGAAGTAGATTGTACATGGTCCTTCGTGCTTTAGATGTGATAATTTGAGTGTGCTCCGAAAATTTAAAATCAGATGAAAAATATACTCCTAAGTCTCGAATAATGTTACATGATGAATCTATATATTTGTCGCCAATTTTATAGGGGTTTCTTTTGTTGTTTTTTCCAAGATAGAGTGTCTTTCCTTTACTTAATTTAATCTCAAAATCAACAATAAAAGTTTAAAAAAATATTTTTAATTTTTTAGTTAACAGGCTCAGAATTTTGTGATAAATTAATAAATATTTGGATTGATTGTTTTAATATTCCATTACCTCCAAATTATTTAATAGAATTGGGAATAGGGCAATTATTGCTAGACAATTCTTTATTAATTATTTCAAAACATTCTGATCACAATCCCCAATTCAATTTTTCCTCAATTTATTATTGGTCATTACCTTCAACTTCAGAAAATAAATTAAAATATTTTGACAAACAAATATTAGCTAATTCTTTAATTTTTCTTGCAAATTCTGGAAGAGATTCTCTTTTACAAACAATTCTTAAAAAACCGTAGGGTTTTTTTAAAAATAACTTTAAAAAATATTTTTTTTAAATTAAAGAAAAGATTTTCGAACAGAAGAAGAATTAAAATTAATTTTAGAAGAAATTAATTATATTCGCGGTTTTAGTTATTTAAGTAAAGGAATTAAAAGAGGAATTGCCAAAATTATTTGTTTGGAAATTGTTGAATATGCGGGCACTATAATTTTTAAAAAAGGGGATTTAGCTAATTGCTGGTTGGTTTTTAATTTTAAAAACGAGGATAATTTAATTTAAACCTCGCGGGGATCAATCTGCTAGAAAAATAATCGGTAATATTTTCACAAAAAGATTGCCCCAATTTTTCAATTTAAATAAGCTTCAGTTTTGTCTGTAAATTGTAAGGATGATTCATCTATATTTAAAACGCTTAAACGATCTAAAAATGAAAACAAGAAATAAATTATTAGTTGATGCCCTGGTAGCTCAGTAGTTGAGCTCCTATATGTGTGAGTGAAAGAACCTAGCAATAACTACGAGGCATCGCAGGTTCGTAGTTACCTGCGAATTGCCCGTGGCTAAGCTTCTGCTAAACTCTTTCTAAATATTGCGATTAATTTAGAAATATTCCTAGATTAATCCTCTTTTTTATTAGGTATACTGTACTTAATGGATCGTTAGAAGCTAAATCTGAAGGAAAAAAAGTTTTAAATATTTTTAATTTTTTTTCAAAATTTAAAATTTTTAGTCAATAATTAGAGAGGGTGATGATTTTGGAAAATTGTCAATTTTGAATAATGAATATAAGAATGGGAATCAACAAAAAAATAATTTAAGACAAACAACAGTTTTAACTTCACAAAATGACTGTCAATTATTAAAAATAAATTCTCTTGATTTTAAACAATTAATTTCTGAAATTGAGTCAAAAACAATTAGGTTAAAACAAGAAATACAAGATTTTAATGAAGATTTTCTGATTTTACAGAAAGATTCTGAAAATTTGTAAATTAATTTTTTCTTTAAAGACAGTTTTTATTGTAGGGTTGGAGGGTTTTCCGCCTCGGCCTATCAAATAAATCAAAAATGAAAACGATCAACCGATGGTGGGATGGTTAAGAGTTTAACAACCTTTGCACCTATAGCATATCTCACAAATTTTGTTATTTTCCCCGATGGGTCGGCCGTTTTATTGTATTACTTAGGTTGAGACATAGATAATAAGCCTCATTGAGTACAACGGATTAAATAATTACTGAAATTAAACAAAGTGCCAGAAGAATTTAAATTTTATTTTTTTATGATCCTAATAGAGTTGCCTATTTTCTGGCAAAAAATCAGAATCATAAAATTAAGTTAGCAGGAGATGGAGGTAAAATACAAAAATTTAGATTTTTGAATCTAGGCAACTTCTAAGTGATTTTTCTTTACCTAATTAATCTGTGGAATTGAAAATTTAATTGTTAAGTAAAATATATATTTTTTTAATTTTTAGAGGTTACTCTTTAATTGCTGGTTTGCCAGAAAAAATAATTGAAGTAATTTATATATATTAATTTAAATTATTTAAATTCTTTATTTTCTCAGTATATTCTAGAAACTCGTCCAGAATTAGATAATTTATTTGAAGAAATTATTTTAACTTTACCTTTTTGGATTCAATCAAATAAACTTTGTGATATTTTAAAATTATATTATTTAAATGGACAATTAAATAAAAATTTTGAGGATTTTGAAGAAGAAAATTATGAAAATAAATTAATTCTAGCTAAATATAGAACAATTAATTTTTTAAAAATTTGGCATTCATTAATTGGGGATAGATTATTTTATGATCCAATAATTAATTCTTTTGTTGAAGAATTATTTAGTTATTTGTTAGAGGATTATAAATTAAATAATTCTTTATTTTTAAATATTTTTGAACAAATGAAGGAATTGATGAGTTTTAGAGAAAATTCTATGAAAAGGTACTTTTCTTTAAATTAAAATATATATTTGTGTTTAGGGGTGTGTAGTTGCTTGAATGTCCGGAACATCAAAAAAATCCTAGATTTTTCGATTTGAGCCCATAACCCTCTTCGGTAGATTTTTAGGGCTTGGAAGTTGCAATAAATATTTAAGAAATGTGGTTTTCCTTTATTTTTTACGTTCATTTGTCGTAGTTTATCCAGGCTTATCTAAAATTTAGGGTGAGGCTATAGTTATGTGGATCAGTGTATTATTATTCCTAATTTTCTATTTAATATTTATAACTGTTTTTTAATCCGTTAACTTTTAATTAACTAAAATTTTCTTTCAAAAATTTTCAAGACTTGCTCGGCCACCAAAAATTGTACTTGATTGTGGTGATTATATTAATTTAAATGATTCAACAACAATAGATTCTTTAATTTCTTCAGATTTTTGTATTTTTAAATAAATTTTTCTTAAATAATTTAAAAAATTTCTCAAAAGGTAATCAAATAATTTTACTTTCTTCTGGAAAACAAATAAAACAAAAAATCCAACTTGGACAAAAAACTTTTGAAATAATTAATCAAATAAATATTTTATTAAAACAAAAAGAAGAAGAATTAAATAAAAATAAAAAATTATTTGAATTATGTTTTGATGGACGTAAAATAAAGATTAGTGAAAATGAATGTTCTATTCCATTAATAATTGCTAGTGGAAGTATTTTATATTTAACCGAGGAAGAGGAGAAAATAAAAAATGTTTTTTTCCTTCTTTATTTTTAAAAATTATTTATTTTTTAAAGTCTTTAACATTTAAATTCCCGTTAGGCCCTCCTCCTTCTTCAAATTATTCTTCTTTAATTCTTCAATTAGGACCTGAACGTTTATCTAATGCTATGGCTCTATTTCATTTTAAATTATTTTTTGCTACATCAGAAAATGAATTAATTGTTCATTTGGTTGGAAGAGATAAAGTATAGAAATTTTTGACAAGAAATTTTCAAATTTAGAAATTTAGTTTGAATAATTGTAAGGAAGAGAAAGATCCAGCTGGCTAGCATTTTTACGCTCAAATGGGGGTTTAAGATCTATTAAAAGAGAAGTGAAATAAAGCAGCGTCCCGGTAGCTCAATTGTTAGAGCACCTGTGCGTGGTGAGCGAAAGCGCCTAGCAATAACTGCCAGGAGGTTGCAGGATCGAAGCCTGCCCGGGATTAAACTTTTACCTCACTCTTACTTAATTTAACAAAATTTTGAATGTTTCTCTCTCTTCTTTTAAAATTTAATTTAATTTTTTCTAGTTCCACCCTCGATTGGCCCCATTCAATTTGGACCTTTTAATGAGACGTTTTAATCAAATTCAATTATGGGTCATTACAGAAATTATTTTTGCTTCAAATTTAAATCAACGTCTTTCAATACTTTGTTCATTTATTCAACTCTCCCAATTAGCAAAAACAAAAAGGGATTTATTTGCTATGGCAGCCATAAATTTTGGTTTAAGTTCTTTGCCAATAAGTAGATTAAACTATCTTTGGAATCAATTGCCCAATAATTTATTTAAACAACATTCTGAATGTCAATCATTTTTGAGCCCTAAACGTGGATATAAAAATTATCGTTTTTTGTCTAATATTTTAAAAACTCCTTTTGTGCCTTTTATTCCGCTTATACTCAAAGTATGTTCCTTAAAGAATAAATGATATCGAGGAAACCCCTAGGGATTACACAAAGCTTCAGTCTGAGCCGAGATCATGGATGGGCTGAGTGACCCCCCCCTCGTCCTGTACGGAATCATCTCGAGGCACTGGGAAGGGGATAGGCTTACCTACAGCTTTCCTCCCGTGTTTCTATTATTTCAACCGGTGGGTCACATTTCCTTATCTCACACCATTTCCTTAATGGCCTTTTTTTATATTTTTCCCGACCAGTTCTGTTTATTAAAATTAAAATCAAAAATATTTTTCTTTCTTAGGAATTAGACTTTATTTATGAAGGATTGCAAAATCAAAATTTAATTAATTGGTTATTTAACAAAAATTTTAAAAATTTCACAAAAAATAATTTTAAGGGAGAAAATGCATTTGGCAGCAAAAATACTTAAATCATTTCGTTTAGCTAAAGGAAATAATAATATTGAAGATTTATTTGAAATTTATAATGAATTAACATTTAATGACGAGAAATTAATTTATAATTTATACACAGTCAATTCACCTTGTTTATTAATGAATCTTTCATCAGAAATACAAAAGAAAGAGGAAAATGAATTTGAACAACTTTGTTGAAATATAAATAAATATTAAAATTTTAAGAGTCATTTCCTCCTAATTAACCGAAGGCCCTTTAGTCAAAACAATTTTTTTAATTAGGGGTTTTCTGTTTTTTGGGTAATGGAAAGAATTGATTTACATTCAAAATTTAGCTAAACATCAAATTTATTTTACTAATTTTCTGATCCCTTCCGAATTTATATGTAAATATTTTCTGTTAATTAAGAATATAAATTAATATGTATATTTTATTTATTAAAAAATAATTATAGTTTTTATTTCCTTTTTTATTATTTTAAATAAAGCAACAATTTTGTAATATTTCCTTTTTATTGTATTATTTTTTAATTAAAATTTTTATGTATTAATAAACAAAAAATTAGTTAAATAGTTTTATTTTATTTCATGTCATAGATCCTGCCTTTCCGATTCTCGAAAAATTCCCGACAATTTCTGAGTCGGTATAAAATAAGGATATCGTTTAAGCCCCGCAGTGGCCACCTAAATTAGAGGAATTTATTTACATCGAGGAATATCTAATATCCATTGTAGCTAAGAACTATTCGATCCGACTGTAGTTTTAATTATTATAAACTTTAAAAAAACCAAATCCTCATGAGAAAAATTATTTTTAATAAAATCATTTTTTATGTTTAATTTAATAATTTTTATCATTAAAGTCCAGAATTATTTTTTACAAAATTTCATTAATTTTTCCTTTAGGACTTTCCATTTATTAAATTATTAAATTATAACCAAATTAAAATAACTTCTAAAATTCAGTATCTAAGAACGATGTCCGACGGTAGTTCTAATTAAAATAGCCAAAAGTTTAAAAAACCAAATTCTCATGTGGAAAATTATTTTTAATAAAATAATTTTTTATGTTTAATTTAATTTTTATATTTAATAATATTTTACCATCAAAGCTCAAAATTATTTTTTACAAAATTTAATTAATTTTTTCCTTTGGGACTTTCAATTTATTAGATTATTAAATTGTAAGTTTAATTAGGGACAAAAAAAAGTGATAAATAAATTAGAGAACAAATTAAATTTAATAAAGAAATTAAATGTCAAATAAAAATGCTAAAAACAAATTAAATTATAAGCATAATGTACGTAAATATATTCAGTTCATATACGTACATAATAATAATTTTCATTTGAATTAACTTTTACACAAAATTATTTTTTATAATTTTGTTAATTTTTATTTGTAAATAAACTTTAATAAAAATTTATTTAAAAAAATTCACATTAATTACGACTTATTACATATCGTATTTTTTTCTAAAATACGCCCCCCCCCCCTCTGAACAAACCCACCTTTAGAGGTCGATCGAAAAATAACCCTCGGGGGTTATTTTATAGAAAATACGGTATATTTAATTTGCTTTTTTAGAATAAAACCAAACAAATATTTTATCTAAAATTTATTTTCTTTAAATGGAAAGTTTATTAGACAGTAATTATTTTGAGCGTAACTATAACTGTTCTTTTTACGATTATAATTCAATTCCTGTAGAGAATAGACGAAATTTAATTGTTGGCATAATTTTGTTGATTCTCTATGTTATTTTTGAAGTTTTCTTTTTATTTTTAAATTCAAAAAATTTTCATTAATTTTCAAAAAAAAGGTTTTATATTTGCCATGTTTGGGGGTTTTTGCACAAAAAGAAAATCTTCGAGAGTCTTGTTACAAATTAATGCTTTTTATGGGAATATTGTCAATGATTAATATAAATTCTAGCGGTTTAATTATTGGGATATATGCAATTAGAGGGGATGTTTTTTGTAGTAGACCTTTATTTAATTATATTATTGGAATGCCTGCTTTTGGTTAGGGAAAATTTAATTTAAAATTATATTTCCTGTTAATTCTGAAGGGGATATGTGTAAAGGTGTCGGATCAGGATATCCGGATCCGAAAAAGACCGGATATCCGTAAATTTTTGGTTTGGATATCGGATCCGGATATCCAAAGATTTCCAACTATCCGACAACCTTAGATGTGTTCAAGAATTTCTCTTATCTAAAAATGTTAACATTCAAAAATAACAATCATCTAATAGGGAGGGGATCCCCTCCACTTCCGTATTTTGTCTTCCGTTGTTTTAAAAAAAGCTGGTCTCATCACTGTTACCTACCTTTTGATATTTTATTCAGATTTATTTAAAATTCATTTTAAAAGGCCTGTACTGTTCTGAATCTCTAATAGCGATGGTTCTTGCTTTAAATCGTTGTATCGAAATGTATGATCATCAACTGGCAGAAAAAATATTTTCGGGAAATAAAATTTTTTATTGGATAATATCTTCATTAGTTTACGGATTTATTTTGGGGTTTTTCACAATTCCCCCAATGCCAAATGGATTGTTAGTTGGCTGGTTTTGGAATCCACATATTGTTTATTTTCAAGATTTGGAAGGAGTGGTAAATGAGAAACTTTGAATAATTTTTTCTAAATTTTTATTTTTTATTATCACAATATTCTTTTCACTGGACATAATATTTACATTGGGTTTGGATTGCCAATTATTTACGCAACTTTTTATATTTTGATGTATAGAAAAATGAAATTAGTTGGAAATGTTCAACAAAGTGCAGAACAACGAAAAAGTAAAGTTAATGTAAGTTTAAATTGAGAGAGAATGTTTAGAATCCTAAAAGTTTAAGCTCGATTTTAGATTCCTAAAATGAAATAAGCGCCACGGCAACAAGCCACGGCCATTTTCCAAATAATTTATTTTAATAACTCCTATTACTTATTAACTATAAACTTTAATTTTGCGGGTTTTTAGAACTGTAATTATTATAAAGAATCCAAGTTAATAATCAATGTGTAAATTTTTAATTAATAAATTAAAACCACCAGTCTGCAATACATAGATGATTTACTGAGTAACAACTTTATTTTGTAAAGATCTTGAGAGAGTTCCCATTCGTCTTACTTCTTTATTAAAAATAAAACTTTTAAGGTTTTCCTTCAAGTACTGCTTATAGGTATGTTACACATGTTTGTAACACTCCTCTATACTTATATGCAATATTTCCCTGTCCCTATTTGGATTGTAATGTCAGCAAGTTATGCTTGGATAACCTCTCAAGGTTAAAAAAAATTAAATTAAATTTATTTTTATATTTTTAAGGACTTGTTCCTTTAATTTACATAACTTTTAATAAATATATACGTCGAAGTATCAAATCTTTATTTATTGACCCAAATATTACAAGAATTACTACTCATTTCAACAACTCTCGTGTAGCACCAAAGTCGACACAGGGTGATAAAAATGTAAGCAGAATAGTGACAAGGAATGTAAAAACAAATGTATTTTAATTGAAAAATATGTAAAAAATAAAAAAATTACTTTTGATTTATTTTGGAAATTTTTTTGAAAGAAAAAAATAATATTTTAATTTTTTGCCAACTTTTTAAATAATTTTCTTTGGATAAAAATTTTTTGGAAATAATATACCGTATTTCCTATATTAGAGCCCCACCCTCTGTTAGAGCCCCACCCTCTAATACAGCCCCACTTTGGAGGATAGTTGAAAAATAGAGCCCCACCCTCAATTAGAGCCCCACCCCAAATACAGCCCCACCTAAAAAATATTGGAGGAAAAAAAATATCAGAATAACTTTTTAGATGTATTAAGAGAGTTAAGGAAATAAAGGGGGATATCGATGATTTCGTGATCATTGAGGAGGAGGGATCATGGGGATTAGGGATGAAAATGGGGATTAATCCCGTTATCCGTCAAAATACTCTAATATCGCCTATATTCTTCTAAATTCCTCCTATTACCTCCAAAATCTAATCATTTTATAAAGGGTTGCAATCGTGTTATAAAGGGTTGCAATCGTGTTATAAAGGTTACGTAACCTAATATTTCCTTTAATCCGTCCAAATCTACCAATATTTAATAATTAATCTTACTCTCATTGAACTATTGTGACTATTTTGTAATTCATTGCTTAAAAGTTTTGATTTTTCTTGAAAAATCGAAAAATATGAATTCTATTTCGATATAAACCCTCCGACTTATCTCTAGTTGCAATGGATATAATAAATGGAATTCTATCTCAAAAGAGGGTTGAAAAATAGAGCCCCACCCTCAATTAGAGCCCCACCCTTTAATACAGCCCCACCTTGGAGGATAGTTGAAAAATAGAGCCCCATGGGGCTCTAATATAGGAAATACGGTATGTAGTATGTAAATATCATCTGGATAAATTTTTAAAGATAAAAATAGGTAAGGAAAAAAATTGGATTGTGCAAGCATTTTAATATAAATCTAAAACAGGGTTGCCAGATGTACTTATTTTGGAAGTACAGTACTTACAAATCGACCTTCGTACTTACGAAATTGAAAATGTACTTATTTGTAAGTACGTACTTACAAATAGACTTTTTAGTTAAAAAATTAAATCTAACCTTTAAAATTCCAAAATTTTCGCCTGCGGCGCAAAAAATGGAAGAAATCTAGCTTAAGGAGCTCCAAAATTCTCAAAATTTTCGCCTGCGGCGCAAAAAATGGAAGAAATCTAGCTTAAGGAGCTCCAAAATTCTCAAAATTTTCGCCTGCGGCGCAAAAAATGGAAGAAATCTAGCTTAAGGAGCTCCAAAATTCTCAAAATTTTCGCCTGCGGCGCAAAAAATGGAAGAAATCTAGCTTAAGGAGCTCCAAAATTCTCAAAATTTTCGCCTGCGGCGCAGAAAGGGGAAGAAATCTGGTTTATGAACTACCAGAATTTTCAAAATTTTCGCTCATTTAGATAAGAATACAAAATATTTGACCAAAAATAAATTTTTAGATTGTATTTTTGGAGCGTACTTATATTTTGAAAATTTTTCCCCCTATGTACTTCCAAATTAAACTTTCTGTACTTACACTTGACATTTTCTAAATGGCAGCCCTGATCTAAAATGATTAATTACTTTAACAAGGTTGAGTGTGAATATAAGGGCATGTAGCAAAAATATGTGCCTGGAGTTGAGTTTAAGTTTAAAAGCTGAGAGTTTAATTTTTTAAATTAATTTTTTTTTAACTTGAGAGTTAAGTTTAAAAAATCTTTCATTTCAAAATTATTTTAAATTTAATTAAAATTTTTATATCATTATTTAATTATTCAAAAAATATCTATTTTATTTCTCATAAATCCCCCAAAGCTCAAAAATCATCAAAAGAAATATAAACGTAATCGTCTTACGGCGTCGTCAAATCTCCGGCGAGATCCCCTAAAATCCTTCCTTTTTTGAGTCAATCGATGTAACAGCGAATTTTAATAAAGAGAAAAAGATAAATGAAAAGGAAAATTTTGGTGGATATTGTAAGGATGGATTTACTTACCTATACATATTTTAATTTTATTTTATTCCAATTTCCTACTTAAAATTTATTTTTATAAAGAAATTTTTAATTTTTATTTTTATAATAAATGAAAAGAATATTTAATTCTTTCCTCATTTCATTTTTTTCTAAACAGCAGATTCAGAACCCAAACTTCACAAGAAAGAACTAAAATCCGGGAAGTTTCCAGGGGATCTAGTTAATTATTAATGGCAATTTTATTTAAAAATTAAAATTTTTTAGACAAGAACTTTAATTTATTTTTTTGTTAATTTAAATTATTTAAAAAATTAATGAAATTAAAAATAACCAAAAATCTTTTTTACAACAGAAATGAAACGAATAAAGAGAAAAGTTTGTTAAAAATTTAAAAATAATTTTTTTTAATTTAATAAAATAATTATTTTAAAATTCATTAAAGATAAATTCTTTTAAATTAAAAATTCATTAGAAAATGATTTAAATTATTTAAAATAATTATTTTTAAAGAAAATCTACAATATTGTGCAATTCTAAATAAATTTAGTTTAATATTTTTATTGTTATCTTTTGTTTCTACCACTCAACAAATTCCAAGTTTTTAATTATTTTAATAAAATATTAAAGTTTAAAAAATATTAACGTTTATTTTCTTAGTTATCTTGTAGGAGAGGACGACAGTCCAAGTTTAAAAAATTTTTTGTTCTGATTAGGTAATTTATAATGTTCCTTCATATATAATTTAGAACAATATACCTTTTCAGAGTCCCCTTCCATTAAAAATGCCGCTTTTCAATATTTTTATTTTAATTTAGAAAATATTTCAACTAATATTCAACAATCATTAATTACAAATTGGAACAAAAAACAGATAATTCCATTAAATAATTTTAAAAAACAAAATAATCAAAACCAATTTTGGTGGTTAACAACAAAAGAAGGAAGAAAAGAAAAAATAAAAATAATTAGTAATTCTTTTAGAGAAAGAAAAGAAAATAAAAATATTAATAATAATATTTTTAATAAGAAATTATCAAAAAATAATATAAGAAGGGCTGAACAAAAAATTAAATCTGAAAATGAAAATTATTTGGTAAGGAGTTTATTTTGAAAGAAAATTGGAATAAAAAAATTTAAAAATTAATACTTACAAGGAAAGGTTGCGAGGTGTCCGACCTAAAAATGGTCGAGACCGGGATTATTCGATAGAGAATGTGCCCTTTCTAGCAAGGATTTTGGGCCGTTTTTGCCCGTTTTTTGATCTGGCCAAGATATGGCCCTCCAAAGTTAATATTTAATTCCCTACAAATTTAAAAGGGAATTAAAGGGAATTATAAAATTTAAAAAAAACTAAAGGGAATTCAAATCCAAAAAAATTTTTTTTTAAGTTTCAGGATTGTTTTTGATTTAATTTTTAAAAAAAATATAAACAATAATAATTTTCTTTGAATTTTATTATCATTATCGTAAATTAAATTAACATTATTTAATTAAATAATTTATTTAGAATTTAAAATCTTTGGCATTAAATGAATTAGATATTAAATCAGATGAAGTATTATACAAAATGATGAAAAGAACAACTTTAACTACTAAAGAATATTCTATAGAAGAAATACCAACAACACAAATACCTTCTTTAAGAGTTTTTTTTTAATTTGATTAAATTAATTTTTAATTAATTTAGCCAATAAATTTAAATGGTTTATCTCCTCCTCCTTTATCTCCTCAACTTCCTTCATTATTATTAACCTTTCCTGGTTTACCAATTCCACAACAAATACCAACATCTTTGCCTCAATCTCAAAAGTATTTTTACTTTAAATTAATTTATTTAAGTATTTCAATTAAAAAATAGAATGTAGGTTTCAGTAAATAATGTTCACTAATTAATAAAATTGGTGAATTTAGTGGATTTTGAAGGGGAGTGAAGACTTTTTTATATTTTTAAAGAATTACAATTTTAAATTAATTTTTATTAAAATCCAAATATTTTCTCCAAATTTTAAAGTAAACAACCCGAACAATATGAACAACTTGGTTGTGGTTGGGATTTTTTAAGTCAATCCTGCAAGTATAAAATTTATTTGGCTCTACTCCAGTTTATGCGTCCAATCGACTTTTATGCGTCCAATGAAAGTTTACGCGTCCAATAAAAAGAAAATTGGATTTTTCTTGGTATTGCGAAGTTGGGGTATGGTTCCAAAACATTTATTCATGTTCGGGAATTACGCCCACTAGGTCTGGGGCCATTCCTTGCCCTATTCCTCGAAATTTCTTAAAGTTACAATCGTTTTTCTGAGATTTTTAAAAATTGGCTATAACCTTCAGAAATTTCGAGGAATAGAGCAAAAAATGGCCCCAGACCCAGTGGGCGTAGGTCCCGAACATGAATAAATGTTTTGGAACCATACCCCAACTTCGCAACACCAAGAAAAATCCTATTTTCTTTTTATTGGACGCATAAACTTTCATTGGACGCATAAAAGTCGATTGGACGCATAAACTGGAGCAGAGCCATTTATTTTTTAATAAAATATTTTATTAAATTTTAGAGATTTATTTCGTGTTGGTTGGTGTCAAAATTGTTTTGATTTTGGCAACCAAATAATGGTTGTTTAAATTTAAAGGAATTTAATTAATTTATTTAGCATGATTGTCGTTGTATTAAAGTAACCAATTTTTACATCCAAACAACTTCCTTTCTTGGTTCTTCTGCTGCCTCAGAACGTGCAAATTCTGCCATTACTTCATCCCTTTTATCAAATAAAAATATTATTATTAATATTTCAACATCTCCAAAACCCCCTTCTTTTGGCAATTTTTTAAATAATTTTTAATCTTTTATTTTTTCATTAAAGGTTTGCCACTTCCTTTACCCGAATTTCAACAAATAGTACCTTCTTCAGCTTCTACAGATTCCAAATATTTAAATAATAATATATTACCACCACCCCCACCACAACAACATTTATCCCCCCAATTTCCTCCCCCTCCTCTATTTCAATCTAACAATAATTCTCCTCAACAAATTTTCTTTCCACAAAATTCTGGTAATTTAAAATAAAAATTAACAATAATTTCTTTTAAAAGAATTTGTAACAAATATTATTCCAATTGGATTACCAAATTTTGCAGAAAATTCACAAAAAGAATTATTTATTAATCAACAACATTAACAGGAAAATTTTTAGAAAATTCAAACAAAAATTGTTAAAATTGAAGAAAAATAAAAAGAAATTATTTTTTTTAAATAAATTTATGAAATAATAATAATTTTCATTTTACAAATGCATTACTTATTAAGTTATAAAAATGTAAAGCAAAAATTATTAAGCTTTCACTCACCACATAAAGGAGCTCTACCACTGAGCTACCGGGGCATTAGATTATGCTTTTTTATCCCTTTAGATCGTTAACCTCCGCCTATTAAATGCTGCTATGTAGGTGATTCATCCTTTCAAAAATGATACATAATTTACACCAGACTAGGACACGGATACTGATTTTGGTATCCGTATCCGGATATTTACGGCTGATACAGGCGGATATCCGCAGGCATTTTTGTAATATCTGTATCCATATCCGTATCCATGTCCTAGTCTGATTTACACATAAATTTTTGCTTTCAGAGAACAAAAAAATATAAATATTTAATAATTTCTATTTTTATTTTACAACTCAATTTTCATTTTTTATATTCCTTAAACAATTTTAAATTTTTGGCAAATTACTGGAAAATTTTAAATCTGTCTTAAGTTAAGATTTGCCGTTAACGTATTTTTGTCTAAAAAGGAATTAGGAGGTTAATATTTGTTTAAGAAAGGGGAAATTTACATTAAAGTTATTTATTCATGCTTACATAAATTTATAAAAATTGATTAAATTATTTTTTTATTTATATTTTTTTCGTTAGTTTTTTAAAATATTTTAATTAGTTTTTGAACAATTTTAATCACATCAAGAATGTGCCAAGGCGAGAAATGTATTGTTAGGGATGAGGTTGTTTAATCGGGGTATCAAATAAAAAATTTAATTAAATTTCTAGACTTCTACAGCTGAAACCAATGGAGGCATTAACAATGAAAATTTTAATTTTTCTTTACAAAATCCTTCACTTCCACCATTTGGAAATATTTTTAACAAAAAATTATTAAATTCTGAAGAGGGTTTTGATTTAGTAAAATATTTTTTTCGAATTTTTTAATTTTTAAGTAAAATTTGAACCTAAAATTGCAAGTGATTCTATGGTGTTGAAGGGTGTACAACAATATGTTGGTGTAAAAATCATTTGTATTAGTGCTTTGAAGAAATTTGAAGATAAAAGTTTGGAGGTTTTTACAGAGTTTTTGTTTTGTTAAATTTGTTATTTTTTAAAGGAACTTCGTCATTTTGATTATTTTATGGGAAAGAAAGTTATTTCAACGCTTTTTCGACCTTCAAATTTTGAACAAAAACAAAAAGGTTCTTAAAACTTTGTAACTTTTTGGATTGTTTTTAAATATTTCTTAATTTTTTTTTTGATTTTTAATAATTTTTTTTGGGGTTTGAAAATTTTTATATTTTAATTTTGGGTAATTTGACTTGTTTTCTCTCTACTTCCAATCCTAAAAAATATCGAAAAAGCATTTTTTGCTCGTTTTTTTCTCGGAACCAATGATCTTAAGGATTACTTAATTTTGTTTTAAAATCTAATTTTTTTCATGGAAATTTAAAAACATTCCAGAAATGATTAATTTAAAAAAGACTATCAAATAAAATTTCTATCTGATAAAATAAAAATAATCCAAAATTATTGGTTAAAACTTTAAATTTTCTTTAAGTTAATACAACTTCAAAAACGGGTGTTAATTCTTCAATTAATTCTAAAACACTCCCAACTTTGTTTGCTACTTTAACGGCGCCTAGTTTGTTTGGAGGTTCGACTTATGCAACAGAAAGTGTTCCGGGACTAGTTAAGCCGAATTTTGGATATTTTAAAGACTATGTAATACTTCCTATTTCTTCGCTTATTTTAAAATATTTTTTAAGCCTTATGAACTTCCTTTACCTCCACCACTTCCAAAAGAATTTTTTGGAATTCCATCTAAGGTTAATGGACCAGCATCACGTCCAAAAGAAATTTTTGACGTCCCATCGATTGTATACTTGTCTTTAATATTTTAAATTTATTTTAGAAGTCTGAGAAGAATCCCTTTGGGAATACTACAAGTGTTTTAGTTGGAGAATTTAATGCTTTTGGTTTAAATGGTCAACAATTTACTGTTAAAGATGATCAGAAGCAACAGCCTCTTCAATCAAATTTTGGTTTTATTCAATTTTTTGGTTTTAATTAAAAATAAAATTTATTTTTAAAGCCCCACCAATTCTAAATAACGTTCAACAAATACAAATTAATGAAAAAATGATGTGTATTAGTGCCATGAAGAATTTTGAGAATAAATGTTTGGAGGTTGAATTTTTAATTTCATCAAAAAATTTCAAATTTAGCGAATTATGTACATAGTACACATTTTTTGATGAGATTTTAATGAAAAAAAAAATTAAAAAGTTTTGGAAAATTAATAGTAAAATTAATAAGAAATTTAATTTTTGATTTAATTTTAGGAACTTCGTTTTACTGATTATTCATTTGGAAAGAAATTAAATTCTAAAAATATTTTTTATTCTTCTTCTAAACAACAAAACAATCCTTTCAACTTTTCTACAAATAATAATAGTTTAGTTTTTAATTTTTATTTATTTTTAAAAATTTCTTTTTAGCTTCACCATTTAATACAAATGGAAATGGTGGTGGGGGTACTTTTAATTTTGTTTTCAATATTTCAATTCCTTCGAATTTTAAGTAAGGAATGAATGAAGTGTAATTTAAATTAAATTATTTTTTAAAAACATTCTTTTAAATTAAAAATAACCTCATCAATATTTGTATATTTAATCAATTTTTTGAGAATTAAATTTTAATTACTTTTGTTAATTTTTTGAAATTTAGTATAACCATCCAATTCCTACAAGGGAACATCATTTACTGTCAGTTCGAATCTAATAATCTTTTTTATACCATTCGATAGAGGACCCTCGACTTACTATTGTGGAGTGACCCGTTGTTGCAAAATGACTTTAAGCCGAGTTATGGCCGTTCAAAGTTGGACTGCTAAAGTCAGAAGTTATAGGGTAAATGAGAAACTTCTCTCTTCTTCTTCATCCTCAAATAATTGCCGAATTGTTTTATTTACCCGGATTTTCCCTAATTTTTAGAGATCGGAACGGGATCGGGACCCGGTCCCGTTTCCCGGTTTCCCGGTCCTCTTTCCCGGCTTTTTTGAAGATGCCGGGATGAAACCGGGATCGGGAATTCCCGGTTTTCCCGGTCCGGGTCCCGGCCGGTTAATTTTCATTTCCCGTTTCCCGTTCCCGATCCCGGCTTTTTTTGGACCGGGAAACCGGGAAAAATTCTAGCGGCTAATTTTAAATATTTTTGCTTGGCGTTTTGATTTTTGACTTAAAAATATTGGAGATTTTACAAAAATTCTCAAAATTTTCGCCTGCGGCGCTGAAAACAGAAGAAATTTGGCTGTTTGGCCTTCCAAAATTCTCAAAATTTTCGCGGAAGAATTTGGAACGGATAAATTTGGAGGTATTATTGGAGGAAAGATTGAGGGAAATTAGTGTATAGTGCGATTCTATCAAGGGACCTGGTGATTAAGCCATCTTTATCCTTCTAAATCCATTAGACCTGCCTTAATCATCTGATATCATTGCCTTCCAATTAGGGGTGAGCGCAAGAGACAATCTCAAAAAACGCAAGACGCAAAACGCAACGCAAGGCCAAAATTTAACGCAAATAACGCAAGACGCAAAACGCAAAACGCAAGAACGCAAAATTGAGAAAAAAATTTTTTAAATTAAGTATTAGCCATTTTTCAGTTAAAAATTGATGTATTACTATAAGTTAGCGAGTCATAATTAAGTTTGAGGTACAAGTTGGATGAGTAATGTTTTGGAGAGAGATAAAGGATTTAGAGGGATTATGAAGGATATCAGAAGATTTAGAACGATCAAGGTGGTTAACGAAGTGGCTGGGGATTACGCAGATTATCATGTAATTTGGAGCGATCAAGTAAATTTAAAAAGATCCCATGGGATTACTAAAGGATGTCGAGTGAGTTAGGGAGATAACGGAGGATAAAGGGCTATCAGTATTTATAAATTGATTCCGGGGATATCAGGTAATTTGGAGGATAACTTGAGATCTGAGCTCCAGATAATGAACCGATATTTTTTGAGCCGTTTCAAGATGTAAAATTGGTATTTAAATATTTAAATACCCTACTTTTAGCGCCGCAGGCAAAAATATTGAGAATTTTGGAAAGCAGAAGCTAGATTTCTTCCAATTTTTGCCCTCAGATTAGAATAATAACAGGGATTTGAGCATATAGTAGTTATCAGGGGTTGCAGAGATATAGCAGGATATCCCTACAAACCCCCGATATCTTTTTAAATCAACCTTAATCGCAGTAAATCGACCGATAGTCTTCTATCACTTCAGTTCCTCCGATATTTTCCACTTAGCCACTTTATCCCTCCTCCATTTTCTGCGCCGCAAGCGAAAATTTTAAGAATTTTGGAAGGCCAGAAAGCAAAATTTCTTCATTTTTTAGCGCCGCAGGCGAAAATTTTTAGAATTTTGGAAGGCCAATAAGCCAGATTTCTCTAATTTTGTCCTCAGATTGGATATATTTTTTGCGTTAATTTCATCGAAAATAACGCAAGACGCAAAACGCAACGCAAGGCCAAAATTTAACGCAAATAACGCAAAACGCAAAACGCAATGCGCTCACCCCTGCTTCCAATTGAAGGGATTTGTATAGATATCAGGTGATATAGTTGGTTAGAGGTCTTTCTTCACAATCTCTTTTAATGCTACCCAACAAATACTTGAATCTCTCGATATCTTTTAATCCCTGATATCACTATTGCACAGAGAAGATCAGAGTGGATTTGGAGGGATTAAATAAAAATTAAATCAGCATCAAGAGATTAAAATTAAATCAACACCTAATATCCCACAATCCTTCTCTAGCCTTTCAAATCCCTTTAGCCCTACGTAATCCGCTTTATGTTTTAATTTATTGTAATTTACATTTGTTTTATTGATTTATTTTACTGATTTATTAAATTCTTCTATTTATAAATCAGATTTTTCAATAAATAACTACTCCCATAACTTTTTAAAATTTTTAAATGAATTTAAATTTTTTTTTAATTTCCCGGTTTCCCGGTCCGGGTCCCGGTCATTTTTGACCGGGATGAAACCGGGAACGGGAATTCCCGGTTTTCCCGGTCCGGGTCCCTCCCGGTTGACCTTCAGAACCCGTTTCCCGGTTCCCGGTCCCGGGTTTTTCAAAATTCCGATCTCTACTAATTTTTAACTTTTCCATATTTTCGAGTAAAAATAAAAATATATTTAATTTAAAAATTTTTATTTATCAAAATGGGGAGATACAAATTAAAAATAATATTTTTTTACAAAAACTAAAAAACTACAAAATTATTTACAAGAATTAAAATCAATCCCCAATTTTTTTCATTTTTTTTAAATTTAATCCACTTCACTCTCCCCTTCCATTTTAATAATATTTTGGAATAAATTCTTGTTTAACTTTTTCTTTCTTTTCTTTCTTCTCGACTGTTAATGGTTCATTAAGCAAATGATATTTATCAATATCCCAGCGATAAAGAAATTCTCCGTTAATTTCTTTCATATTAACAGCACCGAGCTTTAAATTTAAAAAAAAATTTAGAGAGAAATATTTTAAGTATTTTTAACACATTACTGTGTTTTGGTTACAAAATAAATTAATATTTGAATGGGATCTAATAAATTAATTAATCAACTAGCCATACTCATGAAGAGGTTAGGTTGTTCCCCAACTGGCAGGGGTGGCTTACTTAATTCGCTATAATTATAAAAGCGAATAATGAAAGATGAAATACCAAACTAAACACCTTCCTATATTCCGCGAAACGGCCAGGTGACTCACCTGACCCGTTTGTATATTCCGTTCCGTATTATAATCTACTTTAATTCAAAAATATCACAAAATTATTTAGACCATGCGTTAATTTATTTAGTTTTTTTTCTGAAAACTTACAGAATGAAGTAAATGTTCATAATTAGCCAATTCATTAGAATCATCTGTCCATTCAATACGAACAGCATTCATTTCATTTGCAACCTTTATTTACAATTAAATTAATTACTTTAACTAATTAATTACCTCAACCATTTTAGCCAAAATAGCAATAACTGTCTCTTCCCCATTTATTTTCCCCGTTAAACTATTTTCAACAAAAAGTCTATCCAACCACAAATATCTTCCAGAACTTCCAGAATAAGCTTCACAATTATATAAAGCCATTCCAACAAGATTGTTTGTAAGAAGAATAGAAGCACGTAAAGCACAAATTCCCCCTTCACGGCCATTATTAATTAAATCAGAAAGTATTGGACTTGAAGGGCGACCTTTTATTTTTTTAATTTAAATTATTTAAATATATTTTATTACCATTATTACGAATAACAATACAATTCCAATCTTCAGCTATTTGTTTAGATTCTTCAACACGAATTCCACCTTCCTCTTTAATCAACTAAAGAAAATATATTTTTAAATTTGTGAACTCCCCCCTAACTCCCAATAATAATAACTCCCTTTTATTAAGAAAAATTAAAATTATTCATAGATTTTATTTTTTACTTGATAAAATAAATTTTATAATAATGTACAACCCAACTCATACCACTAATTTTATTAAAGTCAACTCCTTTCAATTTTAGTTTACTCAATTCAGCTTGTTAAGATTGTACCAAAATTGACTTTCTATGAAATCTAAATAAGTTATGGCTTTTAATTAACTATGTTCCCTCCCAACAAAATTATTTTTTAAATTAAAAAAGGAAGGAAGGCCCACAGAATTTTAAAATTTAAATTATAATTACAATATTATTATCGTCATCAGCGTTAAGAATATTTTTAAAAGCAGAAAGGTCTAATCTCCACAAATCTCGCACTCCAAATTTAATATCTGGAATTAATTCTTTTAATATTTCCCCAACTTTATTATTCTCCTTTGTTGCTGTCCAAAAAATATTTGGAATGTTTTCATTTATTTGTTTGGAAACCTTAAACAGGCCAATTATTTTTATAAAAAAATTTATTTAAATAAACTTTAATAATTCCTTCAAGCAATCCTTTCATCACAAGTTTGTGGTTATTTTTAAACAATTCCTTTACAAAAATATCTTGAAGATGGATGACCTAAAGTTAATATTTTCTATTTAAATTTAGAAAATAAGTAAATATTTGATAATAAATGAAGCAGGGATGGATAAGCTCCCAATTAGATTTTAAACTTATAATCCCTTTATTTAACACATCTGCTTAATCTTCGCCTTTCGATTCCCATTTCTCAGTTCCGGAATTTTGAACTTTAATTCCCCAACTCCTAAATTCTGGCTTATAAGAGATAGTAGATTCCCCTTATATTTTTGTTTATTCACTTAATTCTTGACTCCACAAAAGCATTCCTTCACTCCCTCCCTCAGACTTCCATTAATATTTTTAGCAAAATTTAAATTAACAAACCTTTCCGCGTGTACTTGAAGCCGCATAATTATATAAAATATAGCCTTCAATTCCATATTCATAATTATTACCATTTGTCTGTACAGCAACTAAAGCATTAATTTTCCCATATTTTAAATCCCAAATAATTTGAATAACATCTTCTTTAGTTAAATTTCCATTTTCACTTTTTTCTTCAGGTAAGTAGTAGGAAAGTAAGTAGTAAAGAGCAGATATATCATAACTTTTTTCTACTTTTCGAATAACAAATTGTTGATTACTTCCTTCAACATAAACTTTAATTTGTGGCAAATTATCCATATGATATGATTGAAAATCTTCGAGTAAATCTCCCAATGGAAGATAACCATTCTCCTTTTCCATAATTTTTAAAGTTTCAATCTCTTTTTTGATTGTCCCATTTTCTTTTTCAATAGTAATTGGTTTAGAGGGAGCCACAATTATTGCTGGAGGATTACTCAATGTTTTCGAAAGTGTAGAAGAAGGAGGCATGGCAGGATGGTACAAAATGGATTGGGAAGAAGCAGAAATTTTGTTTTTTTGTTCATTAAATTTCTTTGCTTCCAACAAATGTTGAGGGGTTAAATTGGGTAAAAGATGATTTGCTAGAGGTGAGGCTAATGAAGAATTCCAAACCTCCAAAACCAAAAAGAAAACAAACACTACAAAAGAAATTTTTGCACGACAATGACGCATTATTGTCTTTTTTGTGGTGGAGAAGTTTTTTGAATTTGTCTTAGAATTATTCTATAAAATTTTAGAAAAATTATTTTTTATAATGAAAATTTAAGTTTTGATTAATAATACTTTGACTTTCGTACTCCCACATAAAAGAATAAAAGCAATGTCATATCCCCCTCCTATTGTTCATTTTTGACCTCACAATCACCCAGACTAAAATCTAAATCATAGATGGACTGGCCCAAATCGGTCAACTAACTGTTCTGACAGTAATAGCTAATTTGAGACAGTCTGCCTCAGCCAGGAGCTATGACAGACTTTATTTTGAAATTTACAAGTATTTTGTAATGTACGTTCATTCCCTTAGGGTGGGATTTTAACGAGAGTCTAAAGCATAAACATAAATAATATAAAAAATATTTTGAGTGTTTATTTTGAGACTAGGAATATAATAGGTATTTTATTTAAAAGGTTATTTAAATAATTAATTAAATTTAATTCTGTTTTTAATTAATTTTACTTCCCTCTTTTATATCCCAGACTTACATTTAAGTGCATTAATGTAAAAGGGCAAAGAAATACCATATGCCGACATTAAAGACGGGGATTTCCTTTGAAAAATCACAGGGTTGTCTAGGGCATTTCGTTGAAAATTTATCTTTTCTTTGAAAGAAAAATTATTTCTTTAATGTTTTTACATCACTTTATGTAAATTTGGAAATTTTGTAAAGAAATCCAAAAAAATAGACAAGCCTGACATAAGCAATTATTTCATAGAAAAACTTCTCTTTTCATTTCTCTTTCTCTTTTTATTGCCAAATAAAATTTTAAAATTTAATTTTAATTTCACATGAATAAAAACCTTTAATTATTAAAAAATATTAAATTCATTTTTAATTCACGTGAATACCAAATATTGAGAGACCCGATTAATTTATTTCTTAATTGTCTTTTTAGTTGTCATACATATGTATACACTTTATTTGCACTTTCTAGAATTTTTAAATTTATTTTTTAATTTCAAAATAGTTTTTAAATATAATATATTAAATATTAATTATTTAAATTGTACATATGTAGTATCTCCAGCGCCGCCCTTTATTAATAACAAGCTCTGAAATTTTCAAAATTAAGATTTTAGGTTTGGAGCTCTTCGAAAATTAGCAAGTTATTCTTTATATATTATTTTTATATCTTCCTTTTCCTACACAAATTTTAAAAATATTTAAAAAATCTTTGTCATTTTTAATTATTGAAACATTTTAAAACATAATATCGAAAAATAAATCGATTTCCTCCTCGATTTATTGAGATATACCCCAAATTTAGCACCTCCTCTCGATTAATTACCCCCTCCAGCGAAAGGTCGAAACAATAATTATCCAGAGTAATTATTCGAGTATTTACTAAATTTGTTTACTTAAATATAAAATTAAAATAGTTTTTAGAAAAAATATATTAAATTAATCAAAAACAAAATTTTTTATTAAAGAAAAAAAATTAAAAAAATATTCACAGGGATAAAAAAATTAAAATATACATATGTAAGTAAAAATTAAAGAAAATTTAAAAAGTAAATTTTTAATTATTAAAATATAAATATATATTAATTAGCACATTCTTTTTAAAATTAATTTGGAGGTTCATAACTTGGACATTGAAATATATCTGGCCATCTATTTAAATTTTAAAAATTAAAATTATTTTCAAAAATTAATTTACCTAGAAATATTTCTAAAAGTTCCACAACAATGTAAAGATTGGACAGAATTAATTATTTTATTATTTTCTGAAGAAAGGGATAAATAACAAGGACCACTAAATCGACTAGTTGATAATTCTAAAAATGCAGAATTTGTTGCAGCAATTCCACACAAAATAGAAATTACTTTAAAATTATTGGAAAAATTATTTTTTGGATTATTTTCAATGAACAAACCAATAACAGAAATATTTATTAAAAGTGTATATTTTGGTGTTCTTTTAATTACACTTTAAAGAAGAAAATAATTTTTTAAATTTTAAGAAGAAACTTTACTTCAAAAAAGTTACTGGCCGATCATTAATTGGTAAATCCTTTTCTAATTTTGATTTTGGATTCGGTTTATTTTCTGATGCGTGTAAATAAAGATAGAAAAGGCAAGGCATTACAGCAGATATTAAAGAAACTTAAAAATATTTTTTGTTGTTTTTTGGATAATTTATTCACACAGTTTCTTTGGCCCTTATTCTTAGCCGTTTATTCAATCGACTTTTGTTTGGTTGATTAGATAATGAAAGCATAAGGAGTGGGGGACAGTGAGGCTATTTTTCACAATTTATAGAAATTATCCATTTTATTTCATATCCTTATTTATCCTCTTGATTTCTAGTAAACTTTCCCAGTTCCTTCCTTACTTTTATCCTCGCGAGGAAATATTTAGCGACGTCATCCTTCCCGTTTACTCCTATATTTTCCCCACATTTCACCCCATTTTAGCCGCTCATTTGGATAACTAAAAAATTTATAACTACTATCCCCCTCGTCTTTATTATAACGGATTTTTAAGGGACTTTTGTTTTTTTTAATTTTTAAAAATTAATTTACCACAAGTTCCACCCATTAAATTTAAAATAGGCCCAAAACTGGGGACTGTTAATGCAATAAACACGACAGCAAGCATTACAAAAGTTCGAATAATTACTCTTTGCCAACAAAAATCTGTCAGAAAATTTTGTAAAATAATTTTTAATTTTAAAATTAAATTACGGTGTGGAATATCAATAAAATGCTCAACTTCTTGATTTAATGGATTAATTACAATTGTTATTGTAAGGATACAATGAAGTGCAATTAATAAATTGGCTAGCTAGAGTATTTTAAATTAAATTAAGATAATTTTTAGGAAGGATTAAGAGAGATAAAAGGTAAATAGAAAGTATGGGTTCTCAAAAAATTATCTGAATTTAAGTCAATTTTCAATTTTTTTCCTTCCAAAAGTTATTAAAGAATTAAGTAACGAAGAATTTATTTTTAAAAATAATTATTTAATTAATTACTTGTTGAAGAATAGATGTTTGTATAGAAGAAATAATTGACTCTTGTAATGAATCTCCATAAACAAAATAACCAAAATATGAAAGTGGAATATACATTGCAGCAACAGCTAATAAATAAATAAATATTTTTTTAATATTAATTTAGGTTAATTGATTGAATAATTTAATTAATCCAATAATTAATTAATTAATTAATTAGTTGATAATTTATTCATTTAAATTTAAAATAACCAATAAATGCAAATAAAGAAGAACGGGTAAAATTTCTCGGTCTTCTCATATCATGCTGAATTGTTGGGAAAACTCCATGTCCCCCAAAAGCAAAGAAAAAAATTCCAATAGAAAGGAAATAATTATTAAAAGTAAAATTTGGTTGTTTAGCAAAAGAAGAACATTTTGGTAAATCTAATAATGTTCCCAATAAAATTATAAAAACAGCTAAACAAGTTGTTAACATTGCTGATACAACTGCCAACCTAGTTAAACTTCTTTAAAAATATTTTCTTTTTAATTTACCAAAAATCTTGTGGAGATTTCAAAAACGTTACAGGCAATAAAGCCCCAGCCAAAATTAAAGTCATAACACAAGGACCAAAACTGTGTGATGGACTAAAGGATGCCCACAATTCACTCGTTATTTTAGCTGCCAACAAAAGATAAACAACAGAAACTCCAAAAAGCTTATTTTAAAAAAATAATTATTTCCCCCTCAAAAATTCTCCAAAAATTACCATAACATTTAAAGTACAAGAAGTTAAAAAACGAGCTCTTTCACCTAATGCACGAAATGCCATTTCTAATAGATAATTAATTATTTAAAAATAATTATATATTTTTAACCAGGATAAGGCTTTCTACAATGTTCACGTCCATAAACTTCTGGCCAACGCCGACACATTGTCATCCAATTCTTTGAAAATAATAATTTTATTAAGAAGACTCTCTAGCTTAACAATCCCTCCTGCCTACACAGGTGCCCCTTTTCTGAAGGTTGGGACAAGTTAATAAGTTAAGGATTTAACAAGGGACGTGTATGCTTTATGTGTTAAATTATTTTAGTTAATTTTTAATTTTGAGGGTTGAATGTTTTGTAAAAAATTGCATATTTTATAAATTCTTTTATGCATTCACCCCTGACTGAATTAAATCTTCTTACCTCCCCAAGAAGATGTGCAGTATAACAAAAAGCTGTTCCAATAAATAAAATAGAAAGTGAACCAATTAAAAGACCTTAAAAATAATTATTATTTAAAAAATACCAGAAATTACCAGAATTAAGTAAAGCTATAGGTATAGCAACAACACCTCCACCCGCCATATCAGCAATAATAAAAAGTGCAGCCGTTATCCAATTAAGGCCCGTTTCTAACCTTCGTTGTACATATGAACATGCTGGGTACTTTTAATTTAAAAAATAAAAAGCAGTTATTACTAGAGAGGTCTTTCTTGGGTTGGGATATCCTTCGGATTTAAATTAAATTTAAATTTAAAAATAAAATATTATTCAGAAGGACAGTCATTGAATAAAACAAATTATTAAATAAATTAAACACTTTTAATTTTTAAATTAAAAATTTATTTACCTTTTTCTTCTTTCCATTAGGCCAAGAATATTCTTTCAATCCACTACCATTTTCAGTTTCATTCATTATTATATCTTCAAAATCTTCTGAATTTTTAAAAATCATTTAATATATATATTTTTTATTTACAACTATTTTCTACTAAAATAATTATTTTAAATAAAATATTTAAAAAATATTTTGCATAAAATAAGAGGGAAAACAAAAATAATTTTTTGGATTAAAAATATATTTTTAACATAATTTACGTACTAAATCCCCTTAATAAAATTTGTTAAAATAATTCGATTGATTATTTATTAATAATTTTTTATTAACAATTAAATTGCTGATATATTTAATTGTTACTTTTTAGTACTTTTTATTAAATATTCCCCTTTTATTTTTTACAGAATAATCACATTTTTTTAATTAAAAAATAAATTATTAAAGATAATAATTTATACTTAAAATGCACTAAAATCTCCGATTTTTCCCCAATTTTTTCCTTAAAATTTCCAATTTTTTTCTCTTAAAATTCAAGAATTACCAGATTTTTTCCATCCATTTCCCTGCCTAAAATCCATTTCAAAATCTTCCAATTCCTCCTCATCTTCATTATTTACAAAACTACAAAGTAAAGGTTGTTCTCCATTATTCGAATTAAAAAGACGTGTTTTTAGAAAGGAGGAGGGATTTAAATTAGTAATTATTTTGAATAATATTGACATTTTATTTTTAGATTTAAATAACTAAATAAAAAAATAAATGTGTGTCAGATTATGTTTGGCGAAGACTTAATGAATATTACAAAAAATCAGTACGAAAATTATGTTAACTCCTTTCCTTGAGAAATAAAAATTTGTCAATAAAAATTATAGGAGTAAAGAAAGTAACAATTTTTAAAAAATTAAAGGGATTTCAGTTAAAGGATTAAATAATAATTAAAAAATTAAATAATTTAAAAATAATTTGGAGAAGGGGATGAATGAATGAAAAATGCGAAAAAATTATTTTAAATTTTATTTTTTTGCAAATTAATTAAATAAAAATTAAAAACCCAAAAATATCATAATTTACATATATTTAAATTTATTTTTGCAAATAAATATTTATTTTTATAAAAAATAATTTAAATTTTTTGGCAAATTCTAACTAAAAATTATTTTTTCTCCCATTCAAAACTTTTTCTCTCTCATTTATTTGTTTAAACAACTAAATATTGCTTAAATAAAATTTTAAATGCTGAAATCCACGTGTTTTATTCTAAACAATTTTTTTGTAATTTAAAAAAAATTAAACTTCAAAAAATTAAAATCGATTAAATGCGCAATTATATTATATAAAATAATAAGCTCAATTAAATTAAAAAAAATCCTGCTCCCGGCCGAAGGCCGGGAGCCTCCTGAAAGTTGTACATCCCGGGGGGTACTTTTTATGGCGCATCCAGGAAAACTATAGAGAAGACGCCATGACTTTTCCTTTGCGCCGAAACGACCCCATGAGTTTTGCTATCTCCTGAACCAGAAGTCGGAGCGCTTAGGTCCCAACTAAAGGGCACTGAGATACTATTAGTGGATATCGTTTAAAAAAAAAATTTCGAAATTCGGTGAAGTCTAAATACCGATATGCCGTGTCATTGGTTTTTATTTGGTTCGAAAACCAATTAATTGGTTTTTCGATTTTCTATATCTCGTGAACGGCGCGGCGGAATTGGATGGGACCTGGGGGGTATTATGAAATCGCATATGTAGAATTTTTTGGGGTGGGTTATTTTGGTGCCACACTTTAGTGCGGCGCCGAAACGGCCGGTTCAAAAATTCAACGCGTTATAACGCGTTTTTGAGAACTGGGGGGTCTTGGGGCCTGGGAGTGATGTTGGAGGGTAGAGTGTGGGGAAGTTATCAATAGTTGACCACTAGAGTCTCGGGTGAACTTTTGGGGGTGTTATGGGTCAAAGAGTCGGGGTCGAAAAGTCGACTTTTTGTAACGTGAATTGAAACTCGATTTCGATAGCCAGATCGAAAGAGCGTCCCCTGGCGGTCAGAAAAAGGTATCATATGTTGGGGGTCCACTTGAGTCTCAAAAAGTTATAGCCATTGTGACGAAATGGCGCAAAACTTTATGAGACTCTAACGTCCCGGAGAATTTTTTTAAAATTTTTTCGAGGCCGGATTCGTACTCAGCGGGTGTCAGAGCACCATATAAGCCTATTTTGGGGTCAAAATTCGAAAATTTTGTCCCACCCCCTATTTCCAAAGGGGTACCCCTTTTGGGGAAATTTCGGGATTTTTTAGGGGACCATAACTTTTTTTTGAATTTTCGGATTGGGATGGGGTTTCTTTTATAAAATAGAACTAAAAATTAGGTATTTTTTGAGTGAAGAAAATTTCGAAAAAATTCGAAATTGCGCTCGAGGGGGTCGAATTTCGAAAACCCGAAAATTTTTCGGTTTTTCGAAAAAATTTCGGGTTTTTTGCCGGCGGTTCGCGCCGAATGTATTTTTACTGGAAAGAGCATATTTTTCTCCATAGAATAAGCTTTTAAAAATTTCCAAAAAGGTTAACTTTGAAAAAGTTATGAATTTTTGAAAATTTTGGTGATTTTCCCGGCCAAAATTTTCGGCCAAAAAAATATTTTTGCCAAAATGGGTATAAATGGGCAAAATGTTATATCAATCGAGAGCCCTTATCGAGGTGAGTCTAAAAATATTTTTTTCAAAATTTTCTGACCATTTTGTACAAAGTTACAAAAGGTCGAAAATTCGGGTGTGGGCGGTACCATACCCATTGGGGTAGCAAAGGAATGGTAAAAAATTAAAAAGACTTACGTTATCCTGTAGAGCATCCTCAATTACATCGAAAAATATAAACTCTGTTTGGGGGGTCACTTGAGTCTGACCAAATTATGGGGTCAGAGTTTTGGTTGTGGGGATGTTTGGGGGCCGAAGGCCCCCAAACCGATGCCGAAGTCTAAAACGATTGGTTTGGGGGGCCAAAGGCCCCCCAATTGCCCCGAGTCAACCCACCCCAGCTAACAAAAGGCACGTGTGCGAAACGCTGGGTTTAGGGGGCCGAAGGCCCCCCAAACGCCCCGAATCAACCCACCAAAGCTACTTAAAAGCAAAGTATCCGTCTAAAACTGGGTTTGGGGGGCCGAAGGCCCCCAAACGCCCCGGATAAACCCACCACAGGTAACAAAAGGCACAGTATCCCACTAAACGCTGGGTTTGGGGGGCCGAAGGCCCCCCAAACGCCCCGAATCAACCCACCTCAGCTACATCAAGGCACAGTATCCAACTAAACGCTGGGTTTGGGGGGCCGAAGGCCCCCCAAACGCCCCGAATCAACCCACCTCAGCTACATCAAGGCACAGTATCCAACTAAACGCTGGGTTTGGGGGGCCGAAGGCCCCCCAAACGCCCAGAATCAACCCACCTCAGCTACATCAAGGCACAGTATCCAACTAAACGTTGGGTTTGGGGTCCGAAGGCTCCCCAAACGCCCCGAATCAACCCACCTCAGCTACCTAAAGGCACAGTATCCGTCTAAACGCTGGGTTTGGGGGCCGAAGGCCCCCCAAACGCCCCGAATCAACCCACCTCAGCTACTTAAAAACAGTATCCGTCTAAACGTTGGGTTTGGGGGGCCGAAGGCCCCCCAAACGCCCCGAATCAACCCGCCTCAGCTACTTAAAGGCACAGTATCCGTCTAAACGGTGGGTTTGGGGGGCCGAAGGCCCCCCAAACGCCCCGACTCAACCCACAAAAGCTACCTATAGGCAAAGTATCCTCATAAACGCTGGGTTTGGGGGGCCGAAGGCCCCCCAAACGCCCCGAGTCAACCCGCCTCAGCTACTTAAAGGCACAGTATCAGTCTAAACGTTGGGTTTGGGGGGCCGAAGGCCCCCCAAACGCCCCGAATCAACCCACCAAATCTACCTAAAGGCAAATTATCCACCTAAACGATGGGTTTGGGGGGCCGAAGGCCCCCCAAACGCCCCGAGTCAACCCACCAAAGCTACCTAAAGGCAAAGTATCCGTCTAAACGCTGGGTTTGGGGGCCGAAGGCCCCCCAAACGCCCCGAATCAACCCACCTCAGCTACTTAAAAACAGTATCCGTCTAAACGTTGGGTTTGGGGGGCCGAAGGCCCCCCAAACGCCCCGAGTCAACCCACCTCAGCTACCTAAAGGCACAGTATCCGTCTAAACGCTGGGTTTGGGGGCCGAAGGCCCCCCAAACGCCCCGAATCAACCCACCTCAGCTACTTAAAAACAGTATCCGTCTAAACGTTGGGTTTGGGGGGCCGAAGGCCCCCCAAACGCCCCGAATCAACCCGCCTCAGCTACTTAAAGGCACAGTATCCGTCTAAACGGTGGGTTTGGGGGGCCGAAGGCCCCCCAAACGCCCCGACTCAACCCACAAAAGCTACCTATAGGCAAAGTATCCTCATAAACGCTGGGTTTGGGGGGCCGAAGGCCCCCCAAACGCCCCGAATCAACCCGCCTCAGCTACTTAAAGGCACAGTATCCGTCTAAACGGTGGGTTTGGGGGGCCGAAGGCCCCCCAAACGCCCCGACTCAACCCACAAAAGCTACCTATAGGCAAAGTATCCTCATAAACGCTGGGTTTGGGGGGCCGAAGGCCCCCCAAACGCCCCGAGTCAACCCGCCTCAGCTACTTAAAGGCACAGTATCCGTCTAAACGCTGGGTTTGGGGGCCGAAGGCCCCCCAAACGCCCCGAATCAACCCACCTCAGCTACTTAAAAACAGTATCCGTCTAAACGTTGGGTTTGGGGGGCCGAAGGCCCCCCAAACGCCCCGAATCAACCCAACACAGCTACCAAAAGGCACAGTATCCAACTAAATGCTGGGTTTGGGGGGCCGAAGGCCCCCCCAAACGCCCCGAGTCAACCCACCAAAGCTACCTATAGGCAAAGTATCCTCATAAACGCTGGGTTTGGGGGGCCGAAGGCCCCCCAAACGCCCCGAGTGAACCTACCACAGCTACCTAAAGGCAAAGTATCCTCCTAAACGTTGGGTTTGGGGGGCCGAAGGCCCCCAAAATGCAAAGCAAAAAATTTAAATATCTTTAACGTAAATCGCCAAGCAAAAAACTAATCTAGCGTCCTTTTAAAGCCGCAGGCTTTCCACGCGCGTCCCTGGACGCGCCCCCAAACGATTCTCATCGGTCCAGAAATGTAGCCAAACGCTCCCCCCAGCGTAACCAAACCCAAAAGCTACACGTCCATTCAGCTACCCACCCTGCAGCTAGTTTAATATTAAATTTATTTAGTTAAAAAAAGAGAAAAATATTTGTTAAAAGAATAAATGAACAGAAAAATGAAAATATGTGTATTTTCTTTATTAGTTCTTTAGTAAAAGAAATTTAAAAAAATGCGGGGAGAGAACCAGTTGGATTGAAAAATATGAATATGTATATGTATACTTATTTGGAGAATGAACGAGATGAATAATTTTTTTGAAAGAACGGAGGGTTAGTGTTGAGAGAAAAGAATGTGATCAGTGAAATATAAAAAATTTCAAACTATTTAATAATTTTTAAAAATGTAGGGAGAACTATAGAACTTTTAATAATTTATTTATACATCCACTAACTTCATATAATTAAGTACTGTCTGCAAGTACCAGCCATTCTTGACCATAACTTTTCTTTTAGAACCAATCTGGACAAACTTTATTATTTTAAAGCTTTTGAACTTTTTTTTCTGATCGGTGCAGCTAAATTAAAAAATACAAGTTCATTTATAGAGCTTTATTAGAATTGTTTTATAAATTGTTCAGATTGGTGCTTAAACAATAAATTACGGTAAATTGTACTAAACTGGTATGTTCTCTGAATCTCGACTCTGAAAACTCTGAATCGACCTTTTAAGGAAAGTTGAGTGCCACCCATTGAGAGCGGCCGATTGGGCACTAACAAATAAGACGTGGCTAAATCGGCTTTGTTTTATTAAGAAATACATGGCCTCACCGGTAGGGGACACTTGTGTACCGCCGTTTGTGTACCGCCGTTTGTGTACGGCCGTTTGTGTACCGCCACTTGTGTACCTGGCCATTTGTGTACCGGCCGTTTGTGTACCGCCGGTTGTGTACCCACCCAAAGGGGGACGTTTGTGTACCCGCATTATTTTCCTAGATTTTTTTATTGTTTTTTTTTATTTTTTTGTTTTTCTTTTGGGGTTTGCAACTAATTTTGTTAATTAGTTGACCGAGCATCCACTCAAGTCCATCCGAGCACTGAATTTTCTCAATGAGGACGAGAGGGAGGACGAGAATCTTGTGTAGGTAAAAGTTTAATTTTTATTTTTTAATTTTAGATTTTATATTTCAGGTTGGTCTAAACTTTGCTCATCACTGTCGGACTTCATCCCACGGCTGCAACGATGGGAAATTTGAAAAGGTTTGGAATTTTTATTTTGTTTTTCAAGTTTTTATTTTTAAAATTTTTTAGTTGATTTTCGTCAGTTTCTGGCTGGCGATTTTCAAGTTCACAGTTTCTGAAGGAACGAAGGTGGTGAACTTAGGAGAACAAAAAACGAAAGAAAGGCCCTTCTTTGGCCACAATAATTGAAGCTAGACTTTGGTTTTTTTAATTTTTTTGATAAAATTTTTAAAAAATATTTTTTTATTTTTTTTCACATTTTGATTTTCTCCCGTATCCAGGTAAATTCTGCCGGAGTCCGGAAATTAGGAAGGAGTTTTTACGTTCGTAATTTAGATAGTTTCCCCTACCCTCCATAGCAGCACAAAAGTTTTTCCAGCAAAGATTCTGTTGGTCAAAATTTGTTCAGAATCATTCAATCAACTTGATTTTGGTGTCATTCAACTCATCTCGTCGATCCCTTTCGAATGAGCTATCATTTGCAATTAAAAAATTTTTACCCAAAATTGAATCTGACCCCTTTTTTGGATTTTTAGGGGTCTGTAATTCGTTTCCTGAATTTGGATTGACCCAATATCAAATCAAAATCTCTCGATTATCCCCCTTAATCACTCTGAATGCAACTATATCCCCTTTAATCCCTCCTAATCCTAAAAATAATGCGGGTACACAAACGTCCCCCTTTGGGTGGGTACACAACCGGCGGTACACAAACGGCCGGTACACAAATGGCCAGGTACACAAGTGGCGGTACACAAACGGCCGTACACAAACGGCGGTACACAAACGGCGGTACACAAGTGGGACGTTCCGTGGCCTCGCATATTTAGAATATTAAATTAAATTTTATTTTTAGCTTATTCTCTATCTACAATATTAGCTAAAATATTTTATGGCAATAGATCAACTTATTGAAAATGTTTCCGCTTATCGGAGACGGCCTATTTTTATGCATGCTTTTATTGTATTAAATTAAATTACAAAAAATTAAACAATTTATTTTTAGACTCCTTTTTTGGTCTTTCACGCTTGTTGGCTAGGTTTTTGGCAAAATCTGGGTTTTGAAGATTATTGGGAATTTGGCTGTATAATTTTTGTTGGAATATTAATTTTACAGGTATTTTCTTTTTTGACTCGAGTTTAGGACATGCGTCCCAAAATCACACATACACTTTTTTTGGGACGCATACACTACCTTGGGACGCATGTCCTAAACTAGAGCCTATTTTTTAATTTTAATTTAAAAATATTTTAAAAGGCTTTAACTGCACTTTTTTGTTATTGGTTTGTTGAAGTTGATTCTTTTTTAAATTGTGTAAAAGTAAATAATCTTGTAAATGATGCACAATTAGTTAAAGTTAAACCGACACCAAATAATGGATGGACTGAATTTGTCCCTCTTATTAGAACAAAGGTTTGCTTTTAATACTTGTACTAAATTTTTAAAAAATAATTTAGCTTCCCAATGACCATTTACGTTTATCTTTTTGTTTTCAAAAAATTCATTATAAATATAATGAAGAATTGGGAGAGGTTGGTCTTTTATGAAATAAAAATTTAAAAAATTTTTTAGTTCAAGGCAATTACCTTCAATACAAATTTGCCTTTTCGAATATTTCAAGATTGGAAGGGAATTGAAAATGAGGATAAAGTTAAGGAAATAGAGCTTGAATATGGGAATAATAAGTAGGTAATTTTTGAATAAATTTTAAATTGTTTTTACAAGAGTTGAAATGGAAGTCCCCAAATTTGCTGAATTATTTACTGAAAGAGCTACTGCGCCCTTTTTTATTTTTCAAGTATTTTGTGTTGGATTATGGTGTTTAGGTATATTTTTATTTTTTTATTTATTTTTTTTTAATTTTGAATGAGTTATTTTGACATTTTTATTGCACAATTTTTTCAAGAAAATATTCCTTAAATTTATGGAAATTAAATAACTCAATTGGGTGGTGGTCCTATAAACAATTTGATAATATTGAACCGGACAGCCTTTTTTCTGCCCATTTTTCCCCTATATTTATGCAATACGGCATTACTTTCTTCTTTCTTCCATCCAAATTGCTTTTCTAATTTTCTATAATCAAACAAAAAGGATCATTTAATTTTTTAACCAAAAACAAATAAAAGGAGGAAAATATAGGTGAAAAATTGGCGAGGGAAAAATCGGGTCTGTCAGGTCCAATATTACCAACAATTTTTTTAACTTATTGATTTTTATTCTAAAAATATTTTTTAGAAGATATGTGGTATTATTCTCTTTTAACTCTTTTCATGTTGGTGACATTTGAGGTATAAATTTTCCAAAAAAATTTTACTTTTATTTTCCATTATTATCTAGGTCACAATTGTTAAACAACAAATGCGTAATATGTCAGAAATTAGGTTTATTCTTTCGAAAAATTTTTTCTAAAAATTCTTTAATTTAAGAAATATGAGTTCACAGCCTTATTTGGTCAATGTTTATCGTGGGAAGAGATGGAATAAACTATCTTCAGGTTTTAAATATTTTTTGGCATTTTAACATTTATTCTTTACATAGATCAATTAATTTGTGGCGATATAATTTCAATTACTTCAACAAAGGCGGGGGAAGAAAAATCAATTCCTTGCGATCTTTTATGTTTGTTAATTTTTTTAATTAATTTAATTCTAAAAATATTTTAAGTATTGAGAGGTCATGCAATTTGTGATGAAGCAATGTTGACGGGAGAATCTATTCCTCAAATGAAAGAATCAATTGAAGAATTGGAAAGGGAACGAATTTTTGATTCAAATATTGATAGCCGTTTACATGTTTTGTTTGGAGGAACTAAAATTCTTCAACACACACCTCCGGGTATGTTTTCTTTATTTTTTAAATTTATTTTTAAAAAGTTTAGCAAAAAATGAGGCAGGTACAAAAGCCCCTGATAATGGTGTTATTTGTTATGTTTTGAGAACTGGATTTAATACAAACCAAGGAAGTTTATTGAGAACTATTATGGTTTGTTTTAAAGTTTAAATAAGTTGTAAAAATGACTTGGTTAATTGTTTAGGTTAAAATTAAGAATTTTTATGAACCTTCCTTAAAAGTTTAATTATTCAAAATAAGCCTTGCTTGTTAGTAATTGACTAGGACTAGTATTAATTTAGGTATTCTGTAATTATTAACTTAACTCACAATGTTTCGGTCATTGAGCCTCTTTCGGTCAGAATCTCATTTACTTTAGAAAGAAATATTATTTTTAATTTTATTTTTTAAAGTTTGGCGTGAAACGAGTTAGTGCTAACAATTTGGAAACATTTGCCTTTATTCTCTTTCTGTTAATTTTTGCTATCGCTGCTTCCGCATATCTTTGGATTAAAGGTTTTTTTAATAATTTACTTTTTTAAATTCATTTTTACAAAATAGGAACTGAAGATGAAAATCGTTCTCGTTATAAATTATTTTTGGAATGTGTGCTTATTTTAACAAGTGTAATCCCACCAGAATTACCAATTGAATTATCTTTGGCTGTAAATAATTCATTACTTGCTTTACAAAAATTGGGGATATTTTGTACTGAACCTTTTCGAATTCCTTTTGCTGGCAAAATTGATGTTTGTTGTTTTGACAAGACTGGGACGTTAACAACAGATGAGTTAGTAATGGAAGGAGTTGCCGGTTTAACTCCTATACAGAGGTTTTTTGTAATTGAGATAATTAAACTAAACTTTAATTTAGTGAATCCTCTGAAGTACTCGACAATACTTCCTCAAATAATTCAGAGAATGATGTTTCTATTGTTCGTTTACCTTCTAATTGTGATTTAAATTCTGTTCGTGCTCTTGCTTCATGTCATTCTTTAGTCCGTTTTGATGAGGAATTAGTTGGCGATCCTTTAGAGAAGGCAATTCTTAAATGGCTTGATTGGAATGTTACAAAACGTTAATATCTTTTATTGTTTAAAAAGTTTTTTTTTATTTTAGAAGATTCTGTTATTCCCATAAAGAAAACTACAAAGGTTCCTCCAATTAAAATTCTTCGTCGTTTTCACTTTTCAAGTCAAATGAAACGAATGACAGTTATTTCTGCATATCAAAGTTCTGGTCAAACTACAACAAATTGTATTGTTACAGTGAAAGGAGCACCAGAAATCCTTCGAGGAATGGTTTGGGATTTTGTTTAATTATTTTTGTATTTTTCTAGTTTCATGAATTGCCTCCTTCATATGATGAGAATTATCAAAGTCTTGCTAGGGCAGGTGCTCGCATTATTGCTTTGGGGATTAGAGAACTTGGTCCTTTGAGTACGCAACAGATTCGTGAAACTCCCAGGTTTATTCATTTTTAATGTTATTTTAGTTAATAAATAAATAAAGGAATGAATTTGAATGTGAACTTAGTTTTGCTGGTTTTGCCGTTGTTTCATGTCCTTTGAAGTCGGATACTCGGTCAATGATTAGAGAAATAATCGATTCTTCACACAGGGTAAATTGATACATAAAAATTATACTTATTTTGTTAATATTCAGGTTGTAATGATCACAGGCGATAATGTTTTGACTGCTTTACATGTCGCAAATGAACTAAAATTTATTCGAAAAAATAGAGTGGCGTTAATTTTGGATCAAATAGGTTTTTCTTTTAAATTTTTTTAAATTTTGGCTTATTTTTAGAAGATCAAAATAGTCAGGATAAATGGCTTTGGCGTTCAGTTGACGGTACAACAAGTTTGACAACAGATGTTCTTTTAACCAAAAATCACTTACTTGCTCGTCACCGAAAATTCGAACTTTGTTTAACAGGCTCTTCTTTTGAAAATTTGCATGATTCTCTTGAATCTTGGAAATTTAAAATAAGTAAGAATAAGATTAAAGTATAGCTATGTAATTTATAGTTCTTGAAAATGTTCGTGTTTATGCTAGAATGTCACCTAAACAAAAAGAAAAGGCAGTAAATTCATTGAAACGTATGGGATTTGTAACTCTGATGTGTGGCGACGGGTTAGTTATTTTTATAATTATTAACTAACAAGTCTTAAAAAATTTGTTAGAACAAATGATGTTGGAGCTTTAAAACATTCTGAAGTTGGGGTTGCACTTCTTTCACATCCAATTAAAAACGAAGAAAAACCACCACAATCAATTGAAAACAAACCGACAATGACTGAAAATGATGTTTCAAATCCTTTAAAAACTGTAAAGAAACTTCCTGTGAATCTACCTTCGAATATTGTATCTAGAAATGAAGCCAAAGGATCTGGTCGTCAACAACTTTTAACTCGTCAAAGTCAGATGCAGGTAAAAAAGCCCTCAAAATTTATTCGTTTTTAAAATTTGTCTTTTAAGAATCGTTTGGATCAAATGATGCGTGAAATGGAACAAGAAGAACAAGCTAAGGTACGATTAGGTGATGCTTCTTATGCTGCTCCATTTACATCAAAATCAACTTCTATTCAGTCAAGTATCTTTTTTTAATTTTTTATATTTTGAAAACAATTTTTTAAAGTTTGCAATATAATTAAACAAGGAAGGTGTACTTTGGTTTGTTAAAATTATTTTTAAATTTTAATTTATTTTAAAGGTTACAACAATGCAAATGTTTAAAATTCTTGCACTTAATGCTCTAGTTCTCGCATATAGTCAAAGTGTACTTTATTTGGATGGAGTTAAATTTTCTGATACTCAGGTTATTTTTAAATAAAATTCTATTTTATTTTTCTTATTTTAAGGCAACTGTGCAAGGAATTTTTTTGGCTGCATGTTTTCTTTTTATTTCACGCTCAAAACCGTTAAGGACGCTTTCCAAACAGAGACCGATGGCCAATATTTTCAATGTTTATACTTTAACAACAATTACTTTACAATTTTCTGTACATTTTGCCTGTTTAATTCACATTGTTAAATTAGCACATAATTTAGAAGAAAGGTTTTTTTTATTTTTTTAATTAAAATTTTAAATTTAAGACCAAAAAATATTGATCTCGAGAAAGAATTCAAACCAAATCTATTAAATACTGCTGTTTATTTAATGTCGTCAACACTTCAAATAGCCACATTTGCAGTAAATTATCGGGGGAAGCCTTTTATGGAAAGTTTAACAGGTTTTTAAGAGAAAATTATTTAAATAATGTCTCAATTATTTTGACTTATTGTTAATTTGGGATATATTTTTAACCTTGATAATTGGACTCCTTTCATTCGAGATAAATTTTAAAATATTTAGAAAATCGTCCAATGTTCTACTCAATAATTTGTTCCTTCCTAGTCATGGTTGCTTTTGCATCAAATATTGCCCCAGAAATGAATAATAAATTTGGTAAAATATATGTTTAAAAATATATTTTCAATATATATCATTTTTAGAACTTGTTCATATACCTGAACTTCTTCGAAATAATTTGGTTATTTGCATAATAGGAGATCTTTTTTGTTGTTTTCTGATCGATCGTTTTCTAAACTATTTCTTGGGTGATGCAAGAATTAAATAAATTTTAAAAGAATTTTTCAGCTTTTCATTTTTTATTAATTGTTACGCATTCCCTTCTAGTTATTAATAAAACATTTTTATTACATAATTCTTTAATTGAAACTTTAAATTTATAAAGTCGAATCATTAGAAATATCTTCCAATGGGTCTGAATCGTACCTTTTAGCCGTACTCTGAATCGACCTTTTCCGCTTTTGTTGTTTTGCTCCCACATTGTTCCCCGTTTACATTTTCATATTTCTTTTTTGTTATTTGTTTTCGCTTTACGTTCGATTTTAGCTTTTAAAATTTGCTGCAGACAGAAAAATGAACATTGAAATTGAATCAGCAAAATTAAAGATCTCTCAACTGGAAACAAAGATAACCCAAGTGGAGGCTAGTATATCTGAGTGCATGCAACAGTATGCGGATTCTTCAGGCATTTTAATTCGATTGGTTAGTTTAATTAAGTTTAATCTCTTCAGATCGTTTGAAGCAGATGTTCCTTAATATAGCAGTCAGCAGGCAAGAACAAGTGACCCAAATGCATAAACAAGTGACAAGTTTGGAGGAAAGAATAACGTTACTGCAGACACAATCTCTGGCGAGTTCTCGTTCATCTACTCCGAGTACCAATTCGAGGCCGACAACACCATTTGAAGAAGGTATTTTTATTTTTCCTATATTATGACTCATTCTAATTCATATTTAGATTACATTAATAATGCTGGCTGGGTTATGGAATTTCTGTTTTTCATCGAAGAAGGCTTCAACTCTTGCGTAGTTGCACTGACTCCACATTACCTGGTTACTTTCAGGCATGGTACTCATAAGCAATACGTGAATGGTACAACTGTTGTCCGAATTGTTTCAGCAAAGACTGGTGCACAATACGAAGCTACTGTTGTTCACATTTGCGAAGAAGAAGATTATGTTATTTTGAAGAGTCGTGAAAAAGTTGTAGATCGAGATTGTCCTTTGCAACAATGCGAAGTGATGAGGAAATTCGTTGTTTGTGGTTTTGCAAACGGCCTTCCAGAAGTGACGTTTAGACGTGGAATTGTGTACAGCAATTATCCCTACATATATGAAAACAAGGGCAAACGTTTTGGCCCATTTGTTTATGGCACTGCCAGAACTTCTCCAGGGGATTCTGGTAAAACAGCTTTTTGCATATCCCAAAACTTAAATCAATTCTTAGGCGCCGCCTGCTTTGGAACATGTGGGTTAATGGCAATCAACCTCGGTATTACATGCATGCCCTTAAAATATCACGATGTAGCAACCTCCGAGGCAGCAATCTTTTCACCAAATAATTATATGTTGCCTGCAGTAAGACTTCTCGAAGTAGTGGCGGTTTGTTTTCATTGTTTTTAATTACATTTCTTATTACTCTTATTTAGAAATTGGAACCGAAGAAACCTCCCAAGAGCCCAGATCGTGTAATCAAGATTGACGGATACGGCAAATTCGGATTTTAGATGTCTCAATTATGGATCAATTTCGCATTTAATTATAATTTATGTGGATTTTTGATGAGAAATTATATAGACTCGTTATTTTTTTATTTTTGACTTTTAATGAAAGTTCTCAGGAAATTAAATAAATTTAGCCTTTTTTCTGTAAATGACCGGTTCAATACTATTACATATTTTTTATAATTTTAAATTAATAGTTAACTTTTTCATTTTATATCCCTAAAGTTGGACTTTAAAACAGTTAAGATTTATTCAGAGCATAAATTATAAAAATATTTTAATAATGGCTGGCGTTGTTACAATGATTAACAAATTGCTTGATTGGATTCGTTCCTTGTTTTGGAAAGAAGAAATGGAGTTGACTCTTGTTGGTTTACAAGGTTCGGGAAAAACAACTTTTGTTAATGTTATTGCGGTTTGTTTTCGATTTTTCTTTGTCATTTTTGTCACAAATTTTAGAGTGGGCAATTTACTGAGGGGGAAAATTTCTTTACTATTCTTTTTAGTCACAAATTTAGTGAATTAAATAAGATTTTAATTTTCCGAGATTATTGAAACATTTAAAATATATTTTTATTTATTAGTAAGTAAAAAAGACGTTGAACGTTGATTATTTACGTCTTGATGGCCTTTTTGTAATTCGATTACTTACACTTCATACTGGTGGTAAAAAAAGAATAAAATAAATTTTAAAAAATAATTTCCTTTTTATTTTTTAGTTATTTTTGGCACAGAATTAGTTCAATCTCTCTGGATAAACTATTTTGGTTATGAAGGAACTGCTTTAAAGCGTTGTTCTTCCTTTCCTGATGTTAACGAATTTTCACCGAATAGCAAAAACAAAAAATTTTGTTTGTTTGATTTTTATAAAATTAAATTTTTTAATTTTTAGATGATATTGGAACGGAATCGACGGCATTTTGATCAACACCATTCTTCTATAACTGCCAACAAAAGTCCAAAAATTTCCGTAGTTAGTGCTTCTGAACAATTACTTCATCCTCCACCATTTTCTCCAACTGCCAAACGGGCATTAAATGCTATTGAATTTTCTAGAACTGTTAGTCCAAGTTCTGAAGCTTCTTCAAGAACAGCAAGTCCACCTGATGATATTGGGAAAAAACAATCAAGTTCAAATAACAATTCAAATATTCAACAGAGAAAGAGATCGTTAACACAGACTGATCGACATGGAAGGAAAATTGAAGGTATTTTTGATAATTATTTTTAGAGATTTTCTAATGTTTGTTGTTAACAAAAAATTGTTTTTTTTGTTTTTTTAATTTAAAAAAGCATTTTACAGATTTACAACCCAATACAACAAACAAAATTAAAAGTGAAGAAAGAAACCAAAAAGAATCAAATAACCATGATACATCTCCAAGTAGCAATAGTAGTAAATATATTACTGCCTGAGAAAGCTAGGGCAGGTGCTCGCATTATTGCTTTGGGAATTAGAGAACTTGGTCCTTTGAGTACACAACAGATTCGTGAAACTCCCAGGTTTATTTATTTTTAATATTATTTTAGTTAATTAATTAAAGGAATGAATTTGAATGTGAACTTAGTTTTGCTGGTTTTGCCGTTGTTTCATGTCCTTTGAAGTCGGATACTCGGTCAATGATTAGAGAAATAATCGATTCTTCGCATAGAGTAAATTGTTACATAGAGATTATATCTATTTTGATAATATAAACTATTTCCTAGGTGATGCTAGAATTAAATAAATTTTAAAAGAATTTTTCAGCTTTTGATTTTTTATTAATTGTTACGCATTCCTTTCTAGTTATTAATAAAACTTATTACATAATTCTTTAATTGAAACTTTAAATTTATAAAGCCGAGTTATTAGAAATATTTTCCAATGGGTGATCTCGGAATCGACCTTTTCCCCATTTTTTTGCTCCCACATTGTTCCCGGGTACAGCCCGAAAAGGCGCGGGATTATAAAACTGAATTATAAAACAAAAATTTTCCATATAAAAATTTTCCAAAATTAAAAAACAGGCCTAAACTTCCGTACCAGACTCAAAATCAGCTCGATTGGATGATTATGAACAAAGTTATGCCAACGGAATCTTCGCTGGAAAAACTTTTTGTGCTGCTACGGAGGGTATGCCGGGCATGGTCTTCGTACACGATGTCCGTGCTTCGCAGCGGTCGTGCTCGCTTCGCTCGCGGCGACCGTAGCGAAGCGGCGGCCGTCGTTCCGCTCGACATGCCCGGCTTCCTCCGCATCGGCAAAAACTTTTTTCCGCGTAAGCCTTATGTGAGGGGGGTGTATTTGTCTTTCAGGATTTGGGGGGTATTTTGTTCAATATTAATTATAAAGCTTGGCGCATATATGGCCTCGCGCCTATTCGGCGGCGCCTTTTCGGTCGCGCCTTTTTGGCCCGCGCCTTTTCGGGCGTGTCCCATTGTTCCCCGTTTACATTTACATATTTCGTGTATGTTATTTGTTTTCGCTTTACGTTCGATTTTAGATTTTAAAATTTACTACAGACAGAAAAATGAACATTGAAATTGAATCAGCAAAATTAAAGATCTCTCAACTGGAAACAAAGATAACCCAAGTGGAGGCTAGTATATCTGAGTGCATGCAACAGTATGCGGATTCTTCAGGCATTTTAATTCGATTGGTTAGTTTAATTAAGTTTAATCTCTTCAGATCGTTTGAAGCAGATGTTCCTTAATATAGCAGTCAGCAGGCAAGAACAAGTGACCCAAATGCATAAACAAGTGACAAGTTTGGAGGAAAGAATAACGTTACTGCAGACACAATCTCTGGCGAGTTCTCGTTCATCTACTCCGAGTACCAATTCGAGGCCGACAACACCATTTGAAGAAGGTATTTTTATTTTTCCTATATTATGACTCATTCTAATTCATATTTAGATTACATTAATAATGCTGGCTGGGTTATGGAATTTCTGTTTTTCATCGAAGAAGGCTTCAACTCTTGCGTAGTTGCACTGACTCCACATTACCTGGTTACTTTCAGGCATGGTAATCATAAGCAATACGTGAATGGTACAACTGTTGTCCGAATTGTTTCGGCAAAGACTGGTGCACAATACGAAGCTACTGTTGTTCACATTTGTGAAAAAGAAGGTTATGTTATTTTGAAGAGTCGTGAAAAAGTTGTAGATCGAAATTGTCCTTTGCAACAATGCGAAGTGATGAGGAAATTCGTTGTTTGTGGTTTTGCAAACGGCCTTCCAGAAGTGACGTTTAGACGTGGAATTGTGTACAGCAATTATCCCTACATATATGAAAACAGGGGCAAACGTTTTGGCCCATTTGTTTATGGCACTGCCAGAACTTCTCCAGGGGATTCTGGTAAAACAGCTTTTTGCATATCCCAAAACTTAAATCAATTCTTAGGCGCCGCCTGCTTTGGAACATGTGGGTTAATGGCAATCAACCTCGGTATTACATGCATGCCCTTAAAATATCACGATGTAGCAACCTCCGAGGCAGCAATCTTTTCACCAAATAATTATATGTTGCCTGCAGTAAGACTTCTCGAAGTAGTGGCGGTTTGTTTTCATTGTTTTTAATTACATTTCTTATTACTCTTATTTAGAAATTGGAACCGAAGAAACCTCCCAAGAGCCCAGATCGTGTAATCAAGATTGACGGATACGGCAAATTCGGATTTTAGATGTCTCAATTATGGATCAATTTCGCATTTAATTATAATTTATGTGGATTTTTGATGAGAAATTATATAGACTCGTTATTTTTTTATTTTTGACTTTTAATGAAAGTTCTCAGGAAATTAAATAAATTTAGCCTTTTTTCTGTAAATGACCGGTTCAATACTATTACATATTTTTTATAATTTTAAATTAATAGTTAACTTTTTCATTTTATATCCCTAAAGTTGGACTTTAAAACAGTTAAGATTTATTCAGAGCATAAATTATAAAAATATTTTAATAATGGCTGGCGTTGTTACAATGATTAACAAATTGCTTGATTGGATTCGTTCCTTGTTTTGGAAAGAAGAAATGGAGTTGACTCTTGTTGGTTTACAAGGTTCGGGAAAAACAACTTTTGTTAATGTTATTGCGGTTTGTTTTCGATTTTTCTTTGTCAATTTATCATAAATTTTAGAGTGGGCAATTTACTGAGGATATGATTCCAACTGTTGGTTTCAATATGCGGAAAATAACGAAAGGGAATGTTACTATAAAGGTTTATTTTATAAATTTAATTTTGGATTTAATTTCCTTTAGCTTTGGGATATTGGAGGTCAACCACGTTTTCGGTCAATGTGGGAACGTTATTGCCGTGGTGTAAATGCTATTGTTTTTATGGTTTATTTCTTTCATAATTTTCAAAGAAAAATTGTTTTTTAAAGGTCGATGCGGCAGATCAGGGCAAATTGGAAGCGGCAAAAAGTGAATTAATTCAACTTTTGGATAAACCCCAATTGGAGGCGATCCCCGTTTTGGTTCTTGGGAATAAAAAGGATTTGCCTGATGCTTTAGATGAGGGACAGTTAATTGAACAGATGAATCTTTCTACTATTCAAAACCGCGAAATTTGTTGCTATTCGATCTCTTGCAAGGAAAAGTCTAATATTGGTTACTTTCAAATATTTTTTTGATATATTCTAATTTTGCCCTACCACTTTTTTGGTTAATTTCTTTTCAAATAGTTTAGTAGAATGTTTCGATTTGTTAAGTTTAAATTGATATTTTTTCGTTATTTCGTAAATTGTCTATGGAATTTATTGAGTCCACCTCAGTCAGAAGACTTACACCCAAAAGACCTATATTCTAACATAAAGACCTACTGACCCAAAAGAAAAATCTTTACTTTTAATCTTTACTTTTTATTCCTTTATGAGTATAATCAGGGGATATGGAGGGATTAAAAGGATAACGATGGATTCGAACGGATTGGGAGGATTTGGTAATAAAAAGCAAAAATAGAATTAAAAAACTGGAGTATTTTGGGTAAATAGGTCTTTTGGGTCAAAAGTTCCTTAGGGTCTTCTGGGTTGACCCGAATTTATTAACTTTATTTAGAAGGCCAAAACTTTATTCATAAAACTTAATTTTTTTCTTTAAGATATAACCTTGCAATGGCTAATTCAACATTCAAAAACTGCTCGTTAATTTCTAGTAAGTATTCATTTTCTCTAATTTCTTTAAAAATCTATGCTTAAAATTTTTTCAAAATTTACTTTTGAGTTGTCTACTTTTGGTTTGCTGACTGGCTATATTTTTTGACTTTAACTTTTTATGAATTTGAGAGAAGTTAAAAAAACAAATATAAAAATAACCACCAATCTCAGTTAGCTTTCTCTTCTATTTTTATCGAGTGTCATTGTTTTTTCAAGCTATATGTAACAAATCACCGGTCACTTCCCTCTCTACATACTTTTGTACTATTATTTAAAAACAAAATATTTAAAAAAATTACTTTTAAAATCTTCATTCTTTTAAATTGTAAAAATTAAATTTTAACTTGACATAAAGAGAAGAATATTAAATTCTTTTTAAATTTATGTAATCTTAAAGAGCGTAGCCAGAGGTCAATTTCAGTGGGGCTAAAATGGGATGTGCGCCAAAATTTTGGCGTTTACTTGGCCTTTCTTAATTTTGGAAGGCCAAGAATCCAAATTTCTTACATTTTCAATGCCGTAGGCTAAAATTTTGGGGGTTGTAGGCGTAAAAAATTCACTTTTCTGTTCATTTCCCTCCTAAAATTTTTTCATTTTCCCCATTTCAAGGGGGGCTATAGCTCCAGAAGCCCCCCTCTGGCTACGCCCTTGGTAACCTTTAATTTACTCTAAATAATTGTGAGTCTAAAAATATCTAAAAAAAATAACCTTTATTTATGGTCATTTAACTCTGAGGACTTGAAACAAATCTAAATTTTTAATATATTTTTGAGCTCACAATTTAAAAAGAAATATTTTCTTTATTTTTTCAAAGTATAATTTACAGCTAGTAGTAAATAATTTGTTTAGTTTTTTAAATTCTTTGGCGCATTCCCTTCATTCTCCTGTAAATTCTATAACAATTTTTTAAATATATTGCTTTTACATTATAAAATGTCTGATTTTTTGCAAATTTTTGTTTTTGTAACAAAAATTATTTTGAAATAATTTTTTTTACTTTTTTTTGATTATTCGCAGAGGTAATTTATTGTCCTTTGTTTTTTAAAGATAAGAAGAAACTAAATTTATTTTGTTTCTTTTGATGTTTATTAACTAATTTTGTCTATTTTAGTACATTTTAATTATTTTCGCAACTAATATTCTACAGCAAAATGGTGTTGACAACGGTTAGTTTAAATTGATAAAATTTAAATGATATTTTTTAGGTCCTCGCAATGATGCGTTATGTGTCGGAGACAGACGATAGGGATTTTGTTGATCGGTTACACAGCTATTTCACTACAAATTTGCTGATTGGGCTCTCAATTCTTATCAGTTTTAAAGTAATTTAAAATTTTTTAAAATTTATTTTCCACATTTTTAGCAATTTGGAGGGAAGCCTATTGAGTGTCTCGTCCCAGATATTTTTTCTGGTGCTTGGGAACAGGTTTTTGAATAATTTTGAACATTTTATTTTTAAGTTTAGTATGCAGAGAATTATTGTTGGGCCCAGGTTAATTTTTTTTTGTTAATTAAAAATCATTTCTAAATAATTATAGGATACTTATTTTGTAGCACCTTCTACTTTTGTGGAGAATATTTCTAAAGTCGATAGGGGACAGAGGAGAATTAGCTATTACCAATGGGTAAGTTACTACTCAATTAACAATTAATTAGTTTTTTTCCAAGGTTCCTTTTTTTCTTCTGTTGGAGGCTGCCTGTTTTCGTCTTCCCTATCTTCTTTGGTCTTACATGTCTGGGCATTCAGGTCAATATTCTTAACTACTTAATTAATTATAATTAATATTCTCCCAGTTTTAGGCATAAAAATTAGTGAAATAATTAAAATGTCTTCTGATCCAAACAACATAAAACCAGAAATTCGGAAGGCTAATATACGTGCCATGACTGTAAATTTTCAAATGTTTTTTATTTAAAAAAAAAAATTTTTTAAAGCTTCATCTACAAGGAGCTCTTCGTTTTCATAAACATTTAAAGAAACACCAAATTCGCCCACATCGTATTGTTCGCCTTTTTAATTTGCCATATTCTGCTTCTTATGTTACCGTTATTTATTTGCTAACAAAATTTTGTTATCTTTTTAATGTTTCATCTCAACTTTTAATTATGAATAGGTTAGTTGAATAATTATCGTTTTAATTAATAAATTTCGGAAAGGCTTTATTAGGGCTTAGGATTCGTAATTTTCGTGGAAACTTGGTTTTACTTGTAAATTTTAGGTTTTACTAGTACGAAAACGAGTCTCTACATATTAGACTTTTTCGTTTAACTTTTAGACTTTTTAGTTTTTTGGAGACAAGTAAATACTCTTTTTATGGATTTGGAGCACTACTTGATTTGTTAAATGGTACAACTTGGGAACAAAGTGGAGTTTTCCCCCGTGTTTCTCTTTGTGATTTTGAGGTTTTCCAACATAAATTTTCAATTTAATTTTGTTTTTAAAAGGTCAGAGTGATGGGTAATTTACAAGATTACACAATTCAGTGTGTTCTAGTCATAAATATTTTTAATGAAAAGGTTTTAAAAATAAGAAGGTTTTTAAAATTTAATTATTTTTTTTTATTTAGATTTTTGTTCTTCTTTGGTTTTGGTATTTATTTAATTTTAATTTTTTAATTCAAAATTCATTTTTAGGTATTTATGCCTGCTTACTTTAACTTTTGGTTCTTTCCTTTTTTGGTTAAGTGTTGTTATTTTCCCTTGGCCAAATCGACGATTTATTGCAATGCATTTGGAAATGTGTGAAATGACTTTTGATCCTTATGGCAAGGATTTAATTTTAATTGTCCTGTAGGGGAAGGGGGGCTGAAAGAAGTTTCGAGGGATTTTAAGAAAATCTTTTTTATATATTCTTTTAAGCGAATAATCACAGATTTAATTAATTAAATAAATTTTTATTTATTAGAAAGTAAAAAGGACGTTGAACGTTTCATTAATGATTATTTACGTCTTGATGGCCTTTTTGTAATTCGATTACTTACACTTCATACTGGTGGTAAAAATGAATAAAATAAATTTAAAAAATAATTTCCTTTTTAATTTTTTTAGTTATTTTTGGCACAGAATTAGTCCAATCTCTCTGGATAAATTATTTTGGTTATGAAGGAACTGCTTTAAAGCGTTGTTCTTCTTTTCCTGATGTTAACGAATTTTCACCAAATAGCAAAAACAAAAAATTTTGTTTGTTCAATTTTTATAAAATTAAATTTTTTTAATTTTTAGATGATATTGGTACAAATAATTCACGGAATCGACGGCATTTTGATCAACACCATTCTTCTGTAACTGCCAACAAAAGTCCAAAAATTTCCGTAGTTAGTGCTTCTGAACAATTACTTCATCCTCCACCATTTTCTCCAACTGCCAAACGAGCATTAAATGCTATTGAATTTTCTAGGACAGTTAGTCCAAGTTCTGAAGCTTCTTCAAGAACAGCAAGTCCACCTGATGATATTGGGAAAAAACAATCAAGCTCAAATAACAATCCAAACATTCAACAGAGAAAGAGATCGTTAACACAGACTGATCGACATGGAAGGAAAATTGAAGGTATTTTTGAAAATTATTTTTTAGAAATTTTCTAATGTTTGTTTTTAACAAAAAATTGTTTTTTTTTGCTTTCTAAATTTAACAAAGCAATTTACAGATTCACAACTCAATACAACAAACAAAATTAAAATTGAAGAAAGAAACCAAGAAGAATCAAGTAAACATGATACATCTCCAAGTAGTAATAGTAGTAAATATATTACTGCCAGAGAAAGTTCATCCTCAGCATCTTATTAAAAGCTTTAAATCTTTTTGAATTTTTATAAAAAAAGTATTTGCAGTGCAAAAAAAAATAAAAGGATCTTTTCAAAAATTTTCATTACATTCGGACTTCACTATAATGTCACCAATCGGGAAAAAACTCGCTTTAAAAAGTTCATTAAAGGGAGAGTTATCTAAAGTCAATAACGTTATAGTGAGGCATTGTATAACTAAATTACAATTGGCTTGAAACAGGATTGGGGGAAATTTCTGTTCAAAAAACGTCGATTTGTTTTTATCTTTTTCCGAAAATTTTAGAAAAGACCTTTTATTTATTTTTTATTTTTGAATCTTTTTAATATTTGCAATAACCTTAAACTTTTTCTTTCGCATTTTTAACTTTTATTATTTTTTTTAAAAATTGCATTTAATAAAAAATTCATTTAAATATTTTTTAGTAAAAATAATGAAAAGACGTTTGTTTAATCAGAAACGGAGTGTAGATTAATAATTGGAATTTAAAAGAATTTTTATATTAAAGATATTTTATTAAAATTAGAAATTTTTAATAAGTAATTAGGAGAGATTTTTCTTAATTTTAATTAAAAAAATAAATTTTGAAATAAAATTAATTTAAATTAAATCGTGTCTTTTAAAAGGTCATTTATTAGTGCATTTGCACTTTAACTTTATGAGAGTGATTGATTGTATAAAAGGAAGTAAAAATCAATTTTTAATTAAATATACATAAAAATATTTTTAAATTATTGTTAAAAATTTTTAATCACAACATATTCATTTTTAATTAAATAATTAAAAATGTATTTAAAACAATTATTATTATTTTATATTTTTGTATTAATTAAAATTAATGCAAATGGAATGTTTTCAAAATTTTTTAGGACTGAAGAAAGATTAAATTATTTAATTAAAATTGGCGTTAAAATATGTAAATATATATTTGAATTTAAAGATGATTAGGGGACAATTTTGAATTTTAGTCAAATTTAGTTTTTAATTGAGCTAGTTTGGAGGGATAACCAAAAATTATTAGTTAGATCTAAATTGCTGAAAAAATCTTTGTTTGTTTTTAAGATGAAGGTGGAGAAGTTTACATTTTACAAGATCATAAAATAAAAGATACTGAATTTGAAAAAGATTCGATTATTTTTATTGAAGATATTTTAAAGGTTTATAATGGAATTGATGTTAAATGTAAAAATTAGAAAAATTATTTTTTATTTAAAAATAATATTTTTTAAAGATATAGAAGGTGGAAAAATAAAATTTAATAAAGAGTGTTCTTTGGGTAAAAAAGGTGAAGAAAGAAATATTTTAGAATTAATAAAAGAATTAAATAAAAATAACAAAAGATGGCTGATGCCTAATGAAGAACAAGGAGATAATCATTATTTAAAATTAAATATAGATGGGCATGCAATGGCTATTTTAATTAATAATTTTGGTGAAGAAAAAGGAAGATGTAATCTTTTTAGATTATATTTTTTGTAATTAGTTAGAATTTAAAGTAGAGTACCACAAAGTCGAAGCCTTACCGTTGCCGAGGAATTAGCTAATTTTTCGACCTCGAATTTTGATTTGCTGACCTCAAAACCGAGGTCGAATTCTTAGAACCTCGCTGAGAACCAGGGGTGTGCCGAAAGTGATTTTAAAAAGCGAACGGCGAAGGGCGAAAGTCCAAAAAAGGCGAAAATCGGCGAAAGGCGAAACTTGTTCACCCCTGCTTAGACCTAGGCTAAATTTACACCCTCCTCCCAAGTGTCTTTTTGAAAGGAATCTTTTCCTCATCAAATTCCCCTTTTTTATAATTAAAAAAAAATATTTTTAAAGTTCACTTTAATAGTGGTGGTTTAAATTTTTATGATAGAAAACATCAAACAAATTATATAATAAACGAAAATATGGAAGAAAAAATAGAAAGCGAAAATTATAATATAGAGAAAAGTAAATTTAGAGGTTATTATGTTAAGGAAGAATTTCCTCTAAATAAAAAAATTAAAACAAAAAAATTGAAAATGAAAGAAATTAAGGAAATAGCAATTAAAATAATAAATAAAAGAAGTTGGAATAAATTATTTAGATGTCACAATTTTGTTTATGAATTTATTTTGGAAATTGTTGAAAATACTTTAGATTTAAGAAATTTTAATAATTGGCCGGAAAATATTAGAATTTTAGATAAAAGAATTGCTAAATTGGAAGAAAAGAATTTGTTAGCTTTTACTTCAAGTGTTAAACAACACCCTTTCTTTTTTAATGATAACAATTGAGAGAAGTAATAAAGAGAGACATTATTAAAAATTGTTCTATTAGAATGGAAGTTGAAAAATAGAATGGATTTTCTAAGGTTGGCGGTTCCGGGCAGAGATGGGCGAAAATTTTCGTTTCGTTTCGTTTGAAAATTTATTTTCGTTTTTCTTTCGTTTTGTCTTTCGTTGAAAAAGTATTTTCGTTTCGTTTTCGTTTCGTACATTAATGATTTTATTTTTTTCGTTTTCGTTTCGTTGAGGGCAAAATTCTATTTTCGCCCATCTCTGGTTCCGAGTATTCGAAATCGAAAAACCAACGGATATACGAAAATTTCCCAGGAACCGCCATCCTTAGTCCCCTTCTATTTGAATAAATACGTGATAGAGATTTATTTTGAATATGAAATTCCTTCAGTTCCTGGACGCCATTTTTTAAGACTTACACTATAATTATGTTCGACTGTAGATATTATTTTTTATAATTATTGCGGCGCAAATGTCGCGGCGCATAAGTCGCCCGGCGCAAAAGTCGCGGCGCACAAGTCGCCCGGCGCAAAAGTCGCGGCGCATAAGTCGCGGCGCAAAAGTCGCCCGGCGCATAAGTCGCGGCGCAAAAGTCGCGGCGCAAATGTTCTCGGCGCAAAAGTCGTGATACCCCCTAAAGTGGAGGTATTGCTTAGACATTTATCCCCCACGGAGCGGCAACATTAAAAATGTATTAATTATTCCATTACTGTAGATTCTAGTATGTATTTTTGTAGTCATTCAATTTTTCTTCCTTCCCTCTCTAAAATAAAAGTAGACAAAAATAAATCTCAATGTCAACAAAAATGAAAAAAAACTAAATTTAACTTGTACGTGAAAAAAATATTGCCTCCCAGTGTAAAATTGAGAATTGACTGTAATAGAAAATTTTATACCAGTTCTTTCGTAAATTTAAAAAAAAATATTTTTTATATTTTTTTCAATAATTTTTTCTTTATTTTAATTATTCTTTTTAATTATTTATCTAAAAAATTATTTCCTTTCTTTTACTTTATTTGACGTTAATATTTATGTAGTTTGTATTTTATATGAATTCAATAGAATTAAGTATGTACACACTACAAATTAATTTTTATTTGTTTGTAGTTTGTGAGTATTTATTTAATGTGACAGAAGAATAAAATTGCTTTTCTAGTAATATTTTTCATTTTTATTTTTAGTAGACAGAAATTATTAATTTAGAAATAAATTAAAAATATTTTCTTATTTTTGATGGATTTATCAACTAATTCCTCAAAATTCCCCACACAATCTTTATTAGTCGAATCAACAACTGGAAATGAAACAAATTTAATTTCAAATAATAATCAGTCTACAGAAAACAAATTATGTTTAATTTGTGGGCAAATGAGTCATGGATTCCATTTTGGAATTTTGGCTTGCAGGTAATTATTGAATTAAATTTAAATTAAAAAAATAATTTTCATAGGGCCTGTGCTGCATTTTTTCGTCGAACTGTGGTTGAAAATAAAAATTATTTTTGTAGACAAAATGGTCAATGTCCGGTTAAAAAAGGTTTTTTTGGAAGGAGGATATTTGTTTTTAAAAAATATTTTAAAGAAATGAGGAATATGTGTAGAGCTTGTCGGTTTGAACGGTGTATTCGGTTGGGGATGAATAAGGAAGGTAATTTTTTGAGTCCTATCTGAAGGGAGGGGCGTAAATATATTTTTCCTGCTTCCTTACACTAGTCAATCTTCTACATATTTTTCCTTAATATGAAAAAAACGGTCAGTCTTCCTCCCTTAATTTTACTTAATTTCCGTGTGGCATATATTTATTTAAAATTAAAAAAATAAATATAGTACAACGAAAGGGAGTCCACTAACATCATTGTACTTCCCTTCAGATAGCCTTTTTTATTTTTGAAGTTAAATTGTTTACTTAACTTTTTTCTATAATAAGAATGTCCTTAACGGATAGGGATAGAATTCGAGTTTGTTCGATTATTTCTTTAAATTTTTAACTAAATATATATTTTTTAAAAAGATGTTCAAATGAATAGAGACCCAATTGGAAAAAGAAATGTAATTAATAAATCTTCGGTTAATAATGACGAAGAAGAAATAAATAATAATGACATTAAAACAGCATTTGGAAGAATAATTAAAGAGAACCCAATAATTTCCCCTTTAAATTCCGAACATTTATTAAAAAACAGCAATTCCCCTATTGGAATTAATGCAAGTAGTTTAAATAAAATTGCTTTACCCCAAAATATTTGGCCTATTCAAAATAATTTTGAAAATAAATTAATTGGAGGAGGAGAGGTTTTCTTTTGATTTTTTAAATTAAAAAAAAATATTTTTTTAAAGAATAATTCGGCATTTGCATTATTACCCTGTCCAGTTCCTTCAACTTCTTCAAATTCAATTCTTAAACGTTTAGTTGATGGATACAGAAATTTTCAGGCATCACAGAAATCGTTATATACAGTTATGTATCCAGATAGTATATTCTCTGGGGAACAGGTTTTCTTTTAATTTTTAAAAGAATTTAACTTCTTTTTTTTGTATGTAAACCGTTAAAAACTTGAAAAAAATTATTTTTTCTTCCTTTTTTTAATAATTATTTTTAAGGGAAAGTATTTTCAATATTTTCAGACAAATTTAAATATTTTTTTATTAAATATTCTAATTATTTTAGTATCGACTAGTAAAACATTCAGAATATGTTAAAATGGAAAGAGGTTGTATTTCATTAATGTATTCAATGGTACTTAATTTAATTTTAATTTAAACTTCTCTCTTTAAAGTTAACAGATTGTTTCCCAAATTTTAATTCTTTAAATCAAGAATTAAAAGTTGCTGCTTTACGTGTTTTCTCCAATCGTTTTACTCATTTGGATCAATGTTTTAGATCAATTTCTGTATTCCCAGAAAAGAATGATACGAGATTTGTACTTCATTATGGGCAATATGCTGATACAAATAAAATTGAATATTTTTTTGGGGATGAACAAGACCCGGCACAAACAGCTAAAATGTGTATTAAAACAATTCAAAGATGTATGCAAACAGTTGAAAAAATGAAAGAAATGGCTATTAGAGATGTGGAAGTTGCTGCTATAGCTGCTATTATTCTTTGGAATGAACGTAAGAAATTTTAAATAAAATTTGAAATTGTTTTGATTATTCCTTATTGAATAGAAAAATTAATTAGATTTGTTATGGAAGGAGGAATGAGATTTCCCGTGTTTTTAGATATTCCGTTTCTTATGTTATATTCTGGGACTCCAATTAATTGGTAACTAAAAATTTTTAGGAAGAAATAAAATAAAAAAACATTAAGGGGGAATGTAAATCAATTACTAAAAAACATCCAAAAGAACTCTTATCGACGAGATAAGCCCTTATTTTTGACCTCAACTAAATTTTTTGATATTCTAATCACAAAATTGGAAAATATTTTGAATTTTTAAAGTTGCTTATTTGGATGTTCAGGATTCAAATACAAGAGAAATAATTTATAGTGAATTACACAACAATTTAATATTAAATTATGGAATTGCGGCTACTGGAATACGTTTGGGTTTACTTATGGATTTAATCCATGATTTTAATGTAAAAAATATTTTTTTAATTTTTATTTAAAAAATATTTTTTAGCTTATTGAAAGAGAAATAAGGGAGAGTTGTATTATTAATAAATTTTTTAATCCTGATTTTGCCGAAGTTTGGGAAGATGCTTGATAAATAAAGAATTTAGAGAAAACCAAAGAATGGAGGAACTCGAAAAGATTTTTTTGAAAAAATGTTAAATGTTTCTAAACCGGTTAAAAATTTTTAAAATTTTTCTAATCTAAGACCTTTCCCTCTTCATATTTTCACCCTTCCCCCTCATAAACCAATTAAATTAAAATTTATTGCTTATATTAAAAACCGGTTAATTATTTAATTGTATTTATATATTTAATTAACGAAAACTAATTTGAATTAAATTTTTGTGATATTAATTGTAAATTCTATTTTGTTACACAAAAATAAAGATTAAAAAATGTCATGTTTGAGGATTGATAAAATTTTCATTTTTTATTTCTTTAATTGTTTGAGGTTCACCTGTAATATTAATTGATGGTGTATCCATGCTGAAACTTTCACCACAACCACAAGTACTTTTTATATTTGGATTGTGAAAAATAAATTCTGCAGCCAGTTTAGAACGTTCAAAATCCATTTCAGACCCTATTAGCGTTAATTGAGCTTTTGAATCAATCCAAATAACTACACCATCCTTAAATTACTTTAAAATGTATCGAAGACACAGTAAATCTAAACCTGCTCGACTTCTTCATCAAGCCTTCCTTTTTGGTCAGCATATTCTAAAGTATAAGTTAATCCACTACATCCTCTTTGTTGAACACCTATCTTTAATAAAAATTAAAAAAAATTTTTATTTCAAGTAAAATAACCTTCAACGCTTTAGCACCAGGTTTTTGTAGAATAAGTTCTTTTATTCTTGAAACGGCAGCTTGGGTAAGGCTGATAGCTTGACGACCTTTTGGGCTCCCAAGTCTGGAACCGCTTGACCTCACCACTCTGGCTGACCCAAAAAGTTTTTGACAGAAACGCATTTATTGTGAACAATATTAAGGAAAAATTATTTAGGCCTATTTTATTGATGTTATAGTTTAATTCAAACAATTTCTAAAAATAAGAACAAATGTACCGACAAAAATCAGTAATGTAACCAATATAATATACAAATATTGGAATTTTATTCATGGATTAAAATAAAGAATTGTTTCAATAATACTACAGAGATGATCCTTTAAATTGTTTAACTATATAAAAGAATGAGTTCATTTATTTAGAATTTGCATCAATTATATTCGTTCTTCTTTTACATCTTCTTTTTAATAAGCCAATCCAAGAGCTAAAATTTAATTTTCTTTTTAATTCAGAAAATTTTATATTTTACCTTCTTTTGTCTCTTCTGCAAAGAAGCGAACATCAAATTCCTGATCTTCGCCCATCTTTGTAACAAGTGGTTTGATCTCAGTATTTATTGTTCTAAAATATTAAAAAGAAAATATCAATTAATATGATAAGCTTACTGGGCATCAAGAACTTTTCCAATACGTGTTAGAGTTTTAGCAACATTAAAACGAACATTTGGGACAGAATCATTGCACAGCTAAAACGACAATTAAGTTTATACTCGAGAAATAAATACCGTTTTGATGGTAGGGAACATCTCATGTAATACGTGTTCTTTTCCCAGTGCTTCCGCCAAAGTGTTGAAACAAAAGAGACAAGTCATTCTATGTAAATAATTGCTGTCGGCTGCCAATTCAATTACACGGGGAAGAACAGACTTTACAGCCCAGTCGGCACCAAATTTCTCAGCAAGTTGCTTAAGAATGTTAGTAGCTGCTTCTCGAATAGCATAAACTAAAAAACAAAATCTTTAAAGAATAAAATAAAATCATACCGTGATCAGTAAGCCAGTTCATGCAAAGTTTTAACAGTTTTTCATCGAAAAATTTCTGTCCAAGTTGTTCAGCCAATAATGGCATATATTCAACAAGTGCAAGACGAACACGCCACTTACCGTCCTGGGCCAAATCAATTATAGCAGGCAGCAAAGAATATTGCAACTCATCCGCACCAATCACATTACTGACCTAAAAATAAATTTGTTGAGGGAAAATTAAAAATTAAAGCAAACCTTGTCTAATGAAGAAATAATGTTCAGACGAACTTCAGGTGTATCATCGCGCAACATTGCCAAAAAAATAGGAAGTAAATGTTCCACTGTACTTTGATTTCCAAGCAATGGTGCTAATCCCATTACAACGTGAGCCAGAGCAATTTTTACATGTTGATTTGCATCAGTAGTTAATGGTTTGATTACAGGGAGAATCTCATCAGTAATTCCTCTTTTACGACCATCCTCGGGTAATGCCGCACAAAATGCTAAAAACAAACTTTAAATCACAAATATTAAATCAATTAACATTGTAATTTTTCTGCCGCCGCATCTCGAACTTCTCCCTCACAGTCTTTAAGAAGACCAGTATACCAACCAATGATCTCCTCAATCGGAATTTTGTCTCCAAAAGCTTGCTGTATCTACTCAGTAATGAAATATTATTTACATTACAAAAAATCAATGAAATACCTCAACGATTTTAACAGCTGCCATATAGCGAACACGCCAGGATTTGTCTTGAACTAAATCTTTAACTATCGGCTTCACGTGGGCTAATTTAGTCGCATCATCACGTAACAAACCAACAATCACAATACCGGCTTCAACAGAAAGAAGACGCACGGAATCCTAAAGTATAAATTGAGGAATTAAAAAACCATCATTCACCTGCTCGTCCTTTGCCAAATCCTCAAAGATTTGCACAACATCGTTTTTCAGAAAATCACTTTCCTGCACCTTAGCAAATTCTCCCAACTTCGAAGCCGCAGCACGGCGGACCATTGGAGTATCATCACGGCATAAACTGCGAAACGCTCTTAAATAAATTAATGTTATACATAATAAAAACTAAAAATATAAAAACCCGCGTAATTCCGTCTTCCGTGCTGGATTAGCACGTCCATACGCTACACTAAATAATCCACAGGATGAAGTTCTAGAAGTAAACCAATCGCCTAAAAAATTTGATAAAAGAGTAAACTGAAGGAATACCTGAAGCAAGACGAAGTACCATCGGAATGAAATATTCTTCGAGCTGCGCTGCGGAGTGTTTTTCAGCAATTTTTTGCAACGATTCGACTGCCTTGTCACGAACGACAGTTTCTTCAATGTTTGCCAAATTTTCCAATGGAGGCAACAAACAATGAACGTACTCAGGTCCACCAACTAGCGGCGTAAAATTCCCTAATTGTTCGGCAAGAGCCAAAAGAACTTCATCTTCATCATAAATCGTGTCTGAAAAATTAACATTTCATGGCTAGAGTAACTTAATTACCAGTTAGAAACTGAATGAGTTCTTTACGTGTTCGTTCGACACCAAGTGCAAGAGCGATGGTCGAAAGCTTCCGGATTGAGTTTAGACGAAGCTAAAAATTCGAAATGTTTTTTTCTCAAAAATTTAATAAAAGTACTTGAACATCTTCATTTCGAAGCTCATCAATAAGAACAGCAATTGGATAAAGACTATCTTCACCTTCTTGGCCAGCAACCGTAGGTTGCACTATAGGAATAGTATTCATTTCTTCTCAACTAAAATTTCTAAAAAGAATGTTAAACCAAAACAAAGCAAAAATCTAAACCCAAAAAGCTAATTGTTTCTTTAACAACAAAAGGTTCAGCCCGATTAGGCGCGGGCCGATTAGGCGCGATCGATTAAGCGCCAAGCTTTTTAATTAAATTAGAGGTCGGCAAAATCGCACTTCCGGGATCCCGAGTCGGGATTTCTTTTCTTAACCGAGGCCGGGACGGGATCCCGAACTAACAACGTTTATCTACAATACTATACAATAAAGGTGAACAATAGGAATACGACTAACTGCTGGAGTACAAGACTAAGACTGACTGACACTCGGAATAGACTAACGACTAACTAACAGACTAACTGTAGACTAAACTCTGTAACTCCCAGACTGGCTAAAGCCTCAGCCTTTTATACTAAGCACATACCCAACACGGGTACGGCCCACCTTGTCGCGGGCCACCTTGTCGCGACCACCTTGTCGCGACCACCATGTCGCAGGCCACCTTGTCGCAAGCTTTCCTTTGATTTTTATTTTAAGGCTGACCTAAACTTTGCTCGGCACGTCCGTACTTCATCCGCGGCTACAACGATTGGAAATATGAGAAGGCTTAGAATTTTATTTTGTTTTTTAGGTTTTTTTTTAATTTTTTAGTTGATTTCCGTTAGTTCTGACTGGCGATTTTCATGTTCGCATTTCTGAAGGAACGAAGATGTTGAAATTAGGAGAACGTGGACAAAAAAACAAACCCAAACGACCCTGCTTAGGGTCACAAATTTAATTAGTGAAGCGCGACAATGGTTTTTTAAAAAATTTTTTGATAAAGTTTTTAAGTGTTTTTTTCGGCAATCCCGGAGAATCGTGGTCCCTGCGGAAAAAAATCTTAAAAATAAGAAAAAGGATTTTTCTAGGGTAAAAAAACATGCTGATTACGAATATGAGCTCAGATTTTGAAAAAGTCGTACCCGGACCCGAATATAGGTCCTACAAAATCGAAAAACCATAGGGGGGACCAAGCTGATTTTGGGTTGAAAAATTCGAATATGCAAATAATAGCTCATTCGAAAGAGCTCTTCAAGCTGAGTCGAATGACACCAAAATCATCGTGATTGAACAAGATAGGACGAAGTTATACCACAAAAAACAAACAACGTAAGCCTAAGTTTTTTTGTCATAACTTTGTCCAAACTTGAACAATCAAGCTGATTTTGGTGTCATTCGACTCAACTAGTCGAGCTCTTTCGAATGAGCTATTATTTGACCAATTTGCGCTTTGTGAAATTTTTTCCAAAATGTCGAATGTCAGAATTCGGGTTCGGGATTCGACTTTTTCAAAATCCGAGTTCAGATTCGTAATCAGCATAATTTTTTACCCTAGAAAAATCCTTTTTCTTATTTTTAAGATTTTTTTCCGCAGGGACCACGATTCTCCGGGATTGCCTTTTTTTCATTTTATTATTTTTCTCTTATCCGGGTAGATTCTGCCGGAGTTTTTGAAGGAGTAAAACCGATCCAAATTACTCCAGAAAACCCCGATCGTGCCCAGAGGCCTTTTCCTAACCTCCATGGCAGCATAAAAATTTTTCACCCCTTTGTGACAAGGTGGCCTGCGACAAGGTGGGCCTGCGACAAGGTGGCCTGCGACATGGTGGTCGCGACAAGGTGGTCGCGACAAGGTGGCCCGCGACAAGGAGGGCGTGTCCCACCCAACACCCATCCACTTTACCTCCGAGAATACCTCCAAATTTCTCAATTTCAGCGCCGCAGGCTTTTTATACATGTTTACAGACGAACATCAAATCGAGCAAAAGGTTAGAATTTAAAAGGTTAAAAAAGGCAAGCATTTAAAACACTAAAAAAAGGATTGGATTATCATTATAGTTTCCCCAATTTTCCTATCTCTAGCATACTTTCCAATAGACTTCGCCGTAACAAACTCCCCTATTAACCTACCACTTTCCTATCGAACAAAAGTATAACGATAACCCATCTTCCGCTTTAGTGTTTTAAACTCTTGCCAGTTCCAGATCCTATTCAATAAGTTAAATTAAGACCTATAAATCATTGTAATTTTATTTGTGTTGACAAATTTATTGAAATTTTATAAAATGTTTGTTATAAATTTGAAATTTAATTATGTTTAATGTTAGCAATCTATTATGCCAATAAAGGCAAAATCCATAATTATTTTTATTTTTTTTTTGTTTTTTTTCATTCTAAATTTTTTTTAATAGCTGGAAAAGCATAAAGTCAATATTTATAAATGACAAAGAGGCGACTTAAATCCCACTTTCCATCCGGTGTCAACAATTCATTGGGAAAGTCTTTACTTAACCAGGCTAGAACCAAATCATCTTTTAATGAAAAACAATCAACCTTGGTAAATTTTATTTTTTTTAATTTTTGAATACTTTTAAGCAGGATGCTGGAAAATTTGACTCGCGAACTCATGAATCGAGTGTTCAGGAAATTTTAACGAATTATGAACTAGCTAACAAAAATTTCGAAGCCGAAAGAAGTGACCTTAAAATTATCGGGTTTTAATTTCTCGAATAACTTTACCTTTCTTAAATTTTTAGTTCAAAAGGAGATACCACTCTTTTGGAAGGTTTGGAAGAACAAAATTTGGATGAGCTTCATGTAAAATATGGTCATTTGTTAAGTATACCGCGTAGGCCAAAACCTGATACCTATCAAACTGCAGAGGAGTTGGACTCTCTCGAGACGTCACAATTTCTCGATTGGAGACAAAAATTGGCTAAACTTTCCGAGGTTTACAAATAAATTAAAAATATTTTTAAAATTATATAGGGAAGTAAAATTGTTATAACTCCATTTGAACGAAATTTAGAAGTATGGCGTCAATTGTGGCGTGTAGTAGAACGGAGCGATGTTATTGTACAGGTTAAACATTAAATTAATTGAAAATAAATATTCTTTTTAAGATTGTTGATGCTCGAAATCCATTGCTCTTTAGAAGTATTGACCTAGAACATTTTGTAAAAGAAGTTGATCCATCGAAGAAGAATCTGTTGCTAATTAATAAGGCTGATTTACTCAGCTCTGAACAAATTATTTGCTGGAAAAAATATTTTGAGGAGAAGGGAATTTTTGCAGTATTTTGGTAAAACTCGAGCACAAATTGAAAATTTTACAAAATCTTATTAGGTCTAATAAACAAACTGTTGTTAAAAATGTTGAAAAAGTGAATGAATCGGAATATCGAAGTAAAGATTCAGAATCTAGTGAAAAGTTTGACGAGGGTGACGAAGAACTTGATGATGAGGAGAATATTGAAGAGTATGAAGATGAGAAGGAGGAAAAGTTGAATGAGTCTATCAAAAAGTGTGAAACATCGGTTACCGAGTTATCCTCGCAAATTGAATGTTCCGACAAAGATTTTGTTGAATCTCCATCAGTGAGTTTTTATAAATTTTAATGAGGACAATCTTACTTTCTTTTTCAAAAAAAAATTTTTTTTAATTTATATTCAAGGATCTTTTACAAATTTTTGAAACATTTGCTACAACAACTCCAAAAGATAATGGAATTGTTATTGGTATGGTAGGTTATCCTAATGTTGGCAAAAGTTCAACTATTAACCGTTTAATTGGTACAAAAAAGATAGCAGTCTCATCTACTCCTGGAAAAACAAAACATTTTCAAACGCTTGTGGCAAATGAAAGAGTTTGTAAAATTATAATTTTTAAATTAATTTAAAATAGATAACTTTGTGTGATTGTCCCGGACTTGTAATGCCATCTTTTGGATTAAGTAACAGTGAAATGATTTTAAATGGTAATTTTATTTTTTATGATTTACAACTTAAAAAGTCTTTTCAAGGAATATTACCAATTGCTCATATGCAAGATTATTATTCACCAATTTCTCTATTATGTAACAGAATTCCTCGTCACGTTCTACAAAGACATTATTCTATTTTGTTACCTAAAAAAGAACCGGTGCAAGCTCATGATTTTTTAACAGCTGTCGCTTTTCTAAAAGGATATATGAGTTCGTCAGGAATTCCTGTAAATTTTATTTTTTTTTAAATAAGACAATAAATTTCTTCAAAGGATTGTTCAAGATCTGCCAGACTAATTTTACGAGATGTTGTTCAAGGAGAGATTCGATGGTGCATTGCCCCACCAGGCATATCTCAAGAGCAATTTGATAATTGGACATATAAAAATTTTGTTAAAAATGTATAAAATTAATTTAATTTAAATATATTTTAATTTATAGACTGAAAATTCTAATGGGAAAGAGGTTGGCAAAAATTTACTTGAACAAATGCAAAGAAGAGACCTATTATTGGACACTTGTGGAAATGAAGAATTTAATAAAACATTAACTAAAACAAATCAAGTTGAGACACGTATTGAGAAAGAATTTTTTCCAAGAATGGAAGGTTTAATCTTTGTTTTTGAATTTGTAATAATAATTAGTTTTAGATATTAAAAGAGGTGTTGTGACGATGAGATTAAAAAATAGTACGGGAGAAAGCTTAATAGAAGAAGAAAAAAGAAGTAAAAAGCATTTTAATAAAAACAAACGGCAAAAGCTTAGACGTATTTTTGTTGCAACAAGTTATGTTTAAAATTTGTGATAAAAAATTGTTCGATATATTTTCCTAATTTTGTTTCTGAAATAAAAATTTTAGAGCACCGAAATAAATATTTCTTATTGTTAGCCAATTTTGTTCTCATCAGGGCCCGTAGAATAAATTCGGGGTTAGATAACCCGGTTAAATAACCCGGTTAAGCAACCCGGGGGCAAATAACCCTTAGCTACGGGTTAAAATCGGTAGAATAAATTCAACCCCGAGTTAAGGGTTATTTAACACAGAGCCAAGGGTTATTTAACTAGTTGAGTTACTGGGTTATTTGACCCTTTATATTTTATTGCCAAACCCATTTCGCAATAATTGTTTACTGGAATAAATCCAGTGTTGTCAAAGTTCCAGTTCCGGAACTAATTAGTTCCAATTCCAAAACTAGAACTACGGAACTAATGATTATCTGGAACCAGCTTGGAACAGGAACTATGGAACTAGTAAATGTCTGGAACTAGTTCTTGGGGGTAAATTTTTGACAAAATTTCCTTGACGAAGTTTACGGGATTTTCAATATTGTTGTAAATTACCTGAAGCGCGCTGAAAATAGAAGAAATCTGGCTGCTTAAGCTCAAAAATTCTAAAAATTTTCGCCTACGGCGCTGAAAAAGTGAATTTTTTGGCATACGGCCTTATTTCTACGTTTTGCATAAAAATTAAAATTTTAAAAATTTTGCACTTTAATAAATGTTTTAATTTTTCGGAAATTATGCATAAATCGCGTGTTACCCTGCCCCCTAGTAGGGTTGCAATTTGCCCCTTACCTGCGGGTTATTCAACCCGGGTAATTAATTTATTCTACCGGTAATGTTACGCGGGTCAGATAACCGGGTTATCTGACCCGGTCATTTAACCCGAAGCTAGGGGTTTGAATTTATTCTGCGGGTTACGGGTTATTTAACCCCAAGGTAGGGGTTAAATACCCCTTACCCCGAATTTATTCTACGGGCCCAGATTGGATATATTTTTTGAGTTCTGACTCAAATGCATCCAACAAAATTTTTATTCAAATTCGTCATTTCAGTCTCATGTATTATTTATTTTCTTACGATGTGCTGATAATGTTGACACGATTTATATTATTCCAGTTGCCGAGAGATCTTCTATCTTTTGGGGCTGTTGGTTGTGCAATGTTTACAAGAAAGCTGCAAAGTAGTAAAAAGATTCCATTGGGTTTGACTCCACTAGAAGACGTTAGTCAATTATCTCCCTTGGTTCTACGTATTCTTGGTTTGATCTTTAAACTTTTAAAAACCATTCGGTTACGAATTTTTTAATTCGGTTTATGAATAATTTTTCAATAACCTAAATGTGACGCGGACATAATTTCTATTTTCAGGGCAGAATCCGGGCGCTTTTACGCTTCAAGGCACAAATACTTATTTAGTTGGAAAAGGAGCAAAGTATTTTTAAAATTAAATTTTAAATAAAATACAACGAAAAATTTGTTCTATTCTTCAATCCTAACCTTCAAATTTAGGAAAATTCTTATTGATGCTGGAGAGCCAAATGTTAGTCAATATTTAAACAATTTAATTGATTCATTGAGTAAAAGTTCCAGCACTTTAGAAGCTATTGTAGTGACACATTGGCATGCTGATCACACTGGAGGTATTGGACAGATTCTTCGATACTTAAAGAAAGTATTTTTAATTTTCGCCATTTTTTGACTAAATTCTCATAACTTTTTAAGGACATACCAATCTACAAACTTCGTCGCACAGATGGGCAACCAGAATCAAATGAGTTTAATTTTACTTTTGTGGAGGATGGTCATGAACTTCAGGTTGAAGGGACAACTCTTCGGTAAATTTTCTAATTTTGAGATTGGGTTCTAAATTTTTCTGAAATGTATAACTAACTGATAAGATTTTGTCATGTTTTTTTAAAATTCTTTTCTTAATAAATATTTTGGCCTTTAATATTTTTTTACTTCAGTTTTCTTTCTACTCCTGGTCACACTTCCGATCACACAGCTCTTTGGTTAGAAGAAGAAGGAACATTATTTAGGTTTTTGTTGTTAAATATAATCTAAATGTAATAATTTAGTGGTGATTGTGTACTCGGGGAAGGCTCAGCTATTTTTGAAAATTTAGATGATTATATGAAAAGTCTTCGAAAGCTTTTGGATTTAGCACCGAAACGAATATATCCAGGTACAAATTGTCGATAAACCTTCAATCTTTCTAACACAATTTTTAGGTCATGGTCCTGTTGTGGAGGATCCAAAACAAAAAATTCTTGAATATATTGAAAACAGAAATAGACGAGAACAAGAAATTTTGAATGTAATTTCAAATGATGGACCTGCTACAACTATGCAGATAACTAATTCGATTTATACGGTTTAACAAAAATTGGTATTTAATTTATTATTATTTTTTAGAATATTCTTCCCTCTAGACGTTTAGGCGCTTTATTAAATGTTAGACACCATTTAGTTAAACTTTTGGCTGAAGGAAAAATTGAAGATGTTGGGCCATCAATTGGTGGATTGGGTTTTGGTCTTTACGTAATAGCAGACGAAAAAAGGAAGGACAAAAACAAATTGTGATACATAAAGAATTTACAAACGTTTATTTTCGGAACGCGCTAAAATTTATTTTTTTACATTAAAATATGTATTATATATGTACTGGTATTTTTATTATGGCCTTATCCTTTTTAGAAAAATTAATATTCTTCAGCCATATTCTTTTTTGAAAATTGAATAGTCCTCGGTCTTGTCCTGTAGTGTTTCTGTATATGTCGTGCATAAAAAATTATAAAAATAAAAATTTAATTCTACGAAATTTGTTATATTTAAAAAGACATTTTAATTATTTATATCTTTGTCTTTATGTATTTTAATTATTATATTTCAATCTAACAGTAAGTATTATAGATGTCTATTGAATCGGATAAGTATTCTTCCAATTTTTCCAATGGAATATCAAATAATTGCAATTCTGCCTCTCATCAATCAATTCAATATCCAGATGAGCCATCTGAAGGGATAAGAGCTTGCATACTTGGGCGTGAACGCATTTCTAAATTATTTTCATCTCCAGATTTTGCTAAAACTATTGTTGATTGTTTTGTTCGAGTTGTTGATCAAAGTAGTAATGGAGACATTAAAAAGTATAAGGTAAGGTATTTGATTTTTATTAATATATTGCAAGGATTTTAAAATTGGTTGTTGAGTTTTTGCCGGCAAAATTCAAAGACTGATTAATTTCTGATTATTCTGGAATTTTTGTATTTTCCGACTTTAATCAAAAAACTAAAATTTCGAAATTAATGAGTATAAATTTAATAAATACTATTTAAATTACATTTAGATTGCACGTGTTGTCTCTGTTTTGGATAATCTTGATCATGGATGTTATGGTGAAAATAAAGGGAAATTGCTACAATTAGATGATAAAACGGAAATTGATTTAGATGTAATTTCTGAAGATCAGGCAGAAGAGCTTGAAATTCAACAATGGTTAATGAGTTTGATAAGAAAGGTATTTTTTTAAATTAATTAAAATTAATGGTTTTTCCTTCCCATTGGCATTCAAACAAAGGAGTGTATTTTTTACAAACTATATTAACCAAAATTATTAACCAAAATTTTTTAGGCAAATAGAGAATTATAGGTATTAAGGAAATAAATTGACATGAGTGTACTGACATTTTTTGAAAATAATATTAGTATTTCACATTAATGACATTATTGTTATTCTTCGCATTCTCTTTATTCTGATTATATTCTTATTTCAGAATAAGCCAACACCTTCAATTGATCAACTTATAAATAAAATTACTGAAATTTCTTCTGCTCTTTCTTGGCCATTTTCTCCTGACGAAAGGTAAATATTAACTTTTGAATATTTTTTTGAAAATATTTACAGACAAACAGAGCCTGATTATCATTCCATAAATGAAGGAATTAATTTGGTTGAGAGTATTATTGAATCAGAAGTTACGGATGTTCAACATGTTTTAAGTGGTGTTGTTGAATCTGTAGAAAGTGAGGAAATTAATGAATACCTTATAGATCAAGAAATAACTGAAAATTTGGAAATTAGTGAAATGGCTGCAGAACAGGTATTTACATAGATTTTTGGATAATTCAGCTTTACTGAATGAAAAATATTTTATATTGATCGTTTATTAATTTTTAATTAATATGTTTGTAAAATTTCTTATTTTTTAAGATTTTTAATGAACCTGAAGAACCAGACATTATAATACATGAACCAGACATTGGAATTCTTGAACCAGACATTGAAATGAATATTGACAATATTCCTAGTGAATTCAATCAAATATTTGATAATAATGAAGGTGTTCAGCATTCCGACAATCAATCTAACCAGGTTCTCTGAATTCACAATTATTTTCTAATTTTTAAAATTAAAAGGCTTTTATTAATTCTGATACTTTAATTGGTGGATATCAAACTGAGGATGGAAGATTCAAAATTTGTATTGCTGATGATGATGGTATTATTGGAAGTGTTATGTCTCCTAATAAGCAAAGAGCGAAAGAAAAAAATCCTATTGAATATGTAGGTACATTTTTTAATATTTTTATTTATTTTTTTGCTAGATTGAATATTTGGATGATATTTTGCCAATTATTTTATCAAAAACATTTATTATACAAACTATGCACTCCGCTGAATTTAATCAGTTGGTTACTGATTGTTTTGTTTTTGTTAAATATGACAAAGATTCAAATGAAAATGAAGGAACGAGTAAAGAATCGACAAATAAAGAAGAATATAAAGTTGTTTAATTTAATAAAAATGATTTTTGAATTTTTTATTTTTTAAGCTGGCAAAAATTTGTAAAGTTGAGGATACTGAAATTGTTTATCGTTATGAAGATTTATTTTTCCAAAAAAGAATTTTATTGGATTCTAATGATGATCTCTTTGAATTGACTTTAAATAATGTTTTGGATCAACAGCCGACAAATGAAGAATTTAAAAAATGGGTTTTGGCTATAAGTACTAAAGCAAAGAAATCAATTAAGGTTAATGTAAGTAATATTTATTTTCTCTTCTAGCTTATTCCAATAATTGAAATAATTTTAGAAAATTGTACCAACTTTACAATTTGTTATATCAAAACATGTCAAAATTGATAGTTGCCGAACAAATTCTTTGCTAGAGAAAAATCTTAAACTTTATGAATTAGCCAATAAAGAAGCTTCTATTATTTACGAAAAACAAAATAAGGTAAATAAAAATATAAGTATTTGTCTATTAATTTTAAATATTTTTTTGAAGATAACTACATATAATGAATTACTTCAAATTTTCTTGAAGCGTTCAGAAATTCTTAAAATAGTTCGCCATCAAAGTTTTTCAAAAACAATTATTGGAACCTTTGTTAGATTTCTCTATAATTTACCTAATGTTACTAGAAGTGAACATTCTCAAGCTCAAGACAGTTTAAGATATAAGGTTTTTCTAAATTTGTTTTTTAATATATAAAATTTAAATAACTGTCGGATACATTTTGATGGCTCTTTACTAAATCTTGGAATAATATTTATGAAAAAACTTTATAAAATTGTATCCGCAAGACTGTTCTAGATTATTTGAAATTATTGTTTTTTAGATTGTGCAAATTGTCGGTGTTCATAAATGTGAATTTCCATATCCTGTTGGACGTTTTTCAGTCGATAAAGAACTTAAAATTGAATGGGATAGAGTTATTGTACATTGTAAAATTTCTTCAATTTCTGATACAATTCCAACGCAAAAAGAGTTTGATAATTGGATGACTGCTATTGAAAACAAACATGTAAATAAATTATTTTTTATTTAAATAATTTTACTTTTTAAGTCAGAATCAACAATTCCTTCTATTCATTTTCTTAAGTCAAAAAGTGTGGCAATTAAAAATGCTCTTGATTTAGAAAAAGAAGAACACATTAATGTACTTAAAACTCCGGAAACAAACAAAAATGTAATTAATTTATTTTTAATTTTTATTGTTAGATTAATATTTGAACACTTTAAAACCATATCAATTTTTAAATTTGTTTTTATTTTTTTAGACAAACTATTTTGAGATGTCAACATCAATTGTAGCCGAATCACATTCTCAAACAAAAAACACTGTACAGGTTTATTTTCTTTAAAATTGTAGATATTTATCATTAATTTAGACACCCGAACCGATTACAACTAAATCAAATATTTCCTCTTCAACACCAACTTTTGCCCGTCCTTCTGTTTCGACACCAGCAATTGCTACAGACATTCCAACAACAAGTTCTGGACACAAACTTAAAGGATTTGGAATTTTTAAGCATTTAAGAAATGGTTTAAGTGAAGGTCCACAATTAAGGAAGAAGGAAACGCCGGCATTGAAAGCTCTTCCTCTTTTAAGAAAAACTGCAAAGAAAGCACAGCCAAAAATGCAAGCTCCAGTCAGAAATTTCTATAATCAATTAACGCAAAAAGATAAAGAAATTCTGCTTAAAAATGGATTTAAAGGGGTAAAATAAAAGAGAAAATATTTTTTAATTAATTTAATTTTTAGGCTGTAAATGTTCGGATTAACAAGAGAGAATTTGATAAATCAATGGAATTTGCCAATTGTTTTGAATTTACAAGGAAGAATAAAAATGTGGATAGTAAATTATTGTCAAATACTTTGGAGAGATTACAAACGTAAATATTCTTAAAAATAAAAAAAATTTTTTTTTGTTTAATTTTAGCCCAGCAAACAGAAAAAGACCTCGTTCACCACCAATTTCATCTAATGATAATTTGAGTAGTTCGACGGAAGCTTCTATTGGTGCATGCGCAAATATTAGTGTTGGGGAACCAATTTCAATTAGCAAAAATGTTGGAGGTGAGGGAAAGGGTAATTAATAATATGTAAATATTAATAATTCTTTTTAATTTAGTTTTGCAAAATGAAAATCCTCCCTCTGAAATTCAACAGCCACAACAAAAAATTAAAAAGCAAGATTCTCTCACTACATTGCCTGCTCAAATTAATAAATTAAAAGTGGAAATTATTGAAGTTGATGAAGTGAATAAATGAATTATTTTTAGGACTTAAAAGATTATTGACATCCATCAAAATTTGTTTACCTTTGTTTTGATCTGATTTTAATAGAGTTTGGAAACAAAATAATTTTGTGAATTTTTGGTAAAATTGTTGTTTATGGCCCTTTTTCCTCCCTAACTTTTTTCCTGAATGGATATTAGAATGGTCATTTTCCTTTCTTCTCAATACCCCTTTTGTACTTTGCCACGAGCAGCCAAAAAGGATTAATTTTTATTTTGTTTTGGAAGTTGGCCAATTAATAGAAAAAAATCTTCGGTGGAAAAAAGGTGGCCGTAAATGACAATTTTACGAATTTTTGACTGAAAATAATTTTTTAATCCCCTTTTTACAAATGCTAAATTATTCCAAGCTCTATTTACATTCAAATTTATTTTACTATTACTACTTTATTTCCCAATGAAAATTACCTTGACACAAAAATATACTATACCTAATAATATTTTTTCATTATAAGATACACCTCAATTTAAAATATTTTTTTCTAATTTGCTTGGCCAGTTTGGAGTACCTTTACCGCCCCATCATGATTCATTTCATCTTTAAGGATGTATCTTGTAGTGACCCGGTATTTATTTACAAAAATATATTTATTTTCACTTTGTTTTTTGGTTATTCTTGATAAATTTTAAAAATATATTTTCGAAAATTTCTTTATTATACAAACTGCTCCGAATAACAAATCGACCGCCGGAAGTTGAAATATTTATTTGAACAAGTTAGAAATAAAATTTTCGATTTGTCGGGGTAATCATTTTTGGGAGGGAGATTAATGCAAGTTTTATGTTAATTAGATATTTATGGCCTTAAAATTAATTAGGTATCCTGAAGATGTCTAGGAACAACCGGTAAAAATATTTACAAATCTAAATTATTCATTTCTGTTAATAATATTTCTTATTTTCATCTTTCTCCTATTTTTTCAATCTGTCACTGTTTAATTCTAAAATTGCCCTTTTGTGTTCATGTCTCATCTTTTAGTCCTTAAAATTTGCTTTTCCTTAGAGTTTCCACAAAATTAACTTATTTTTGGTTTTATAGTAGTAAACCATTCTTAAAATAAATCTTTTTATCCCCAGTTTAACTTTTGCTTTTCAAGTTTTAATTTAAAAGAATAAAGTGATGCAATATTTAAAATGCAACTTGTATATTTAAAAATAAAATATATTTTACTTTGATTTCTGATTTTTCCTTATCTTTAATATTATTTTGTAAATAAAAAAATAAATGACAAATTTTGGGGGCAAAGAGTTTAATGCCAGTTTATTAGTAAATATTCTCCCCATTTTTTTAATTGTCTTGTGCTTTTTGACACACCCAAACAGAGTTTAGAAAGACTTTCCATGTCTGTTTTATGCACTCAAGACTGACCAAAAAATATTTAAATGTTAAAAATAAATAAAATAATCAGTTAATATATGTTTATTATCTTTTATTTTTATTTTAAAAATATTTTTTTTAATTTAAAATGTTCTGTTGGGAATGTTTAAAGTTAATTTAAATTTTATAAATTTTAGGATTATTTATAACAAAAATAGAAAATTGTTAAATAAAAAACCAAATTATCAAAATACCAAATTATTTTTTAAAATATTTTTAATTAAATCTTGATAAATTTAAATCGAGAATATATATTTTGTTAGCTATTTTTTACAAAAATTTTAGAATTTTTAATCAAATTTTCAGAATTTTTGAGCAATTTTAATTTTTATATTTTGTACATGTACATACTAGGGTTGGACACAACCGGTTATTAACCGGTACCCACGGTTTTTGGTTTTGAATTTTAGAGAAATACCAGTTTTATTTGGGGGAATTTTTAATAAAATCACACATTTTCACAAATTTCCGGTTTTTAAAATTTTCTAAAAACGGTTAATTTTTGACGAAAAATTTCAAAGGTTTTAAGACCTACCTTGTCCAACCCTAGTACATAAATAATAACTTCCTAAAATATTTAATTGAAATTATATATTTTTTAATAATTTAAAGTTAAATAAAAATGCCAGCATTCACAGATGAACGTCCAACTTTTGACAATTCTTTTAATAAAAATAAAATTTCTCCAAATAATATTAAATTACCAGAAATTAATTTTATTTATTTAAAAGAAGAAGAAGAAAAAGAAACTAAATCTTCTAGTCTTCCTTCATTAAATAAAAAATTAAAAACAGATTGGAAATCTATTTATATAAGTACTTTAGTTACTTTTTGTAGATAAATTAAACTATAGACTATAGATAAATTAAATATTTTTTTATTTACCTCGGATAACCCCACCCTCGGATAATTTCCCACTCTTGATAAATTCCCCATGCCAGAGATGGGTTACAACAATAAATACCCTAAAGCACCCACAAATACCCTAAAGCACGTTCAAAGTCAAAACTCGAATAATTCCCCATGCCAGGGATGGGTTGAAATAAATATTAATTCCACGGGTGAATTAATCGAGAAAATAGATAAATAAATAAATAATTTAAAAAAATAATTTTCAATAAATATTTTTTAAAGTTAGATCCACAAATAACTGAAATATTTTTTGGATTTGTTGTTGGCGGTTATTCTTTAGTTCAAATGGTATTAACTCCTTTAGTTGGAATTTGGGCAGAAAAAATTGAACAAATTAAATTGCCTTTGTTAATTACTAATTTTTTTATGCTGGTTAATTAATTAATTAATTAATTTTAAATATTAAAATTAATAGTTTGGAAATATTATTTATTTTTTCGTTGAAGTATTTCCAAATAATTGGATTAAAACTATATTTATTATTGCACGTTTAGTGTCTGGAATTGGTCTAGGTATTTAAATATATTTAAATAAAAAAATATTTTTTTTTAATTTTTAAAGCTCAAAATAGTCTTTTAATTTCTTATGCAGCTTCAGCAAGTTTAGATAAAGTAAATAAATTAATTAATTTCTAATAAAATTAATAACAAAATATAAATGTGGTTATAATCTTTAAAATTATTTTAAAATACTAGCTATAAAGTATGTCATGGGTCCAGAACTTGAATCTAAAGATCGGACCGTGACGCGATCTCGATCAAAAATTCGTTTTCGTTGCGATAATTCTGCTCTAACATCTCTGAGAATCGAGATTTTTTCGAGATTTCGGTTCTCGTACGACACAACAAGTCCGGTCTATACTTGAATCCCGATCCAAAGAAAATTTTGAAAAATCGACAGGAAATCCTCTTCTACTTACCTTCAATTTAACATCAAAATTTCAATTTTTATATTTAAAGGACAGATCAACAGCTACAGCCTTTATTACTGGCGGTATAGCTTTTGGTGTTACAATGGGACCAAGTAAAAAATAAAAAAAAAATTTTTAAAAATAATTTAATTAATTTAACAGCATTCCAATATTTATTTACTTTTCTCGATCCTGGCTTATTTTTATTTAACAATTTATATTTAAATTTATTTACTGCCCCTGCTTTATTTGCAATAATTATGAATTTAATTTTACATTTTATTTTACAATTTTATTTTCATGAAAGTTATGTTGGGGTTTTAATACATAAAAGAAATAATAAAAAAGATTTAAATGTGAGGAAATTAAAAAAATTATTTACATTTTAAAAATTTAAAATAAGGGAGAGAAAAAGAATACTTCTAAAATCCTAGCAAAATACTCAGTATTTTAAATATGTTAGCCTAGGAAATTTATTGATATTTGATAATATTAATAAATTTTATTAACAAAAAATACTGGACGAATATAGGAAGGAATTGAGCATTTGAAATAATGTGTTACTGAATTTATTAAATTAATACTCGTTCTTAATAGGATTATGAACAAATCACACAAGATATGTACAAAATTATATTAATTTAAGAAAATCTTTTATTTCTCTAAACATTTTAACCGAAAAATAATTTAAAATAAATTTAAAGGGCATTCCAAATCAAATAAACAAAGAACTACCTCCATATGATCGTCTAGCTTTTGCTGTTTGTTGTGCAATGAGATTTACTCAATATTTGGTTTTTACAAATTTAGAAACGTAAAAAAATCAAAAGAAAATTTATTTAAAAAATCCAAAAAAATTTAAAGAATTGGAATTTCATTTTCAATGGCAATGTTTGTATGGTCAACTAAACAAGTAGTTAATTATGAATCAATTGCCCACACGGCGCGTGGAGCTTTAACTTTATTTATTTATATTTTTTATATTATTTTTAATTTAGGAAAAAGGTTTTTTTATTTTTAATTCCAATTAAAAATTAAAATTTAAAGATTAAATGAAAGAATTGTTTGTTTATTTTCTTTATTTCTTTTAATATTTTTTCATTTAATTACTTATTCTTGGCCTTTTTACAAAGATAATGTTGTTACCTTTAGTTGGTTATTTTAATTTTATTAAATATAAATTAGGGTTGGGGGCCCGGTCCGAAAGATCCTGTTGGGCATCAAATTGTGGCCAGAAAAAGACCGGGCCGGCCCGATAAAAATGAAGCCCGAAAAAATGACTTGAACGTCGGCTCGACTCGAATTTTAAAGATTAATGAAAATTAATAAAAATCTTTAATTTTTTAACCCCAACACAAAATATAAATCTAATTTTTGGATTTTTTTTTAAATTTTACAATAAATTATTAAATTTGTTTTTAAAAATTTATTTTTTTATTCTGCCAAAATTATATTTAAAATAAAATTTAAAAATAAATTAGTCCTTTTTTTAAATTTAATTTTTAGATTCAACAAATTTAACAGAAGAAGGATTAGGTTGTGATATAATTAATGAATATTGGTGTAAAGATTTAAAACAAATAAATGTTTGGGTTTACTATATTTCTGTATGTTTTTTAAGTAATTAAATGTTTAATTAAAAATTAAAAGATTTGTTTATGTATGGGAATTGCTTTTCCAAATATAAATGTAACAATGAATACTTTATTTTCGAGAATGATTGGACCGAGAATGCAGTCAAGAGAGCAGGGAATTCTTGAATTGTTTGGAGGCTTGGGGAGAATGTTGGGGCCGACATTAATTGGGTAATCAAAGAGAAGGGGAAGGGGGGGGGGGAATATTTTTGTTCTAGAAAAATTTAAATTAAAAATTAGGAAGTACATATTTAAATTAAAAAAATTTTTTTGATTCAAATAAATATTCCTTTATTTAATCAAGTATTAATCTTTAATTAATTTTTTAATTAAAAAGGTTACTTTACCACAATTACGGCCCTAGACCTGTTTGGATTTTAGAAGGAACTGAAATTTTATTGATGGCATTATTTTGGATATTTTTTTGGAAAAGACTTGTTCCATTGAAAATTCCAGAAGAATTTAATGAAAATAAAAATAATTGTTGAAAATTATTGTTTAAATTAAATTAAAATTTTTGTATTTATTTGTCTAAAAAATATATTATTTAAATAAATTAATCAATTAATTAATTTTTTTATTTAAAATAAATCATTCAACCAACATCTTTAATTTCTTTCCTTATCTTTACTCATTTAAAACAGTTGTTGTTTAATTTAATTGAGGATATGTTCATATAATTAATTCCTTCTTTACTTTTAATTTTAAGTTTAATTAAATTTTTATTTTATTGTTAAAGTCTTAAAACATTTTATAAAATTAAATTTTCTAAAAATATTTTTAATTTAAAATAACTTCCCTTTTTTATAAAATATTTTTTTTAATTTTTATCTAATTACTAATTTTTCTTCAGATCTAATCCATTGTATAACCAAATACATACTTCTTTAAGTCTGTTAATTTTCGAGGGACGGTTAATACTAGTGGCCGGCAAAATTGATTTTTCCGGACTAGGATTCCGGGTTTTTAACTTGAGCCGGACCGGATCCGGTCGGATTTTTCAGGATTAATCCGGTCCGGTGCCGGTCACTAGTTAATACATATCAGACGACATCTTATCTTCGACTATGAAATAATTTTTTATCGTCTTTTACTAATATAAAATAAATTATTTTTCTAAGCTATTTGGGATTATAATTAAAAATTTATTTTCAAAAGAAAAATGGAATCTAAAATTAAAACAATTTTAACATTAATTACTTTATTCGCTTTAATTGCAAATATTTATGGACAAGGTGTTTGTGTTCATCAAGGAAAGGAATATAGAAATGGAGAGGAATGGGTAGGGGGGGGGATTTATTTTTGAATTTAAATTTAATTAAAGACTTATCGTTCATTTATTATGCGTTGTGATGTCCACCATAATTATTGGCAAACAAAGGTATTCAAATAATTAGAAGAATAATATGTATAAGCTAGCCTCCTTAGAGGACCCCATCTCTAATATAAGCCTACTCAAAGTGCTCTATTTAAAAATATAAGCCCAGGGCAAAGTATTTACGGTATACTTAAATTTCGAATTCGAAACTTCCCCTTTATTAGCAATTTTAAAGATTAAATAAATTAATTTAAAGGTAGTTGCTTGTGTCTCATTAATGGGAGATAGAATTCCGGTTGGTGGACAAAAATCTGATAGACATGGTCTTTGGAAATGTATACAAGATCCATCTGGAAATACTCGTTTGGTGCAGGAATGAAAAATAAAAATAATTAAAGGGAAATTAAATAAAAACTCGAATATATTAATTAATTTTTAAAAGAATAAATTTTTGGGAAATAAATAAATGAATATTTTTTGATAGAAAAATTAAAAAAATTTATTTTTATAAAAAATGTTTAGGTAAATTGTAAAAATTTAAGAGTTGAGAAATGTAATATAGATAAAATGTCTAATAATTTGTTGAAATGAAAAGTTTTATAAGAGAGAACAGGCAACCGGATCCCTTCCTAAAAATTCTGTACCTACACATAAAATAATATGTATGTGTATAAATTTTCATTAAATTATATTTAAATATGCCTAATTATATTTAAATATATTTTACTGTATAAGTATAAAATTAAAAATAGGTATAATTATTTTAAAATATCTTTTTACTTTATCCTTTCGCCCCTTGAGCGTTGTCTTCGATTTTTAAACCAATTTGATATCTTAAACTAATTTTTAATTATTTTAATTTTATTTTTACCTGTGTATTTGTTAAACCCGTTTTCCTTATAAGTTCGCGTTTTTCTTCAGAATTTGGATATCTATTTTGATTGTAATATTCTTTAAGTAACTTAAATTTAAAAAATATATTTATTTTAAGTAAACATTTGTTTTTCGATATTTTTTTAAAGAGAGTTGTGGGGGGGGAGGTACAGGAATATAGAAACATTTTCAAAGAATTATTTCTGTAAATTGGAAATGGGGAATTTTTAACAACTATCTTTTGTATTCTCATTTAAATTAATTTAATTTTAACAAGAAAATCATTGACCTTTTAACATAAGGTATGATTTTATTTTAAAGGAATAGTTAATTATTTAATTATTTATTTACCTCTCTAGCACTTTTTCTGAATGAATAAATTAATTCATCTCCATCCCAAATACTTCTAGGCGGAGGATTCTTCTTTCTAATTCTATATTTATCTACAGGAACTAATTCTTTTAATTTTTTATTTCTATCTTCTTCATATTTAGCATCATACCTTTTTTAAAAAAATTTAATTTAAAATATTAGGGTTTACATACTAGCCATTTTTAAAAATACATATTTAGGAATGTATAAGGAAAATCCAAGTTCAATAAATAGCTACACCTTATTTTAATTTAATTTAACTTTAACTTATTTAATTTAATCTCTAATACAAAAAAAAAAGATTAATTTGTAAGTACACCGTGAAAAATTTTTTACAAATATTTAGAAGTACCCTATAAAATTACAATTTAAAAATCTAATTCTCATAGAGTTTCTTATAATATCACAATTGTTTTTCCACTTCAAAAATTCCAAAAAATTTCGTCGCTGGCATAATTTTGACAATTTTTGGGGTAAATTTAATTTTTTATCCAAAAAGTCTATTTAAAGTACCTACTTACAACTACATATTTACATCTTCAATTTCGTAAGAATCGCAGCCCTATTTTAACTTATTCACCTTAATTAATTTAAATATTTAAACAAACAAACCAAAGTTCAATAAGGTCTGAATGGTGAGAAGGCTCAAATTTACTTTCACCTATTACTTTAAAAAATGCCTCAAATTGTCTGTTATGGAATAAAACAAATAAATAAGCTTTCAAAACTGTTGAGGATTTAATATATGGAGTGGATAATAAATGGGGATTTGTTGAAAATAACTTTAAATTTAAAAAATAAATAAATATAAATTCTTTTTAAAAACTTTAACTAAACGTTCTCCTTCATCCCATTGAAATAAACATTGACAAACAAAATTAATCTAAAAATTTAATAAAAGGTTTAAAATTCCCGTATTTTCCGTATCATTTTAAAATCCCTAATTTATTTTTTTTTCATTTTTTCAATAAAAAGTTCAGTGATTTTTGCCAAAATTAAATCATTTTAAATGTAATAAATATAATCATAAAAAAATAAATGCAACGAGATCTCGAAACTAATATTAGTGATTGAGAACATAATTATTGTATTATAGTACTTTTTTTTAAAAAATAACCTGTTCTTGACTGAATCCTTCACACGACCAACTATTAACATTTGGTTTCCAATTTGTACTTTCCATTTATTAAACATTAAATATTTTATAGACAAATATTTTGCGTAAATAAATATTTTAAATAAATTAGTTTATAATTCGGAAGTAAATGAATGGATCTAAACTTATGTAAAATTGGAGGATATTTAAATAATTATTGTTTAATACAGGCTTGGTAATGGATAGGATACAGATAAGTTTAAAACGCCTGCGGAAATCCGACTGTATCCGCCGTAAATATCGGATACGGATACAAAACTCTATGTCATCATCAAGTCTGGTTTAATATTCAAAAAATAAATTTATTACATAATCTAAATTTTCTAAAATATTTTTATAAAAAATAAAAAGGTATTGCCGTTATAGAACCCTTTTTTTCAACTTAAAAATTCATTGAAGCTGAAAATCCATTTCCTTTAATAAATTTTTAGTCCCTCCCATTTTTCCCTAACATTACTGTAAAAATGCTAAATTATTCCTAACAATTTTCTTCTTTTTTTTTTCCTTCCAAATCCTTCCAATTCATGTTTTTTCTTCTCTTTCTAATTGGCTTTTTTCCTTCATTTTATTTAAATGCTTTTCTTGACTTTTCTTTACAAAACCTCTTATTATTAGTTGGCGGGATTGAAGAATGGAAGAGAGAGAAATGATGAGAATTAAAAAAAAAGAAGAAGAAAGGAGAATATCTACATACCATTATTGGAATCAAATTTCTTTAACGGAAATTTCAGGAAAATAATTTAACAAATATACATAAATTTTAATATGTAAATTAATTTAAAAATTAGATGAACTAAATTGAGAATATTTTTTTTAATTTTATTTTTGATACATAATTATAATTAATTTAAAAATATCGAATTCAGCAATAGCTCGAAGAATTTGTTTAAAAAAATCTTGGATGTTTTGTTTAACTAAGGATTATTATTTTATTATTTTTTTTAGTTTAGAAAAGGAGATTTTTTGTATTTTTAAATAATTAATTAAAAATATATTTAAAAATAATTTATGTATATCAGAATATTTAACAAATATATACTAAACAATAAAATGCCATAAAAATGTTCGGGCAATTATGCAACAACACCTGCAATTTTTAAAAATTTTTCCTTTCTTTTAATTCTTTAAATCCAAAAATGGGGACAACAGAAAATGGAAGGAAGACAAATGCCATGAAAACTAATAATAAATTGTCAGATTATAAACTAAGAAGAGGAGGAGGAGGAAGAGGAAGGATATTTAGATTTTCTATTGTTTGTGTGCTAATTTGTTGTTTTACTAAAAATACATATATAGATGATAAGTAAGTAGTAGGTAAATAAAGTAATTTGTTTATATGCTGGAATGAAAACGAAACAATTAAATACATATTAGAGGAGATTATATCAGAAATAGAACCAAAGTCATAAATTCTGAGCCATAAATTCCGAAATATTTTCAAAATTTACCGAAGAAATCATCACTATATGTAAATTCACTGATTTGTTTTACCAAAAATTTTTTTAGATAAAATAAATTTAATCTTGGACCATTTTTGAAAGGAAAACAAAAAACATTCAAAAACAACTATGACAATTAGCAAAAAATTCTCTTTATTAGTGTCCACGCCGAAAATTTTTCATAATTTCCTCAAAAAATTTTTACAAAAAGAAATTTTATATAATTATTTTTAAAAATAAAGTTAATATTTTGCTCATGAAAAACTTAAAAAAATATTTATATTTTGTTTACTTAAGCGGTTCTTTTAGTTAAAGGAACTGAAAAATTTATTTGGCCTCCATATCCCCCCCCCCTTCCACCTTATTTTGCTTTGGAAAAAATTTTTGTAGAATGTCCAAAGCAATTTTCTTGCTTTTTTAATTTGAATAAAAATTCCCTTTTTGTCGGTATAAAAAAGGATTAACTCTTTGCTGGATAAGCAAAGCACAACAGGTAAAGAGATTTTTTAGTTTTGCCACTTAAAAAATATTTTTTTGATTGGCGTTTTATATAAATATTTAAAGGAAATAAAAAAATAATAATTAATATTCCATTAAAATAATAAATAAAAAATTATTGAAAAATCTGTGCTTAATTCTATAAAAATAAAAATGTTTGCAACGGCCGGGAATCGAACCCGGGCCGCCCGCGTGGCAGGCGAGCATTCTACCACTGAACCACCGTTGCTACATCATTGGATATTTACTTAACATTTAAAAGCATTCAAGTTAAAATAAAAACCAGTTTCTCAGAGAATTGCTCAAAGCGCAATAATCCCTTGGATGATTTAAAAAATAACTAATGTCTATTGTGAAGCAAGAAAAATTAAAAATGACTAAAAAATGTAACCAGAAAAATAAAAAATATGTAAAAAAATTTTCCAATATAATTTTCTGAAATTCAAAAATTATTTCAGTTAATTTAACAACTTCAACGGCAAAACTATACAAATTTTTAAAAAACTTAAAGATACATAGATTAAAATTTTATTTTTTAAAAGAAAAAAATTATTTCATAATTAAAATGAATTTCCGATAATGTTCATGAATCGAAATGCGGATTAAAGTTATCGACCAACGGCGCCGATAGGTTGTCGGCGCCGAAATGTTCATAAAAAGCCTAAACCTATTGAAGCCTAAACCTTTTGGATTAAAAAGACTATTCGGCGCCAATAACTTTGGCGCCGAAGTTATTTCTTTAACTAAAACTTTTAAAATTAACAAACTTTATTAATAAATTTTACATCATTCGCAAGCTAACGATATAAGGATTTTTCTTTAATGGACACCAAATTTTAGCAAAGAAAAATTTGAGAACAAAAATATCGGCGCCAGATAGTCGGCGCCGAGTTGTCTTCGACCGTCTTCCCTACAAAACCTAAACCTTTTGACTTCAAGTTTTAGCTACAGTACGGTGCATATGTTTACGGACAAAGGCTTTAAAAAATTTAAACCCAATTTATTCGAAAAATTGAATTACTTATCGAAATGTATAAAGTAATTTTTATAGCATTTTTTATGCTCTATCTATCGATACAAGTATCGGCTGAAACATATTCGTTTATTTCCAAAAAATTACCCAAATAAATTTATAACCTTAATTTTTGTGGTGCAAATGTTTACGGACAAATCAAATAAACCTAAATAATTTCAGAATAGTATGCCAAAAAAATTTATCGCTACTCCGTAGACATTTTCATTGATATTGAGTAGAAAATAAAAAAGAACGGAGTCTGTAACTTCTTTCTTCGTTGAGATCTCGAATCTCAAAAATCAACGGAAATTTGGGGTACAGTACTTCAAAAAATATTTTTACCCCCTAGAGCTTAAATTAAAAATTTTCTTTTGGGTCCATTAAAAAGCCCATAAAATTTGCTACAAAATTGTCCAAGTTTTTATTTTTCCAATAAAAACTCATGGAGCTGAAGGAAGCGAAATTTTTTATGTTATCATTTTTGGGGTATTTTATGTGATTTTTAACCATTTTTATGAGAAAGTCGATGTGCGTCGAACAACTATTTTTTAGAATAAACGAGACCATGACTATTTTGTAGTAAATTTTATGGGCTTTAAGATAGGCCTAAAAGAAAATTTTTAATTTAAGCTCTAGGGGGTTAAAATATTTTTTGAATTACTGTACCCCCATTTCCCGTTGATTTTTAAGATTCGAGATTTCGATGATGAAGTAAGTTAAAGACTTCGTTCTTTTTACTTTTCTATTCAGTATCTATGGAAATGTCCACAGAAATTTTTGTAGAATTTTTGCACCAACTAAAGTAGAAAAATTCAAAGTTATTTAATCTGTCCGTAAACATATGCACCACTAAAATTTAAGTTATAAAATTAATTTGAATAATTTTTTGTAAATCATAAATGAATTTGATCCAATTGATGTTTCATTAGATAGTGCATAAGAAATACTATCTAAATTATATAATCGGGTTTCATTATAAATTCATTTTTTTCAAATTAAATTAGATTAAATGTTTTCAATGCCTTTGTCCGTAAACATATGCACCGTACTGTAAAAACTTGAATCCAAAAGGTATAGGTTTTGTAGGGGAATTGAAATAGACAATTCGGCGCAGAATTATTTGGCGTTAAGAATTTTTTCTTATGAAATCACAGAACGCCTTCCGATCAATCTGACAAACACTTTGTCTACTGAAACACTTTCTGACTAAAATACCTTCTTAATAAAAAATTATTTTATTCATTAAATTGCCATAATCTTCTACAAATATAAATTATTGTGAAAACCCAACTAAGTAGAAAGCTCTTACATCCTTTACTAGTAGTTTTTTTTAAAAATGGGATCCCATGCAGGATTTTGCCTAGGAAGTTACTCCAAAAATAAGTCTGGCTCCTCATATTCTCTATATTCTTTCTAATAGAAAAATAAATGTTATCAACTATAAATATTTTGTACTTAACATTATTTTTGCCCCCCCCCCCCTCCCCCTCCATCCCCTTCATTATTTGTTGAGCCAAAGTTTTTTTGTTAGTGACTAAATATTTTATTTTAATCTATTGATTGTATACATAAAATACATAGACACACAAACTGTGTTCACATAAAAAATAAATAAATTTAGTTTTTTTTAAATAACTTGTCTACCACTTTAAAATTTTAAAATCTTCCGTTTTGAAAAAAGACTTAGTAAAATCGCAACACAAAAATATTAATTATTAATTTATTAACCTTCAATTTTAATAATTTTAATATCTGAAATTTAAACATTATCTACACAAAATTTAAAATATTTTTTTATATAGAATTGGTGATCAAATAAATCGAATACCCCCCCCCCCATTTTTTATTTTCTTTGTAAGAATAAAAAAAAGATTTTTATCGAAATTTTCTTCCAATATTTTTTTAGAATTTTATTTAAAATAAAAACATTTAGTGAATACCTAGTTAAAGTTATTTGTTTTTTTTCTCATTTTGGTATATCCTCCTCCTCCTATAACTGTTATGCTCTGATATGTATTAGTTAAAAGCTTTTGTGCAAAATTTTAAAAATTTAAAGGGGGAATAATAATTATTAAATATTATTTTAATTAAAGGATTGCTACATAATTAATTTCTTATTTAATTTTTAATTTGTCATAATTACAATGAATTCGACTTTTAAAGTAAGTTATTATTTTACCTCAACAAATTATATATAAAATAACAATTATACTAGACTTCTTTATTTACTGTAAACCTTAGACTAGCCAACAATAAGGCTCAAAATAAACGCCAATTTATTCCTCCAGATTTTTCAATTTTTAAATTAAAGGTAGGCATAATTGGAGGCACAGGATTTATAAAAGATTCTGATATTATGACAGAAACCAAAGAAATAAATATTGCTACTACACCTTTTGGAAATCCTTCTGATATATTGCTTGAAGGAAATATTAATGGTGTTTCTTGTGTTATTCTCTCGCGGTGATTTTTTGGAGATAATTAAAAGTATTGAGAATAGGGATATATTTTAAATGACTGACAGGAACCATCACTGACAGTAACCACCAACTCAAGGTCCCGTTTAATTCCATGACGGAAAAACGAATAAAAAACGAACCCCGTTTACTTCCGTTCTATATTTAAAACAAAAATAAAAATATTTTCATCTTATTACTTTTAAATTACATATATGTAAGTATTAGTATAGAAAATATATAGTCACGATCCCTCAGCTCTCAATATTTATTAGGTTTATTAAATATTTAAACTTAATTATTTAGACATGGACGTAGTCACTATATTAGTCCAACAAATGTTAATTATCGAGCTAATATTTGGGCGCTTAAAAAGGCCGGCGTTTCTGTAATAATTGCTGTGACTGCTTGTGGATCACTTCGAGAAGAATTAGCCCCCGGACATTTTGCTGTTTTGGATTCTTTTATTGACAGGCTTGTGAAGATTAAATAAAGATTTTAAAAAATTAAAAAATCCAAACAGTAATTTATAAATTTATTGAGGGTTTATTATAAAAATATACCTATTTTAAATTTAACAAACTAACTTTAACTTTAATCATTAAATTAATTATTTATAAATTTTATTCCAAAATTAGAACAACAAAACGTTCACAAACATTCTATGATGGTTTGCCTGGGCATCCTGAGGGTATTTGTCATATTCCAATGTATCCAACATTTAATGAAAAAATGAGACAAGTTTTTAAAATTTAAAATTAAAATTAATTTTTAAAAAGATTTTAATTTCTTCTCTTTCAAAAACAAAATTAAATTACCAAACAAAAGGAACTCTTGTTTGTGTAGAAGGGCCTAGATTCTCTACGAGAGCTGAAAGTGAAGTTTTCCGTCAATGGAAGGCTGATCTTATTGGAATGACACTTTGCCCTGAAGTACCGTATTTACTTGATTTATTCCCCATCCTCGAATAATTCCCCACTTAATTCCCCATTCCAGGGATAGGTTGAAACATTAATTTCCCCGCGGATTAAAATAAAAGATCTTCACTTAAAGTATAATCCCTCATACTGATACAGTTTCACTTAGTATGCAGTTTGGAAAGTTATTGGGGGGGGGGGGGTTTATTCCTGGAGATACTATAGTAAATTCCTCCCAATCTCAATAAAAAAATAATTTTTAAATTAAATATTTTAGGTAGTTTTAGCCAAAGAATTGGGCATTCCTTATGCTTCTTTAGCTGCTGTAACAGATTATGATTGTTGGAAAGATAGTGAAGAAGGGGTTTTTAATTTTTATTTTTCTGAAATTAAAATCTAATTTAAAAAGGTCAATATTGATTTAGTAGCTGAAATTATGAAAAGAAATTCTGAAAATTTAAAAGAAATATTATTTAATGCAATAAATGATATTGGTGGAAGAAAAGAAGAATTATTAAAAGAAATTAATGAAACTAAAGTTTTTTTACCTAATTTTAAAAATAATATATATTAATTTTTTAAAAGGAATTGGCAATAAAATCTGTAATGGATGGAGGTTGTAAACTTGATTTTGAACATATTTAATTAAAGAAATATAATAATAATTTTTTTCTAAATTTTAGTGAAATATATACAATTTTTATAATTAAATTTTATTAAATTTTATTTAAAAAATAAAATTTTAATTAATTTTATTTTAAATTTAGTATTTTTTTAGATTTTAATAAAATTATTCTCCCAATTTTCAATTTTTTAAACATTAAATATTATTTAGAAAAATATTTAAATTAAATAACTCATAAATAAATAAACTCATAATAAATTCAAAATAATTTTTTACATTATTTGAAAAATGCAAATCTTTTTTTTCGAAAAAATGTCAATAATAAAAATGAATCAGAATTTAATATTTAAATGTTGACATAAATTTAAAAGAACAAATTATTTTATAAAATATTTTTTTTTATTAATTTTAATATTAGGTTTTATTTAAAAAACAATACTTAAGTATATGTCGGGATCGCGCCGATCCAATGTGAATTCCCGACAGTTTTTTGGTTCGGAATCCCGTTTCCTGAAATCGAAAATTTCATTTTTATGTCGGCTAGATCCCTGGTATATATAATATTTTTAATAAGTTTTTACAAATAAACTTAAAAAATAATTGAAATTATTTTTATTTAAATACATATAATTTAACACTTTTTTAAAATAATTTTTTGATGAAAAATAAAACTAAAATTTATTTTTTGCTTATTTTATTTTCAACAATATTAACAACAACAAATGGGAATAAAAGTAAAACAGTAAATCCTGTTAATATAAATGAGAAGAATGGCAAGTTTATTTTATAAAAAAAATTATTACTTGAAATTTTAATTAAAAAATTAATTATTTAAAATTATTTTTCAGAAATTGAGGAAGAACCTTTAAAAATTGTTTATGTTTATAAGAATATTCGAAGTTTTATTCAATCAACTAATCAAAATTTCAATAGTTTTCATAAAATATAAATTGGATTTTAATAAAAAATTATTGAAAATTTAAAAATAAATAAATTATTGTATTATAATAATTTTTTAATTTATCATAAATATATTTAAAATAATTATTAACTATAACGATATCAAATCTCACTATATTCTGTCGAGGCTAATAATATTTTACTTCTACATACATATCACGTTTAAAACTTAACAAAAAATTTAAATTTATTTTTACAAATTCCTTTTGATATTTTTGTAAAGAGAATTTTATGAGGTTGAATATAAGAATTTTTTCTGTTCAAGACTATAATAAAAAAAAATTAAAATCGCAGCTAACCACAACCCCAATCCATCACTTAATTTGAATTGCGGATTTTGCGGGATTTCAAAAAATGTTGGCAAAATGTTTTTTTTCTTTTCCTTGTCGTATAAAAAAAATTTTCGCATACTCACTATTTTTTGTCTGGGACGGGTTCAGGCTCCGGGATACCTTGAATAGTTAACTTTTGCCTGAGGCATGTTACAAAATATCCTTCCAAATATTAACAGGATTGCCGTATGCGGGTAATCACTAGTGATCGGCAAAATCACATTTCCGGGATTGAGTTTGAAAAAATCGAACGGGAGGGATCCCTGGGGATTAATCCCGTCAATCCCGGTTCCCGTTCGTCGCTAAAAACCCGGGATTCCGGGACGGGATCACGTAAAATCCCGCCCGGGGTATTATCTCTAGTAATCCCGATCCTATGTCTAATTGTCCCCTGCCCAATTGTCGGTCACCGTTATTTTTGTTAGAATAGTTTTTTGCAAAACTCGTGGAATATTTTGCACTTTTAAATAAATCAGAGACAGATTTATTTAATTTATTCTCTTATTCTCATTAACATTTTTATTAAATTTTCATCAAAATTTTTTATATTTTAATTAAATATTTTTTCAGATATTTTTAATGTATAAATTAGATTTTTTTAAAAATATTTTAAATCTAAATAGTAAATTATTCATTCAACTTTTTATTCTTTTTTGTTGTACAAATTTGGTTAAAAGTCATAAAATAGTTAGAAGTTCACTTGATGCGAATTGGACACAAACATCGTTTTTAGCAGAAACTAGGTATTTTCAATAAATTATTTAGGAAAGGTTTATATTTTTCAGCGAATTTGTTGCAAATACAATTTCGAATGGAAATTTATTTTGGAATTTTGTGGAGGAACGTTTTGATGAAAAATATTTAAATTTGGAATTAAATAATGACGAAAAAGAATTTAATTTGGCACTCAAAATTGCTGAAAATCTCTTGCCTGATGGACAGGCTGGAATTTCTCTTCTTCGATTGTCTTTGTCGTTAAGGCTTTACTCTGCGCGTATTCAATTACATAGACAAGTTTATTTAAACCTTAAATATTTTTTATTAATATTTTTTTAATTTAAGATTGCTAATGGTCTCTTACCAAAATTACAAGAGAAAAAATGTTCAGACGATAGTCCCTTCTATGAAATCCATGGAATTGTTAGCTGTAAATATTCAGAAATTGTTAAATTACTTGAAAAGGCTAATGAAAGGTTTTCGTTTTTTTTTTGAAAATTGTTTTCTTGATATGACGGTTTTCTCCTTTAATGCGTAATTAAAATATGATTTTAAAAATTGGATTAAGACCGGATTGTTAATCGTAACTTTTGTTAAGATCGAAGCTAAGCGTTAGTTCAAAGCTCGTTTTTTAAAAATTTCGTAATTTTTCGGACAAAGAAAATTTCTTCCGCTTTATTTTTCCTTTGAACTTGTTCTTTTAGTTTTAATAATTTCTATAAATTTAAGAGAACCCAGCCCAATCTATTCTATCGATCATCTTTATCCAATTAATTTACCGGAAGCAAATACTTCTCTTATTGTCTTGTATGCTAATATTGCTCGACCAAAACATTTCCAGCAATTTCATAAAGAATTCGTTAAAATGTCAAATAAAGGATTAATTAAATACGTTTTTAGACATTTTGATAGAAAGGTTTTTTTCTGTAAATAATTTTAAAAATTTTATTTTTTAAAAGGCTATTTCAACACCTTTGGTTTCCTTATCTGGTTATGGAGTTGAGTTGGCTGTTAAAAGTACTGAATATAAAGCTTTGGATGATTTGGCTTTGGTAAATAATGAAAAAGAAAATAATGGGTTATTGTTAAAATATTTTAAATTTTTTAATTTAAATAATTTAGAGAACAATCTGCGTTAAATGATTTAGAAATTTTAACGCCTTTGGAGAAGGAGGAACTTGAAGATATTGGATTTCAGGTTTTTGTTTTTATGATATTTTAAATATATTTTTGTTTAAGGCAGCTCAACATATAATGAATAATTCACCTGAAAATGTCATTTCTTCTCTCATGGATTTATCACAAAATTTCCCTTATAAATCAAGGTGGGTTTTTTAAAAAAAATTATTTTTTTAACTCTTTATTTTTATTCAGGTCATTAACAAAAATCAAAGTCAGTCAATCATTTCGTGAAGAAATTTTATTTAATCAACATCATTGGAATAAAGAATTAGAACTTTCTGAAGGAGAATCTGCTCTGTGGATAAATGGAATTAATATTGGACATGATCTTGATTCTATTGATTTATTTCATCTTTTTGAAACATTGAGACAAGAACACTTACTTGCTAATTATTTTAAACAAATTGGATACAAAGTTTTTTTAATTTTAATTAAAATTAATTTTTAAAAATTTTAAGCGTGAATATTTAAATATTTTACAAACAATTGATTTGTCAGAAGATAAATCAAATACATGGGCTTTGGATTTTAGAGATGGCGATCCTCATTGGATAAATGTTTGTATAGTTTTTTCTAGATAATTTATTATATTTCTTTAAAAAATAAGCTAAAAATTATGAATGAAACTTAAATTCACCCCATTTTTATTTCTGCTGACGGGTCATTTGAACAGTGAATTTTATCGCTACTAGTGAATTTCTCTGATTTTAAAAATCTAAAAGATTTACTTTTTACTTAACCCTTGAGAAATTTTTTACTTAAAATAAATTTTAAAATAAAAATACTTTTTTTTATTTAAAATAGAATCTAGACAAAGATCAACAATATTCTGATTGGGGTAACAGTGTTCGGTTACTTCTTCAACCATATTTCCCAGGAATGATTCGACCAATTGCTCGAAATTTGTTTTCTCTGGTTAGAAAATTAAAAGAAAATTTTTCTTTAAAATTTCTTTTTTATTAGGTTTGTATTTTAAATCCTTCTTTGCCTTCTTCTCGTGATATATTAAAAACAGCATTTTCTCTTTACATGCACCAAGTTCCTTTAAGAATTGGTTTTATTTTTGTTATTGACGATACACCTTCATTAGATGGAAAATCAAATGTTGAAGTTGCTATTTATAATATTTTTGAATTTATAAAAGAAAAGAAAGGAATATTAAAAGCAGTTCATTTTATTTTAAAGGTTTCTTTATCAAATTTATTTTTTAAATATTTATTTTTTATTAGATTCACGAGGAATTGTCATCACCAATTGAAGTTTCTGATGTCCACAAATTTTTTAAAGTACATTTTCAAGATTCTGATTTTGACAAAATTTTTGGTCTTAATTCTGATTACAGCAAAAATCTTTCAACTGGAATTAATTTTTATCGTCGTAGTGGACTTAAAAAATTGCCAACAGTTTTAGTTAATGGAATTCCATTAGATAATTTAGCATTAGAATCTTCTGACAGAATTGAGGACGGAATACTTTTTTCAATTATGAGACAAACAAGTTCTTTACAACGAGCAGTTATGGATGGAAGTTTAACAGATAAAGAAAATATTTTAAATTGGGTAATGTCAAGGCCAGATGTTTTGCCTAGATTAAATCCCAGATTAATTGGTAATAATGATGAAGATAATAATGAAAGGAAGACATTACAACCATTTATTTTAATTTCAAATGATGTTTCGTGTGAAGATAATACTTTACTTGAAAAAATGAGGTTTTATTTTTGTAAATTAATTTTTTAACGTATCGTTTCCTCATTAACTCGCATAACCAAGGTAGACACGCGGCCAAGTAGCTGCAAAGCTATAACTTGCTTCAAGATTTCAGAATCTTTCAAATTTTAGTATTGAGCGATTTCTCTCATCGAGCTAAAGAGATTGGTACCGAAATTGTTAAGGTCCAGAAATTTTCCGGCTAGTTATGGCGCTCCTACCCCTTGCAAAATTTCTTGTTTCAGTACATTCTTCTCTTATTTCATAACGTCCAATACTATCGGTCCTAACTTTAACAACTTGGATTTTATTTTTTAGCTCTCAAAATCGATTCAATTGTCTGATAAAAGAAAGGTTTTATTTGGTTCGTTCTGATGAAATGCTTGATGAATCAATTCATTGGTTTACTGTTTGGTTAGTCACAGATTTAAATTCAGTTAAAGGACAGCAATTATTACGTGATGCATTAAAAGCATTGAAGAAAAGCAATTATATGCGGTTAACCTTAATTTACAATGGACTTGGAATTAAAAAGAATTCCTGGACAATTGCACACATTTGTGAAGCAATATTGACACGTCTTTCTTCTGCGCCAGCAAAAAGAGCATTAAATAAATTACTTGGATTAGAAGAAATTGAGAAGATTAGTAAAGAAATATTTGATGAAGAATCTGTTGAAAATTTATTAAAAGAAATTGGTGGACATGGAATTAATATAGATCCTATTTTGGCTGAATTAAAGAATGGAAATGTTGAAAAAAGATTGGCACTTCAATCTGCATTTGCTCTTAATGATTTGAATTTGATTGAAGGACAATTAGCTGTTATTATAAATTCAAATGTTTGTTTAAATAATTATTTTTATTAAAAAAAATTTTTAATATTAAAGGTTTATGGACCTTTTGATAATGATGAGAATTTTGGATTTGATGATTTTGCGTTGGCTGAACGTTTAGCTGAAAGAAAGGGTGTCAAAAAAGTCGCAGAAATGGTTAAAGGATGGAAAAAGAGTGACAAGAAGGTATGAAAAGGACTAGGATTTTTAATTAACATTCGAACTAAAATTATTAAAAATTTTTTAATAAATATCTTTATATCCTTTTAAGGTCAAAAGTCCTTCTGATACTTTGTTACAAATTATTTCTTTTGTTGAAAATTTTGCTATACAAAAACGTCGCCATTCTATCGATGTCGGAATGGAATTTGAAAGGTTTGCAAATTAATTTTAACAAAATTGTAGAGTTATTTTTAAGTGTTTTGAATTTATTGGCAAAAGATGATGACCGTCCAATATTCCAAATTGTTGCAATTGTTAATCCAATTTCTCGTGTTGCTCAAAAATTGATTCCAATTCTTCAAATATTACTTAAAGTTTTGAATGTTGATTTAACTTTAGCTTTGAATCCAAAATCTAAAATTACTGAACTCCCCTTAAAACGGTAAATTTAAAAATTAATTGTTTATAATTTATTTTCAGTTATTATCGTTATGTTCTTCTTGACACACCTGCTTTTAATCAAGATGGGCAATTATTGCCTAATGTTGCTCTTTTTGAAGGCTTACCTCACAAACAACTTCTTACATTAAATTTGGATGTGCCAGAAGCGTGGATGGTGCAGCCAATATGGTCTGACCACGACCTTGACAATATTCGATTGGCATTGGTTTTGTTATATTTTTTCAATAAAAATTTATTTTTTAAATTTAGGTCCAAAAAGAAGTTATTGCTCGTTTCCAATTGAGACATATTCTTCTTGAAGGCCATTGCTTCGATGAGCAAAATGGAAGTCCTCCAAGAGGTCTTCAGTTTGTGTTAGGAACACGTGCAAATATAGCAATGTTTGATACAATAGTGATGGCTAATTTGGGATATTTTCAGTTAAAAGCTGGACCTGGTAACAAAATAAATTTCTTATTTTTTTAAATTTCTTTTAATAGGTGCCTGGATATTACGTCTTCGTGAAGGGCGTTCCAAAGAAATTTATGAAATAAAAGGAAGTGTTGGCGCAGAAAAGACAAAATTGGAAAACAAGTCTCATGGTGAATTAGAAGAATTACACGTTCTTGTGAGTTTCTTATCCTTTTTTGGCCCAGATTTTGCCTAGTTTAAAGATTTGTTTTGTTAGGGTTTGCCTAATTTCTAACTGATTTCTCCCTGAAATTTCATTTTAAATATTTCCCAATATTAGGTTGAAAGCTTTACTGGAAAAACAATAAGAATGCGTGTGGCTAAACGAAAAGGAATGGAAAAAAGAAATTTGTTAAGTGAAGAAAGTGATAAAGGAAACAATGCAGGTGAACAATCTGAAAGGGATGAGGAAGATGATGATGATGAAGGCTCAATATGGTCTAATTTTGCGCCTAAAAAAGTTGTTGAGAATTTGTCAAAGTATTTTTAAATTTTTTTAAAATATTTTATTTGTTTTTAGTAAATTATTGGGTGGTGAAAAGTATGATGTTATAAATATTTTTTCTTTGGCTTCTGGACATTTATATGAACGTTTTTTGCGCATAATGATGCTTTCGGTATCAATTATATTTTTACTTGATATTTCCTTTTTTAATTCAAATTAATTTTAGGTCTTAAAAAATACAAAACATCGAGTCAAATTCTGGCTTCTCAACAATTACCTTTCTCCACAATTTCGAGTATATATTTTAATAAAATATTTTAACAAAAAAAAATAATTTTTATAGGAATCTCTTCCAATTTTGGGTAAACATTACGGGTTTGATTATCAATTAATCGAATATAAATGGCCACGTTGGTTACATCAACAAACTGAAAAACAAAGGGTTATGTGGGGGTTGGTTTTTTTAATTTTTAAAATATTTTTAAGTTGTTAATATTTTTTCAGTTACAAAATTCTATTTTTGGATGTTTTATTCCCTCTTGATGTAAAGAAAATAATTTTTGTTGATGCTGACCAAGTTGTCCGTGCTGATATGATGGAATTAATGGAACTTGATTTACATGGAGCCCCTTATGGGTTAATTATTTTTTTATTTTTAAAATTAACTTTGCTATATTTTTGTTAGATACACACCTTTTTGTGATAGTAGAACATCAATGGATGGATTTAGATTTTGGAAAAGTGGATATTGGGCTTCTCATTTGGCTGGACGAAAATACCATATTAGCGCTCTTTATGTTGTGGACCTTCTAAAATTTAGACAAATTGCTGCTGGTGATCGCCTTAGAGGGCAATATCAAGGGCTTAGTTCTGATCCAAATTCTCTTTCAAATTTGGATCAAGATTTACCGAATAATATGATACATCAAGTTAGAATACATTCTTTGCCTCAAGAATGGCTTTGGTGTGAAACTTGGTAATTTTTTGAATTTTTACTTAAATATAATTTATTATTTTTTGTTATTTTATCAATGAAAAATTAATTTTTAAGTTTGTCTTTCTTTTAACCACCTTAATTTTTATTCTCAAAAATTAAACAAACGCTAAATTTTTTAAATTATGTCTAATTCCAGGTGTGATGATGCTTCCAAAACGAATTCTAAAACTATTGATTTGGTAAATTCTAAACTTATTTAGAAATTTATTTTATTTTTTAGTGTAACAATCCTCAAACAAAAGAACCAAAATTAGAATCAGCTATGAGAATAATTCCAGAATGGACAGAATTAGATAACGAAATAAAAGAAGTCTTAATATTAAATAATGAGGATAACAAAGAAGAAAAGAACAAAATAATCGACAAAGAAAAGCATAGTGAACTTTAAATTCCATTTTTTATGATGACCTCAATTTTATTAAAATATGACCCGGCACAACCACGGTACATTTTCTTCTTTAGTCACAGGATTTAATTTTTGAATAAAGTTTTATAAAAATGGGAAAAAATGAAAATAGAAAAACATGATCTGGGATGGAAAAATGATAATTAGCGAAGTCAATAGTGGGATCCCATTTGAGAGTTAAATTTTTTAATTTGCAGCAGTTTTTTAAACCCTTGTGGTACAGGTTAAACGAGAAAGTGGAGTATACATTTTTGCAAAGTTACGAATTTTGAAAATTCCTTGAAATCTATATAGTGACTCGGATTTTGAAATACTTTTAGCATCCTTTGAGGTGTGCCAATAATAATTTAAATTCGATAAGTTTAAGGGAATAAACCTACAGATTAAAAAAGATTAAATCCTGCAACTAAAATTTTAAATATATTTATTTGTACAATATTATATTTTGTTAACTCAAAAAAATAATTAAATTGAAAGAAAAATTGTTAATGTTAAAAATAAAATAAAAATAATTTTAGAATTATTGTTTGTCGTTCTTATTCCTTTATTTGAAAATATGTTAAATATTTCATTTAATACTTTACTTAATGTATCTTCTTCATTCTCGCCATTATCATCTGGATTATTTTTATCTAAAATTAAATTTAAAATATTTCTTTAATTTAATAATTACCAGGTATTCCTTTTCTCGGTCTGTCATTATCACCTTCGTCACTATTAGGAAACATATCATCAAGAGGATCTTTTTCTTTTATTGGTTTTGGACTATTTCTATTCCCTGTTAAATACATATAAATATTTTTAAAATCGATCTCTTTTACCATAAACAGCTTTAGCTGCTTTTATATCATCATGAGTAAGCTCTGGTATTTTATAATTATTTCTCCAATCAACTAATTCTGATGGATCCTTTTAAAATTATTTTTTGAATTTAAATTTATTTTAAATTTTTTGGGTACACACCCCATTTATTCGCAAGCTAAAAATGGTCAAAGTAACCCTATTGAGGTCGGCAAAACGCTTGTGCATAATTCCTCGCATTGTGCGGGTTATCCAGCACGCGTCTTGCAAGAGTCGAAAGTTGTTTTGTTTAATATGCTAATGTAGGCTTATTGTTGGCTCGCGAATAAATGGTTTGATTAGTCAATTTGCCTAATAAATGAGGGTGTATCTCGCGAATAAATGGGGTGTGTACCCAAACTGCATAAGTTCCTTAAATTTTAATACTTTGTAAAATGGAGCCATAACCGCTGTTTCAACTTTTGAATGTGAAAGTCCCAAAACATGTCCAATTTCATGTAAAGAAACCCAAAACATATCTGTATATCGATAACTAAAAATAAATATTTTGGAATATTTTTTGAATATTCTACTAAATATTCCTTATTTTTAACTGACACCCACTCTCCTCTTCATTATTTTAACAAAAAATATTTAATTTTTTAACACCTTCTAATCTTTGCCGCATCCATAAATGCCCATTGTTCATCATCATCAAAATGCAATTGTCCATCAGTCGGAAATGTAGCATGGGCCAAAACACCACCTTTTAAATTAATATATTTTTTCTTTCCATTTTCTTTCCTCTTTTTCTACCTCTTCCATCAAAAGACCAAGGATCGCCATGACTTTTTTTAGCAAAACGAACTCTAATATCAACATTTCCATATCCATTATTTTCTTCAAAATCTAATGGAATATGTTGAGACCAAGCATCAAAAGCCATTTTAAGTGATTTTCTTTTTTATAAAAAATAATTTTTTCAATTTACTAATATTTACCTCTGCATATATGTTGGCAAATCGTTAGTTGCATGTTCTAAACGATATGTCAATGTCTTTTTTCTCCACATTAATGTTGTACCTTTCAATTATATATAGTTAATTGTATTATTCTATATTCCGTTTTTTTATCATAAAATCGAGCCGAGCTCTAATCTTATAACTTCCCCCAATAAACATGGATTGCTTGTTAATTTTTTATCCCTAAAACTAAAAAAATATTTATTTACCAACCAGTTCCTCCTCTACCTCTAACCATTTCAACATCTTGCATTCCACATCTCGGCTTTTTCATTTTCTTTCTTGTTCTATTATCTAATTCTCCAGTAGAAGGTAAACCAGCAAATTCTTGAAATTTTGAAATTGCTGATCTTTTTTAAAAGAAAAATAAAATTTAAAAATAATTTATTAAATTACTTTAAAGATTCTAAAGAAAAATCTTCAAGCATTTGATCAGCCGTTCTATGCCTTTGTCTTTCGTTAAAAGCACGTCCTGTACATTTAAAAATTTATTTTTTAATTTTAATTTTATTTTTAATTTACCTTCTTGTTCTTCTTCAATGTAGCCAAATTGATTTAAATAATTCTGATTTTAAAGAGGGGGAAATTAATTTTGAAATTTTTGTTTATTTTTTAAATTTTAAAAGAGTAATATGTATAATCCTAATATTTAATTCAATTAAAATTTACCTTAGCATCTTCTTTACTAATTTCTTCATCTCCATCTTCTTCTCCTTCATTATCTGAGTTACCCAAAAATGAATCAAGAATTGTAAAAGTACATGTTAAAAGAAGTAAAGAAATAATTCCAACTCCAACCATTCTTTTTTTATTCCAAACTTTTCTTCTTAAATTTTTTATTTAAATTGAAAATTTTGAAGTAATTTAAGAAAATATACAAGATGTGGGTATAAAACAGAGATGGCCAAATGGATTTTTATGATACCGGTACCGGCAGTAGCGGAAAGTACCTGCACTGGTTGAGTACCGAAAATCCCAAAATCTTACCGATTGTGCCAAAAAGTACCGGTCCGGTACTGACGGTAGTACCGAACCGTGTCTAACAATAATGGGCCCTGCCGAATTTTAAAAAGCGGAAGGGCCAAAATTCTGTTGGAGGTGGGAGCGGATTCATGGTGTAAAGGTTTTCATGGTATAAATTTTTTCCTGGTATAAAATTTTGTTCTTCCGCGTTCACCCCGGAACAGCCCCAAATAAAATAATATAATTAATTTACCTATTATTATTAGTCATTCTAAAATTGTTGTTTTTGTTTTTATTTTTAATTATTTTAAAATTTTTAAAATTTATCCAATTATTTCTTTTATTTTCAACATTTTCTTCTTCTATTTCCGCCCCTTTAATTTCCAAAATATTTTCATTAATTTGTCGTGTCAGGAACGGGCTTTTAGTAGAAGCTACTAATTTAACAGAATCATTAATATTTTCTTCTTTTTTGTTTTTTAAATTTAAATTTTCTTTTAATAAATTATTTTGATGAGTCATTTACTTAAATTTAAATTAATTAAAAAAAATAAAATAGGTAAATAAAAATAAATAAAAATAACGGAAATTAAAAATAAATATTTTGTTGAGAAATTATTAATTTAATTAATTTAAAAAAGAATAAAGAAAGCAATAAATTAGAAGATAATAAATTGGTGAAAATTTGTTGAGACAAAAATATTTGTAATTAACTTTTTTTTATTTTTTATAAAATAATTATCAATAAATATTAATTTAATCAATCACCTTTATTTTAAACAAAAGTTTAAATTATTTAAAATATTTTTAAAATAATTAAATTTAAATTTTAAAACTCCTTATGTATATGTCTTAAATACCAACCCTATAATCTAAATTATTACGCCTTAATATGTATGACTTAAAAATTTCTATTAATTTTTTACTCCTTAAGAAAAATTTAGAAATAATTATTAAAATTATGCATACTTTACTCTTAGCCAACTTCAAAGAAAATAACCAAATTTCCCTAAAAATAAATTAATGTGCTTTATTTTTCGATATAAATTTAGGAAATAATTGAATTTTTATACGCTCGACAAAAAGGTGATCAATTTTAAAAAGAAATAAAAGACAAAAATTTAAATTGGGTATTTTATTTTACTTTTTAAAACCAAAGGAAAATATAAAATGGAGAAGTGGTTATTCAAAAAGTAACCATATCGCGTTCTACCAGAGATATTCTTGATGCTTCTTCAATTTAAGGAAATAGTATTTAATATTCGTTGATTTTAAAAAAATTTAAAAAGCCATGCAATTTATGGGAGAAAACAGAAGATTGGGGAGAGGCTGGGAGATAATGCAATATTATCAGATGAGAATATCGAAATGATTTATTTAAATTAAAAATTGTAGAAAGAGAATATTTGTTTTTTAATTAAAATTAAAGGATTTTTATTTTTTAAAATTAATTTAAAAATCCTCTAGGGGTTACTCACTTTTTGTCAATAACTTAAAATTAATAAAAAATAATTATATGAACATAATGTGGGTTTATCGGCTGTCAATTCGCCTAATTAATTAAAAATGTCATAGCCACATTAATTTCTTTTGAAATATATCTTAAAAATATATTTATTTCGACTTTGTAAAAAAGAGAATGAATCATCGCCGAGAATTTAAAGAAAAAAAAGAATTAAAGAGTTAGTTGATTACCTAAAGAATAATATTTTTGCAAATAAAATGGTGAGATCAAAATTTTTTTATTTTTTTTAATGAAAATTAATGAGTTCATAAATCTATTAATATTTATACAATAATTCAAAAATTTTATAAAAAAAATATTTAAATCAATGCTGGTAACTTCCTTCACTCTTTTTAAATTCCATAATTTTTATTTTATATCGAATAATTAATTACTTCTGGATAATTGTTTCAACCTCTCGCTGGAGCATGCAATTATTTGAGAGAGGGGAATTATTCGTCATATACGGGGTGTGTATTATCACAGATCTGAAAAAATCAAAAAATTTTCTTCTACTTCTTTTATCGTTTTAAATTCTTTATATTCTTTATATTTATTTCATAAGAACATTTTCCGATTAAAATGACTAATTTGGTTGTTTCTTTTAACGAAAGTATTTTCCCCTTTTCTCTTTTTTTAAAACACATTTCTTCTTCCTTTCAGTCATTTTTCAAATAAAAATATTTTTAAAAATGTGACTTCCCTCAAACAACTGTTTAAAATTAATCTTTTCTTTTTTAAACTTTAATTTAATTTTTTAAAAATATTTTAGAATTTAAATCACAAAATTTAAAAAATGCTTTTCTCACGTTTGGTATTTTTTGTTATTTTATTAATTTTTATTTCAATTTTGACTGTTGAATCGGTAAACCTTTAATTTATTAAAAATATCATTAAAATTAGTATTGGAGACAACCAGTTATTAACCGAATTTCTGTTTGGTGTTTTAGTCAAATACCTGTTTTATTTTTGAAGAATTTTTTAAACTGCTCATTTTCATAAATTTCCGGTCTTAGAACCTGTCGTGTCCAACCCCAATTAAAATAATTATTTAAAACTTAATTGTATGCTGTTCCAGTTACTACATAATTACCCAAAAATTTTATTTGAGAGTATTTTTTAATTTTTAAATTTCTGTTGAAATTTTTTTAAAGATGAGAAGACTTTTCTCTATTTTTTAATCAAAAAATTTTTTTAATTTCTAAAAATTTCTTTTTAAATTTTCAATAATTTCTGTAGAGTAAAACAATCAACGATTGCCATCAAGCTTGTAACAAAAATACAAAATGTGCAAGTAAATGTGTTGAATGTACAAATAAGAAATGTAAAAAAGAATGTAAAGACGGATTTTTCTCGAAAGCAGGTTCTGGCGCAACAAAACAAAAATGTGTAGATTGCACTACTAAAGGTGTTGCTGAATGTGCGAAGAAAAATTAAATTGATTTTTAAATGAAAAAATTAAAAAATTCTTCTAATTTTCAAATTTTATCTTAATTTGAAGAGAATAAAAATAACTTTTAAAAAAGTAAAAAATTGATAATGTTGGGGATTATTTAGGAATTTTTTTTATTAAATTGGTTTGCAGGAATATTTAGAGGAAGCAGTCCAAGGTACCGGCAGAGCTATAACTTAGTTCAAAATTGTCGAATCCAGGTCGCCATGGTATATTTTCGACTCAGCTCGTTGAGGTGCATCGAACCATGCCAGACGTCCCGGATTCGATCACTTTGAAAGAAGTTATAGCTCTGTGGTACCTTGGGGTGTACCCATATCTAGTGTAAAGAAATACTAGAGATCCATTTACGTCTAAATAATTTTTTAATGAAAATTAAGGGCCGAAATTTAAATTTTCCGTTTAGTATAAATTTTAAAAATCCTTAAAAAATATTTAAATTAAATAAAAAAAACTAATTTTTATTTATTTATAAAAAAAAATACATGAGCAAAATTTTTAGAAAAAAAAGAAAAAACATTTTTATAGCCTTATTTGGTACTAAATATTATTTGCATATTTAAAAACAAATAATTATATAGAAAGAAAAAATAATAGAAAGAAGATCAAAAATGCTTATTTTAAAGTTATTACCTATAAAAAATAGAGAGAAAGAAGAATGGTTGTTGATAAAAATTTAAAAAAAAATTTTTTTAATTTAATAACTCAAATTTTTTATCTCTTAAAATTACCAAAAAAAATTTAAAATTTTAATTTAAATAATTATTTATCAACAACCAAACTATCAAGAGGTTATAACAAAAATTAATATTAACTTAATTTATATTTAATCACCGAATAGACAAACGAGCCAAAAACATTTCAAAACCATTATAATAAATTTGTAGACCAATAATTGACTTAAAATATTTTTTTGAATTTAGAATATATTTTATTAAATAAATAAAAAATATTTCAATTAAAATTCACTAAAATGCCAAATTTCATGCCGAAATAAATTTCTCGTAATTAAAAAATTAAAAAAACTAACCACTAGGGCCAAAAGGGAATACCAAATTTGATGATTTAAACTAACAAATAAATATAACCAAAAATATGTAGCTGCCAACCAAATACAAACGACAGCAATTTGCAATAATTTGAGTTTTGGAGTTAGCTTTAAAAAAATTAAAATTAATTTCTGTCTCTCAAAATTAGAAAAAATTAATTTTATTTAAACAACTCTTATTTACAAAAATTTCTTTCAAAAATTAAATTTAACCTGAAAATTCTTAAATTGAGATGACCAACCATTCTGCCGTCGAAATCCCTTCTCCTTATAAAAATTATGAAGAATTTTCTCTAAAAATTTATTCAAAATTAATTTCCTTTTAAAAAATCAATTTAAACCTTTCTTCGCCCATTTATCTTTTAACCATTTCTCTAATTCTTCATCATCTTTTGGCAAAGAAGAATCGGGTATTTGTTGGATTAAATAATGAACATCTTTTGGACACATTCCCCGCAAAACCTAAATTTTTGAAAATAGAAAATTGTTTAAAGAATTTCGTTAATTAACCAGATCAGTTTCTGATTGAACAATTTGGTCCCCATATCCAACAGTAACATCATAAATATAATCAACACATTTTTCTAGAAAAATTTAAAAAAAAATAAAATTAAATTTATAAATTCAAAAATAATGGCCAACAAACCTTTTCGCATTTTTTGTAACAAAAAAACAAATCCAAGTGTCCTAGGATGCAATAAATATTCATATTGGACTAAATCATTTTTCTTTGCAAAACTATTGCTTCTCTCAGTTGCTCTAAGACATTTATCCTTTAAAAATCGAAAAAAAATTTTTTAAAGTAAATTACAAAACCTACCGTCCCTTCAGGA